CATCCAGGGTATATAGATCATACTCTTATTCTGACATGTTTTCATGCCCTCGATCATAACATTGCATTATTCTCCCATGAAGTCATTTAAAAAACGAAAATGAAACAATATTATTATTTATTGGTCATCAGTATATTTTTTACTAATCTTTACAATTTATTTGTACACATTTTGGTTTATATGAGTTACAACAACAAAAAGTACATGTGAGTCACCAAAATTGAATAAAACGAAAACAATTAAGAAATTTATTTAAAGATCTTGATGCTTTTGGAGTGCACTCGTAGACTCTTTACCCATGATTGTGACTATTACTAATATTATTGTTAAATCAGAAATGTCAAACATTCAACTTCGTCAAACAAACCCTAATTCAAATATTTCATGTAGTACAAAATATTCATGATGTTCTGCAGGAATACATTATCATTAAGTCGGGACAAGAATTTGTTTTTTCATTACAGTATGCAAGTCATTATTTTTAAAAGCCCAATTTAATCACTCACTACTTAGTCTACCTTAAAATACAATATAACCTCATGACTCCAAGTCATGTTTTCAAGATTAACAAATCCTTGTGGTTGATTCATGTGAAATGTCATGGATACAGAATCAGTGCAGTAACTGAACTTGTAGGAAATGACATTGACAAGCAAACTTTCTAATTTAGTTTCTTATCATGATATATATGGCCTATCATAAACCAAAACAAAACCAATAAGATGGCTTATTGCCAGTTGCTTTGCCCTGACCTTGTGCTCCTAGGCATCAATGCTTTTTGTACTTATCAGCTTTAAAAAGCAAAATATATGAGTGAAGTATTTCTGATGGGCTTAACATATTTACTTTTATAAAAAAATTGATTGCTAGGTGGGCTTTTTTCCATTTTCAAAGTCAGTAATGTACACAAGTTAATAACGATCATATTTCAGTGCATAATATTCTACACCATTTGTAAAAAGAAATTTGAACCTGAGAATTTGCTAAAACTGCATAATGATTTCATGTAAATGCATCGCAAGTTTGAACATAATACACATAATTCCCAGGGTCTTTACTCATTTGTTGTGAAAAAAATAAACGATTTTTGTTGCAAAATAATTGAAATTTTGCCAAGGGGTACATTTTCCCAGGATGATCTTGATATCCTAAGAGCACTCATCGTGTGATCTCTTACAATCTTATGATGCTAAATATAAAGATATAAATACAAAGTACTGATGACAACCTATGTGATTCATGATGAAAGCTGAAATATCATGACATTCACTTTATTCTAAACATGTTTTTACTCCCTCTATTTTTAGAAAGCTTTTATACTAATTCTGGGTCATTTTTTGTTTTCATTTTTTGCTCTGTTATTTTTATACAATTTTATACAAATTTATTTTGATTGATATTAAAATTCATTCATTGGGTAAAGCTGAACATACCAAATCTGTCAGTCCTAATTTTAGTGGTATGAATTAGTGTAATTTCACACTAACTTTAACATTTACAATTGAAATCCATACATCTATGTTTCTCGACTTTGGAATTCCTCCATATGTTTTAGAATTATGCATTCATCTTTTGAGCTTGAATATTGTTATGTTTATGTTTTTTTTGTCATAAGAAGACTGATAAGACCCCTATAAACCATATTTAAATGTGTTTTCATTCATTCAGTGTCTATCTGCATGTGCAACCTTTGTGTCATTTAAAAATTAAAAAGCCCATTGAGATTTCACTCTTAGAGCTGGCCACAATAACAATACAAATCTCTCTTCATAGGCAACCATTGATATATAGGGTGTCTCAAAAAAATGTACCCAAAAGTATATCAACAGCATAGACAAACCAATCAATATTTTCAGACACTTTTTGCATGGTCTTGTAGATAAAAGATGAAAGTTTTTTTCCCTATACAGTCTTTAATTCAGTTTTGCCTTTTTGATACTTTAACCCTTTACCTTTTACACCACATATTCAATGTAACCTCATATTTCGATGACAGTCTGCATCCTTACTAGTACATTGTTCATCACATTTGATATTCCTTGTGGAATGTTTTGATTTCTGTTCGGATGCTGGTCTTAAGTTGTTCTAGGTCTCTTAGCTTGGGTTTAGCATAAAAATGGTCCTTCAAATAGCCTCAGAGAAAAAACTATGGGCGGTCAAATATGGTGAATAGGGAGGCCTTCACAATGTCTTATAGTCCCCTTATACAGAGAGGTCAGAGGTTAAAGAAACTGCATTGATTGGGATTCTAATGTAGCCTTTGTTGTGTGTATCAATTTGAGACCACTGTGTTTTCATTTGGATATCATTTGGTCTCCAGGCTAGCCTGCCTAACTCTGGAAGGTAACTTCTGAATCATTTGCCGATAATTGACCTGATTATCTGTGTTTGTTCTGCCATCGTCATCCTCAGACATCTTTCTCTGTAGCTATTTGAAGGAGTGTTTTAATGCTCATTCCAAGTAAAAAGATCTAGAACAACTTAAGGGCAACATCCAAAGAGAAATCCAAAACATTCCACTGGAATTATTATCAAATGTGATGAACAATGTAGCAGTAAGGATACAGGCTATAATAGAAATATGAGGTTACATCGATTATGTGGTGTAAAAGGTAAAGGGTTAAAGCATCAAAAAGACAAGACTGTAAAAAAAATGGTGTATTGGGGAGAAAACTTTCATGTTTTGGCTACACGACCATGCAAAAAATGTCTGAAAATATTGATTGGTTAATCTGTGCTATTGATATAGTTTTGGGTACATTTTTTTGAGACACCCTGTATATACAAACATTCAATAAAACACTTGGACTTATAATTCCATACTGGAGGCGGTTGCTCAATGTTTTTGAAGAAGTCACAAAGTACTGCTCGAGATGAGTACAGGTGTACTTAGGTGTAGCTATTACAGGTGCACTTTTTAAAGAAAGTACAAGATGAATGGTCTTTATTGGATACTGAGTTGTACCCCTCAGTAAAATGAAAATTTAGCCATGCTAAACTCACTCCATCCATTTCTCCATAAAAGACATTTCAATTGAATAGTTGTGTTTTATTTCTTGGCCAACAGGATAAAAAACTGTTCCTCGCTAAATCTTCTCTTTTTCACCTTATTGAATGAAAAAGCATGAGTTTTGTATTTTTGTTTTATTTACAGACTAACTTGTGTTAGTGTCAAGGTAAACTTACCAAACTAAGTCAGTCCCTTTAAAAATTATTCATTTTTTTAATTTTCCAGTCCCTCACATTAATCACATGGGTTGAGGAATCATTAAATGATGCGACCAATCGTTCATTTTCATTAACATCTTGGACATTAACTGATTTGGATTATTTACAAGATAGTGGAGATACTAAGTTAAAGAACATTCTCCTCTATGATAACTCAGATGATGAAGAACATCATGAAGGTTATGATGCCTTAATAAAGATAAGTCAAGGCCACAACACATGAATCAAATTATATTTATTTGACAACAACATATTGTTTGCACACCTGTGATGAGATTTTTTGAAACATGGTTTCACTTTGACTGAAATTTATTGACTAATATCTCAATTAATCCATCTTGATCCTTCAATGTATGCCATATGACTGAAAGAATACACTGTGTTAAGATTTTTTGACACATAGTTTCACTTTGACTGAAATTTATTGACTGATGTCTCAATTAATCTTTCAATGTATGCCATATGACTGAAAGAATACACTGTGTTAAGATTCTTTGACACATAGTATCACTTGACTGAAATTTATTGACTAATATCTCAATTAATCCATCTTGATCCTTCAATGTATGCCATATGACTGAAATAATACACTGTGTTGAGATTTTTTGACACATAGTTTCACTTTGACTGAAATTTATTGACTAATATCTCAATTAATCCATCTTGATCCTTCAATGTATACCATATGACTGAAAGAATACACTGTGTTGAGATTTTTTGACACATAGTTTCACTTTGACTGAAATTCATTGACTGATATGTAAATACGAAATCCATTAATATATAGTTGTATAATGATGCATATATCTATCCTATCATCCATATATAATGAACTTGCATAATATTCTTAATGTTTATTTTGTTTTAAACCCGTCCATACATAAAGTTCTCTATAGATCCTGTCTTGCCTTGTATATTTTGAAGAATTTATGATTTCATGTTGTCAGTTAAGAGTGTTCCTTCAACTTAATTTGGTACAGTTTCTGGATATACACAGGAAAATTCTTCATTGTAATTTACCCAAAACATTTACACGTGCATACATACAAACCATGATATACAATTTGCTCGACTTGAACGTTTTCTATATAGATCTACAAATCTATAATTTTGTAATTTACCCAAAACATTTACATGTGGATACATACAAACCATGATATACAATTTGCTTGACTTGAACTTTTTCTATAATATTATAGATCTACAAATCTATAATTTCTAAGCATGGGGTTTTAGTAATTTGTACATGTATAAATATTCCATTTATTGTTAACAGTGGATGTTTGTGACCATGTATTTGCTAATAAAAGATTTTGCATTGATGTTTTGAATTTTGCAGCTTCCAGCTTATGGTTGTGGAATCTTTTGAATGATAACTAATCAGTACAGTAAAATCTGTTTAAGTGGAACACCATTTGTACCTCAAAATAATATTCTTTAGAGGCAGCTCCCACTAACAGAGGTTAATATTCACTCTATGGGACTTTGATATGTTCAACTTAGAGAGGTGTTCCACATTACAGGTCTTACTGTACAATTTACATGTAATTCATCCTTTTCTAAATCTATATATGCATTTTGCTTTTTTAACAAGCAGTGTAGTGTAACATAAACCCCTAACCAGATCAAATCTTTGAAGCTTGTGGTGGCGGACATTCTACACCTTCCCATGGATTAATAATTAATTAATGAACAAAGTGATTGATTCCTATTAGATATTTATCCATGGAGTCCCAAACTAACCTGCATTTGCTTGTTTGCTGTACTTGCAGAATCCTTTCTCAATTTGCTTTCAACCTGTCCAAGGATTGGGAAATCCCTACTGGGAAGAAGGACTTCCATGTACCTTTAAAAGATGGCATTAGGGATATGCTTATAAAGCACCATTTATTTAGTTGGGATATTTAAAGATGGCGTAGTGGTGAAGTTATGGTTTAATGAACCATAAGAGAGATTTTCTCATTTAGCTGTAAGAAGCATTTACCTCTTCCAGTTCAAGCACTACTGGTGTTTGTTTGGGTTAATGTGTGTATCAATATGTTGACAAAATGTTCTGGAAAACAATTTTATGTTCGCTTTTCAAAATGATGTCGGGCAGAGCATCAGAAACTTTATTAGATTCAGAGGAAAATATAGCATATATTTAGTCAGCATGTTGGTATGACCATAAAGTACTCTTGCACCTAAACCCCTTGAGTAAAATAAGTAAGCTGGTTATCACCTTGCATGATACTTAGTTGCAATCGTGTTAAAAATTGAAAGATAAATGTTCATAATAAAATATTTTTATATTATCTTTATACATAAGGTCTGTGGATGGTACAGCTATGACAAACAACTCAAAAAAATAGAAACAGTGCCAATTGGTGCTTTTGATTGATTTATGAGTTGGGATTTAAGTTGTGGCTATACCAATTACAGACCCTAAGTACAGTTTAGTGTATAGCCCCAAGATTCCATGACCATAATGAATTGACCCCATAATAATATAATGGATGGGTCACTTCAGGTTCTTGGGGGTTTTCATTAGACTGTGCATGAATTTCTCAATGAATTCTTAGTTACGTTTACATTTTATGTAAAAACAGAATATATAGTTTAGGGTAGGTCAGTATCTTTAAGGCTGTTGAGGTTAAAAGAGATCCATGTACAAGATGGAATGTTTCTTATGTTCATGTGTAAGGCCTAATGTTCACATGCATAAGCATATTAAAGGTATAATCTTAACTTATTTGTTCATGTTGAAGGCCTAATGTTCACTTGTGTATACATGCTAAAGGCCTAATGTTCAAACATGGGTGCAAGTTAAAGGTCTCATGACAAGTATATATCAAATAAGGAACATTCCTCATATAGTCATTGAATGAAACAAAGGTGCTTACAGATTGACTTACTGTAGTCTTGCATATAATATGGGTCATTTTGTTCATAAGGTGATACTTCATGATTTCAAATTCAAGAGACCAAATGCAATATAAAATGCAAATTGTATGTATGTATAAATTCATGGAGACACAGTCCATTTTTTATTTTGAATGCCCAAAATTAAGTTCAAGGAGATTGTATATACTTATAATATTTGTGTCAATAAAGATGAGTATTTTTGTATCTTATACCTGAATAGGTTTGGGGGTGTGTAACACCTGTGAATAAATGTCATATCTTACAGATATGGGTTGGGTATGTTTGGGTTCTATATGTATAACTGGGGAATGTGCAGTTCTTAGTCTAGTTGTCTTTCAAAAGAGCTGAGACTTCCCCCAATCCTATATCAGGTGAAGATAAGGTCATTTTATTTTAGATATAGGGTTTATCCTCTAGGAAATATCTTTATCTCCCTGAAAATAAATTCTTTATCCAAAGCCTCCCAAATCATATGTGATTACATTATAGGGTATGCATGTAGTAAGGTATAATACAAGTTATATTTCATGAGAGAAAATCAATGTAAATTATTCAACCGTTATATGAAATTTTAATTAGTAGGTTGAGTAAAAGAAATGGAGTATAGAGTCTTTGGAAAGTAGTTTTGAGACTGTATATTGTAGAATATATAGCATTACATTAAAATAATGTTCTCAAAAGTGTTCCAATGTTTTACAGACTTATTATCATGACATATTTAATTGACATTCATATTCTCCATGACATGTGCCATATGATTGACAGGATCTAAACTTTTACACAATAAAACATGTTTAAAGTACAGTACAGTACAGCTCGGTACAGTACAGTTCGGTACAGTACAGTAAAGTACAGTATATTGCAATTTAGTACAGCTGGTACAGTACAGTACAATATGGTGTATTGCAATACAGTACAGCTAGTACAGTACAGTACAATACAGTGTTTTGCAATACAGTACAGCTGGTACAGTACAGTACAATACTGTGTTTTGCAATACAGTACAACTGGTACAGTACAGTACAATACGGTGTATTGCAATACAGTACAACTGGTACAGTACAGTACAATACGGTGTATTGCAATACAGTACAGCTGGTACAGTACAGTACAATACGGTGTTTTGCAATACAGTACAACTGGTACAGTGCAGTACAATACGGTGTATTGCAATACAGTACAACTGGTACAGTACAGTACCATACGGTGTATTGCAATACAGTACAGCTTGTACAGTACAGTACAATACGGTGTATTGCAATACAGTACAGCTGGTACAGTACAGTACAATTCGGTGTTTTGCAATACAGTACAGCTTGTACAGTCATACAGTGCAGTAGATGAAGGGTTTATGTCACCTCCTCTTATTTACCCCATCCTTGATCCAAGGCTATTTCAATGCTTTCTATAGCAGTGATCCCCAATCTTGAAGAATGATTTACCAATCTATTTCTTTGTAAGAAAAAGGTAAATAAGAGAGGTTAATATAAAAGTACAGAACATGAATTTGGCATCAAATCAAAATAATTATTATGTTTTTGGTCAAATTCCATATCAGTCACTTTATACATGTAAATGACATAGTCTTGCACCAGGCCCCCTCCCCACATCTACCACATCTGAGTGGAATGAAGGGTTGAGACTTGTTGCTAGACTAAACTGTATGATTTATGGTATACACAGTGTATTATATATTATGTTATAATGAAAGATGAAATATATACAAATTATTAATATATTCAATTACATGATTTTTATGTTGATTTATATCAACCAGGTCAACTTGATTCAACTTTCACCTGATTGAGGTGATCAGCCTTTTTATGCCCTTTTAATTTGAGGGTTAATCCAGTTCATGTGGGAAATGATGATGTTCAATGTCACCATAACTTGCAACAAGGCATTTACTTCCTTTGTTATGAACATTATCAAAGTCAAACTGAGTTCAATAGGGCCTTGCAGAGTTGTTTGTATGGGATAAGGGTTGGGGTGAAATGTACAACAATCAATTGAAAGTTGCACCGATCTACATACTGACAGACGGACAGCCATCCAATATCATTTACAAAATAAAGATGAGAATGTTGAATAGTAATCTGAGTGACAGAGTCCAATTCAACTACCAAATTATTGAAAAGGGTAAATGAAAAGTGCCTTAATAAAGGCTCAGTGCATAATTTCAACTTATGACTCCATCATAAATTTACTTTTTTTTTATTTAAATTATAGTATTTGTAAGCATGTACCTGTTATTAGTCCTGTTGTGCTGATTTACACATGTGTTGTATGAGATCCGATTAATATACATGTACTTACCCAGGGACCATAGACCAACACGTTACTTCAATAAGTTAAAAAATGTTATTTTACAATAACTGTCTTTGGAAAATAATTACCATGTCCCTGTTTAAAACAAATGGAAAAATTATTGCAAAGACAAACCTATATGGTATTTTCATTCAACAACTACCAGGATAGACACATAAACCACTTCATTGACATTTATTTATACTCATATTTAAATCTAGTATGAAGAAAATCGGAGTTATTTTGTACGGGTTGGGTTGCTTTTGTACGTAATCCATTAAGATGCTATTAATGGAAATGACCTTAATCATTATGAAAATCAGCTGATTTCTGGTATGTTAACCTGTACATGTGATATAATTAAAGTCAAAGAGCAAACAAGTTCACTCATCATAAAACAGGCCAAGGTTTCAAAACTGTTCTAAACAAAGATTATATAAGAGCTTATTAGGTATCACACTTGTTGGCATTCGTACAGGTATGGGGGTCAATGAAACGCGATTATGGTTATGTGAAAGGAAGGCTAGGAGGAATAAGAGATCCTAGATAAAGGTTAGATAAGAAATGGTACAGTTGTAAAAAAGTTGTAAATGTATCGGGAAATGTATAATCAATGACTATAACAAGGTAGAGTTAGGAAGGGGACAACCCTACTTTATGCTATTATCAAAGATGAACTAGATCAAGAGGTCCAAAATACTTGAAACAAGACTATCTTAGACAGTGCAATCCCCAACATCTGCCTGCTTTGTTTAAAATCGGGTGCGATAAATCAGAATGCGTTTTGCACAATCGTATCTTCTCTACCAGTCAACATTCGGTTTTTAAATTAACACCATTTGTCCCAAAAGTTATTGATCGTGCCTCTTTTGATTATTTACACTGACCATGCTGCCATTTGCCGCCAAAATGGATTTGTTGATACTATTTAGTCATACCAATTCTTCCAATTTTGATTGGTTACTAGTTATCGAAATGAATTCTTCCAACCAATCAAATTGATGAAATTGATTAACTTATGCCAAATATGGAACATGGGTGCCTGGGAGAAATACTTGCATCAATGCGGTACACATAAAACTGGAAAGCGAGTACCATGATCAAAATAACCTATTAAGTATAAGTTACACACGCAGATGCTAGCAGTAAAGAAATGCTGAACTAAACCAGGAAAATGAGAATTTCATACAGTTTGGCGATTTTTTGTTGTGCCTTAGTAACCACAGGTAAGCAATGGTTTTTTCATATCGTAAGTCACTCTTTCTTTGTTATTTGTTAGTTAACTCATGGGCCTCTAGTTTGGTTTCAAATTTGGTCCCATTTTTATGTTTGTGACTTACTGTGGTTTTGTGAGAGCATGGACCTCCATCCCCACAAAGAGTTCGAATTCAAACATTTACAAGGTGTTTTCAATGAATTAAGCTACAATAACATTCATTGCACATTTGCATTAGAACAATTACTAGCATTAACTTCGCATTTGTTATCTTTTCGAGGGGAGGGGGAAGATGGAGGTCAATGCCTCGGTAAACTTTAAAGTACAACTACTTTCACTTGCAATCCTTTCCTCATCTGTTTGTGCTTGATGTAATATGATGAATTCTAATTCTGAATTGTGAATTTTGTGTTTGTATAATTAAACATCTTAAGCAATCGACTATGATGACCACTGTGAATGTATAGTTTTAAATTGTTTTTTTTTGTTTTGAACGTTTTTCTGTTACAAGGGCAAATCAGCTGTTTACTATATTACTAGGCATAGCTCCATAGCTCTGGTCATGTTACCTTTAAATTAGCACACACGGATCTTGACGATCTCAAAAACATCCTTTCCTCCAAAACGTTATATTTCATGTATTTGCCTATTTGATATGGGAATGGCATTTTGCAGAATGAAATTGATGTACATGGAGAATGGACTGCGTGGCCAATGATTGGGGAAAATCCAGGGCCTAGATTTAAAAATATTGTTTGGCCAAGTTTATTTCATGTATAAAGGATTTGTGGAAAGAAATGTTGACCAACGTCGTAATCGCCTCTATTTTTATCACAGCCAAATATGCTTACATCTTTGTGCATGTTTGCACTGTTTATTGATCAGTGATAACAACTTTTAAACCAAAACAATAATACACTGTACGATTGTACCTTTAAAACCTTTTATGATGGTCCCCGAACGCTTAAGACTACAAGAATGACCTTGATGTGAATAAAGTTTTAAAACGAAACAATCAATCAAAAAGTGTCAGCTTATGATATCAATAGTAAGGTGAACGAAGATTTTATTCAAAAGTAGATTCAAATCAGTAACCCAAGGTTCACAAGTTGGCGAGGAGCATTCAAAAAGTTACTTGATCGGTTTCCGTATGATCGAGTAGCACTTAGCAGCAGCTAACCTGGGATTCATGACATTTCTTCTTCATAGTTGAACTATTTATACGAATTAAAAAATAAGAAATGGAAAATAGAATGAGCTAGTCTGGTTGTGAGGCTGAGCAAAAGGCCTAGGGTTGGCGTAATATGAATAGATATTCCATTTGTACAGTTTCTTCGGTGGTTATAATGACTTCTCAGAGATGGATCTCTTCCAGCCTTTCTTTTTTGTTGGGATATATGATTAAAAATATCTCCAATCAGCTTTGAGGATGTAAACCAAACAAACTGTGCGTCACTTTAAGATATTATTTTAGAAATAACCTAGTGCCGCTTACAAATATTTACAACAAGAGATATGTAGCTGAAACGATGAATCCAAATGTTTAGTTTTGACTCTAAACGCTTTTGTAAAGTACAGGGTAATCCAAAATGATATGAAAGCCTATTATGTTTTGACTTATATTGACTTTGTCAACAAGGATGGGATCTTATTCATTTTTAGAGAGCGTTTTTGATTGCCCAAACACAGACGCTCGCCTTAGTGTCAACCACTTTATTTAAATTTTGAAAAAGCTTTTCTGCTCATACACTGTCATATCAAGTTATTTAAAATTGTGAGTTTTACGTTTATTTCTTTGCCATAATTTCCAAATAAGCAAGTCATTTCTGATTTGCTTTCATAAACATTATTTTCAAAGCCGTGTTGTGTCCGCTTATCCTACTCTCCAGTAAAATCGCAGTCACATTTGCTCTACGGCGGCCGTAGCTTAATAAAATCTATATAGAAAATCTATATTCTATATTCAGCTAAATCTCATGCTGCACATTTCTCTCGATTTTGGAAAGCTACGGCCGCTGTACGTACGGTTGCTGTAAATCAAATGTAACTGAGGTGGCTGATGCAATGCAGATTGTATTCGTGATTGAATACGTTTATCATTCCACGGGATGTGTTTTCAATTAGTGTAACTTTTTACGAAGCTAAAACTATATTTTTGAAACCAACACGTATGGTTATAGACTAAACGGTGTGAATCAAAGTTATGAGCGTTTTTATTCATGGAATTTGTTGGGTCACCCAGTATTTACATTTAGACGATGTGGTAAATTTTAGAAACTGTTGAAACTCTCTATTTAACAAAACATCGTACGATTTCCGGCACTAAGGGGGTCAAGTATTGCTTGACTTGTTATGGCTGCTGCATTCAAGTGGTTTACGTGATCTATTTGGTTTCCCTCATTCATGCCAGCAGCAGAAATTTAAAAGACGTTACCATCGTTTATTGAACTTGACATAGTGTAAAAATAAAATCTCACAAAGGGTACTTGAACACCTGTCTTTCTGACTGGAAACAAACAGCCTAACATATTTTTACTCCGCCCCACAAATCTTTTCCAAGTACAGTGTAGTTCAGTCTATGGATGATTTTCATTTGTGATTTTAATAATTACAGATGCAGCGGTACCTGACAGCATTCTGCGACGCGCCAAGGCTCGTGCTGAGGCACAACAAGATCGCTATGAGACGCAAGCCAATGCAAAGATAAGACAGGACGAGGCTGACAAGAACAAAAATGAGCCTAAATCTGATGATTCTATCACAATCATAGAGCGAAGACCAACTTCTAATTCTGATTTGGAGGACGCTAAAGCAAGTATGTATAGACAGATGATGAATTACAGAAACCGAGGACACAGTCGCCATCGTGGAGGTACGAAATCAACGACTGACAAATCACGCCCATTAGACAATACAAGGAAGATCAACAGGCCAACAAATCGTAAATCGGAACCAGTGAAAGAAAAAACAATACGCCTTACGAGTTTTCGAGTGCCTGCTAAAGAGGACACCGACACAAAAAGACGCTTCAAACTTAGAAGGTTTCGGCCGAGTAAGCAAAAATGTTGCAAAATTGGAGAAAGGGTTGGAAAGAAACGACTTTCATGCGATGTCAACTTGCACGAGTCATATCACACAAAATTTGATGACCCCAAATATTCATCATTGCTTGAGATAACGTATTCTAAAGTACTTGCCAACAAGATCGCCATGTGTTCCAAGGACTATGCTAAAAACTTCAATAAATGTTGTCGTTATCGCGCGCATTATGTGAAAGAAATGGATGAATGCAAGAAGCTGCGAGGTTATAAAAAGAAAGCATGCAGGAAAACTGTTCGTCATCGATATCCATAATCACACAACTACAATCTTCAAGTGCTTTGCCTACATCCATCCCATAACAACTCGGGAAATAGGTGGGGTGGCCATGGCCAAGACTATATATTAATTGCAGATGTATTCATATTTTCAATTATTATACAATGACGTTCGACAGACGATATTATAAATGGGTGTAGGAGAAAACCCTGTCACTCAGGAAGTTTTTTGTGCTAATCTCGGACATACATATGATACAGGACTTGTTACCAGTTTGATTTTCAGTGAAGAGTTTATACCTTGAAAATGCAAGATGTGTAAATATATCAGGTTATCACATTGTAAATATGTAAAAATGTACAGTTGTAAATAAAGATATATAAGTAATTAAAATGGGATGTTTGTTGGGGTAAAATCGTTCGCTTGTCCCCTTATCACACCAAACAAGTTCTGAGAACGTTCAATCTCGTCCTAAAATACGATGCTAGTTCTTCTGTAAACAATAGGGAGTTTAAGCTAGCATATAAAATCGAAACGCCAACCTATACGTATGACCAATCACCCATACAAATACATCGCTTAAATATTTTCCTTTCACGTTTAGGTGAAAAACATTGCAAGCTTAAACTCCCAATTATCTTCAATACACGTCTAAAAATTGAGTTGTAACGTCCTTCAGAACTATTCCCTTTGATTTGAACGTGGAAGAGCTGTTCAGGTGAATGGATGCCAGAACGAATTTTGAGCAGTCTCAAATTTCTGGAGCTCATCCACGTCCGAACACATCCTTGAAGTTTATGATGGACACCCGAATGGGAACGTGTCACCCGTCTATAGGTTTTATACACATAACACAACTAACCGTGTACAAGATGTAAATGAACAAGGCATGGAATTTATTGCAATAAAAATACATTCAATTCGTAAAAATATCATCAATATAATATCTTATACATTTGCATACAAATAAATATGCATTTGTGTTTTGTAAAATTATAATTGGCTTATGTGGAGTAAACGATCCTCACCAAATAATAACATGCAGCATATGAATCAAACATTCCATTCGAAATACATTGATTGTTTTATATTTGTAGACCTATTTGATACAATAAATTATATGCTTCACAGTTTATAAGCAATTTAATATATTGTACAAATCAGAGACATATAGTGAGCAAAATTTTTATATGCCTCTAGATAAATGAAACTATTACCCTTTTTATTACCCTTTTCATGTCTCCAACACCAGAGCATATAATACGGCATTTACATGCAAAATGTCACCACCTGTCAAATGTTACAGATGCCGAGCACCAAACATGACGCCAACCACCGAATGCTGAACACCAAACGTTGCCCACAAAAAAAGTTGGAGACGATAACATGTCACCCCTTCTGGTCGTGACATAAAAACTTATGCCCCTGGCACAACATAGTCATTATATCTGACACAAGTATCCATTACTCTTCGAGTTATAGCAAAACATGTGTATGGGTAGTCCTAGTGTTGTTTCAGAAATGGCTATTATGTTTTGAAACAACAAATTTTAAACTAGATCAATATGATATGTCTTTTTGCTATAAAATTACCATAACATAATATCATAATTTTGGAGGGACTGAATGTTCATAACAACTAGTTAAAATTGTTAATCTACTACCTATTCAATAGTATTTTGATTTATTTCCTGAAAGATCTGCAAATTCAATTAGCTGAAAATGTTAACGTTTCCATGAAATACACAGAGTGATTTTCATCAAAGATAACAAACAAGGCATTAACACACACCTGCCATTTGTTACAGACGCTGAACACCGTCCACAAAAAAGGTGGAAGCAATATGTTACCACTTGTAATGGTGACATAAAAAATCAACGTTTACCTAAGACTAAGATGAATTGTCACTAACGGTTTACCCTGAAATTATATCTAATTTTCATCGTCAGTTACCCTTTTCTGTCTACTTCCATGAAAATTTAATTGGTGTAAACCAAAAAATTACCCTTTCTGTATATTATAGAAATCTAATACTACAAATCCAAATATATCATGAATATATAAATCATCTATAGATATATAATATGATGGTTTATCATACGTATCTTAGATACAAAAAACAACACATACAGTAGCAAGCTGACTAATATTCTATATACCCTTTATCAATTACCCTCTGCAAATATTTGTAGCTTTATCTTTGTTTTCCATACTTAAAACATAAAGGTCACGTATTCTTTGAAACTTAGCTGTCTATTACATCTATACATAAATAAAATTGTAAACTTTTCTGTATCAGATTATTATCACACAAGTAGAATGAGTAATTTAACATAGGCTTTCATTCTCATTTCATGCGCAAACGGGTCAAATGTTTTTCAACTAGGTCCACCTTAAACCCATGCATTGATAAATCAAGGTAAACTAAGTTGACAGGCTGATTAATGTGGATCTCATACATATAGGCTTCCATCCAAATAGGTCCACGGAATTCCATGCAGCTTACATTAAGCGCCCTCTTTTCAAATTTACTTTTCATTCTTTTTATGGAAATATAATGCTGGTTATCAGGTTATAAACTCCTCATATTTCATATGATGAAGTGGAACTATTATGACATCACTCCAACATTCTATAATGCCTTATCCATGTTATCACAGGTAGTAATCAAACAGCACTCTCCTGCAAATCCACACATTTCTATAAAAAGTCGTGAGATTTTGGAAATTTTTTGACATCAAATCCTCTTTCTTGGAAGTTCATCTATCTAGCTTATTTTTGTTAGTATATTCAGCTAGCGTAATGTGTTTCACATCATCTGTGATTTTTAGGATACTTAAATAAGTTTAGGTTGTTCGTGAGACTGCACACAAATTGGAATCTCAACTGTGTGCCAGTTTATGAAGAAGCTTGAGGTCAGCTGACGTCAGCCATGGATGAATAGGGTAGGTAAATATGTGATTCTACTTAATAGATCGAAACAGATACTCTGTGAGTGTGCGATTTTTTACCCGGATCATGCAGTTTTGCAAGAAGGTGCTGTTTGATTACTACAGTACCTGTGCTTGTAAGTTATATATTGCCTTACTGAATAGAGCATCATTGTATGATCAATTTCATACTTTTACCCAATCAAAAAAATTAACAGCCTTCAGCTCACTCTGCAATTTTTCTGCAAGGTCAGAGGTCAAGGACACCAATGGCAGACGTACAGGCCCAAGGTCAAGGTCAAGCATTGGCATCATGCTCTTACCAACAGCAAAGCTTTGAGGACCAGTTCCTGAAGGAGTGCAGGGAAATGTACGATTATTATGATGTTTCAACTAAATGTCACGAATGAAATAAGTTTTTCCTTGACTTTTTTCTTTTTGTTATCAATTGATTCCAATGATGCAGTTTGGAACTATGTTTTTGTTTGAGTCATTTTGGAACATTTGGGTCATAACATGCATATTTGGCTTCATTTATGCACATATATGGCCATAGTATTAATATTATGTAATATGTATTATAAAATTGCATCAGCCATCACTTACCATATTTACTTCTAACGTTTACAACTTTCTGGCATGCCTCTTGGGCATTTCTAGCTGCCTCAAGGTCACCAGAATTAAAGGCTTCAATAATTTTGTTGAAATATGGGGCCATGAAAGCACTTGTAACAATCGCTTCTGATCCTAGAGATAGTGCTGCTAAATATTGCTGGAAATTAAATGATTTCAATAAAATGATCAACATTATTTAAAATAAAATATACAAAAAGTATTAACAAAAATGAAATAAAAAAAGAATTTACGTTTTTCAATTCTCTCACATCAAATACTGTAGTACAATAAAACAAAGTGTGCTTTTAATGCTGTTAAGTAAATATCATTTTTAAACTTTAAGCATGTACCTCATACATCTTTAATTACTTAATAATTTAATTATGTTGCTTACATCATCAGTCCCCATCATGAACTGGTAACCACGGTGTTCCCTCATCCCTGTGAACAGACTGGGAAGTTGCGGAGATGAATGTTTTACTCCGCGTAGTGTCTTTATTTCATCTTTAGCAAGATCAAAGAATCTTGAGACACTTACTAAAATGGTAAACAAACATTTTTAATTAAAAATAATCAGAGTTGTCTGAAAAGAAATATTGCCAGGAAGCCAGGAATTTTGAATATCAGGGTTTTAACAAAAAATTTAAAAATTTGGAGTAAACACTAAAAATCAGGATTTACCCTAATCTAGATCTGGAGTTGACAGATAGGTACGAGTATTTTTACATACAGAAAAATGAGACGAGTATCCAAATGACTTACTGTAGACGTTTGTCATTATATTGAAGTCGTAGAGATAGAATGGAGTATTGGGAGCAGCATCTGCCACTTCTTTCATATAGCTCACTACACTCTCTGAAAATGAACCATATACATGTAATCACAAAACTATTTTTGCTTCTTTTCACAACCTTTAATTTACTAAACAGGACAATTCGGACTCTGTGGATCCTTTTCAACTGTTATAAGAACTGAATTGCTACAAAAAATGGCAATCAATTAATTAATTGACAAGAAAAAAATAGTTTTGTGATTTAATGATCCAACCTGAAGAACATGTTTAAGCATATACATGTAGTTCTAATAGAAATGTCATGAAGAGGTATTATAAGTTCTGCTGCTCCAGTTCTGAGAACTTTATTGACCCTACTAAACTCTCAGGCTATTGTTTTCATCCTCTTTTACTAAAAGATCTCACATTTTTCTCTAGCTAATTTTTAATTACTCCAGGTTTCTAATTAAAAAGTCTCATTTTCTCTGCAATACAATGCATCTCACTTATTTAATTGCCAAAATGATTATATATGTACATGTATAATGAACTCTAACAATGAATCCTATAATTGAGTTACCCTTTTCAAAATTTGATTTCACTTCCTTTAAAAGGCTTGTACCTACCTTCATTATTGGCTCTAAAGAAAGATGGCGCTATACATGCTATGCCATCTACTCCAATACTTTCTGCATGGCTGGCCTTGAAAGATAAACTTATATAAACTACATGTATATTTAGACACATTAGCATAAAAACATGTGAGACAATCAGATTACAAACATATGAAGACACTAAATTCAAGATATAAATGTACATGTTATAGTTATTAATTTATGTCAACAAAATATCTCGAGGACAATCATGTATATTATTTTCAGAAAAGTAACTTGTATGATATATGTGCCAATACACTAATATTACTACTATCAATATTACGACATTTAACAAAAATGCTTTCCTAACTGAATCAACTTTGATTTGTGACTTACTAGTTGAATACTGTCTTTTAGGTTACCAGTTCCGATGTGCAACAATATGGATTCAAACCTTGAGAATTTGCATAAAACAAAAAGAGTAAGGTTTGCAAAAATAAATAAATGGAAAGGACAGACAAATATGAGTACAGAAGATAAAACAAAAACATAACTGTAAAATAGGAATATCTTACATGGGCGTAGCCAGAGGGGTGTGGGCTGTGAAAAATCATAGTTTGAAATGGTTAGAATGCACCATATATAATGTAAATTCTAACCCCCCCCCCCTTAACGCAAACCCCAAAAATCGCACCCCTCTTGACGCCCATGTCTTACCATAAATTTCTCTTGAACATATAAAGAAATTGCATGTATTTTAATGATAACAAATTAAAGCACATTAAAAAGCAATTAGGCTAAATGCCAACGTACCAAAGGTTCGAGCGTAAAGGAATAATAAATCAAAATATTTGGGCAAAGCCTTCCTTTAAGAGGCATGAAACATAAGTGAGAATCAATTTAAGAAATAACCTTGAATATTTGGACAGATTTGAAGTAATAAATACTGATGTTATTATCAAATGTAAAAGATGTACCTACTTGTCTTTTTGCTGCATCCAAAGTTCCGCAGTTTTTATTCTCTCCTCCATTGTCATTGACAACCCCTCACCAGTTGTGCCATTTACTATAAAATGGTGTGGTGAACAATTAATATGTAAAGTGTGAAAATACATTATTTGTCATGACTTGAGATTGTTCGAAAAAAGGTGACTTTTAAATGAAAAAGTTGTTGGTCTTTTAATCTTCAAATATTTGAATTTCCCACCATTTTAGCAGCAAATGCTTAGGTTTTAAGAATACAAAAAAACTATACTTTAAAACACAATATTTTCTACTAATCTACACTCTGTATGACAAATCAAGTAAAAGTTACATTATTTTGTGAAATTATTTCTCTTACTTTGCAACCAAGCTTTTATTTTTCTACATAAAATGGTTCAAAAAGTTGTAAATCAATTGTTCAGCCAACAGGCCAATGATAATTGACTTTATACATGAGAAAGTTCCCTGAAAATGACAAAGTTCTTCTTTTTGTCAAATGTTATAGAGTCAAAACACCAAAAACTGTAATTTCAAGAGCTTTGAAATCTTCAGAGAACACAAGTTGCATATACAGCAACTACTACGAGTTATTTGAAAGTTCTACTTCAACAAAGTGTCTAGTATTTACAGAAAATTTGACTTTTTGACATCAAAATCAGCAATTTCTCAGAAACCGAGAAAATAATATTCAATAAATTGAATAAAGACATACAAAGGTAATAAAAATGGGTTTACAATTATTTTCTATACTTGTTCCCATACTTACCAAATAAATGCGGGATTTTCAATTTTTGAAGATGATCAGCATATGATTTAAATTTGCTGTAATCAACATCCCTGAAACATACATAATAACAGGTAAATCTAATGCTTTTTCATTATTGATGTACATTTATGAGGGGCATTCAAAAATAGTACAAAGTCCTTACTTTCATGTTTGTAAACAAATCAAAATGTAATTTTAAGAGGTTGGAGGCAATATGCCCACTTAATACAGGCTAAATATAATAAATTCAAATAAATGACCTTTAAAACTCAATAAGAAATGAATAATACATAACCAGATTAGTTTTTTACTCCGAATCTATCTCAATGTATTGAGAAGAATATGTAGAAGAGTTTATGTATTAATTCTTTTATGTTGATTGATATACTCCCTAAATCTCAGCATTTCTAAAAGTGTTCCAGAGGGCTACATGTACAGTAAAACTTGTTTACAGTGAGACACAAAAATGTGTTCACTATAGGTTGGTGTTCACTAAAATGATTTGTTTTAATACAGAAGTCAGTGCCAGTGGAGTATGTCCTGAGATGAGGTGTTCACTAGACACAGGTGTTTACAAAAGAGAAGTGTTCACTAAGACAGGTTTTACTGTATGTCTAAAACTAGCTTTTTACTAAAAATAAGTTGTTTGGTCAATTTTCAAATGTACAGGGTGGTCAAAAAAATGGAAACCCTGTCACCATTTTCCTCATATCTTTGTCATTTTAGGAAATTACTCCTTGATATTTAGCACATTTGTACATCATTCAATTTCCTACCGGCCAACCATATTTCATGACCATCAAATTGATAGTCACAACGTTACAGCACTTTAAACAACATGCTCCATTGGCCAATATTGCACTTTCGGCAAACCTGCACCTATCATCCAAAATGTCCCTCCCTAACTTCAACCTGTGGTGATACACCAAAAAAGAGTGTACGAGAATAACCCCAGGACAACTGTAGACCTCAAAAAGCAGATCATCCATGTCATTCAGGCCATACCTGCTGAAAAATGTAGTCAGATCATTGACAACCTGTTCAGATTTACCAATAACGCGATGGTGGCCACACTGGGGCATCTTGTTCAAAGTGCTGTACCATTGTGACTATCAATCTGATGGTCATGAAATATGGTTAGCTGGTAGGAAATTGAATGTTGTACATGTGTGTCAAATTTCAGGGAATAATTACCCAAAATGACGAAGATGTGAGGAAAATGCAGGGTTTCCATTTTTTTTGACCACCCAAATTGTTTTTTCTTTTGGTACCAAAAAGTTATTAAGGGCTGTATCTCAGTCATGTTGCATAATATTTACGATATATAAATATCTGTACTCACTTGCCGTCTTTAGTAAATGGAGTAAAGGGAGCAGCCATACATCCTTTAGGGGCATATGTTGACTAAAAAGAGAAAGAAAATGAAAATGTTAAATAAATACACATTAAGAAGGAGCTAATGCCAGTAATGGATGGCAATGAGTTGGTAATTATGAAAGACCTAGTACAGTAGTACCCAAGCCATCTCCTAGGATGCAGATTTCAAAAGTTCTCAAAAGAAATTCACAGGCCTGTCAACTGTCCCGCAATTTGCGTATTTGTCACGCATTTGCTGAAGAATTTGAAGTCACGCCAGTTTTTTTTGCGTGACAGAAAATGTCACGCAAATACGCATTTTACCTGGTAATTGTCACGCAAATATGTTTCTGTAAAAATTTTTTCAAAATATGTTTATGATACGGTAAAAATACGAACGTCGGAAAAAAACGAACGCAATTTGTTCGGATTTGTCACGCTAATCCCGTATATGTCACGCATGTTCATCGGAAATTTTCGTACCTACCCCAGGGGCGGATCCAGGAACCAATAAGGGGGGGGGGCCCAAATTTCAGGTCAGAGAAAAAAGTCCGCACTTGCGCGGAAAAAAATTTTGGGCCCCTAAAATCCTAAAGTGGGCCCAAATTTTGAAATTTTGAGGCCCATTTTCTTCAAAATTTGGCCTGAAATTAAAAAATAAGGCCTTTAAAGGCCCAGTAATGACCAAAAAGGCCCACTTTTGGGGCCTGAAGGCCTTTTTTGGCCCAAAAATTTTTTTGGGCCCAATTTTTTTTTTCTGGGCCCACCCAAGGGGGGGGGGCCCGGGCCCCCAGGCCCCCCCCCTAATCCGCCAGTGTACCCCCCCCCCCCCTATAAAATACGGTAAAAATACGAACGTCGGAAAAAAACGAACGCAATTTGTTCGGATTTGTCACGCTAATCCCGTATATGTCACGCATGTTCATCGGAAATTTTCGTACCTACCCCCCCCCCCCCCCCCCCCCCCCCCCCCCCCCCCCCCCCCGTTGATGACATCGCGAGCGTAGCGAGCGCGAAAAATTTGAGGTGATAAAAGTTTAGCAAAGGTGCTCAAACTTTGGCCAAAGGTGTTTAAAAGTTGGCCAAAGGTGTTCAAAATTTGGACAAAAGTGTTCAGATTTGGACTTCGGTGTCCAACATTTGTAAGTCACTCATATTAGGTGGTCCCAAGTTGACAGCCCTGAATTCATCCAAAAACTGAGTATTAATCCTAGCAACATTGCAAGATTCACTAGAAATTAAGTAGACTACAATAATTTTCTCATAACATTATAAAGTTTAACAAGGCACATGACGTGAACAAGATCACACCATCGAAAAAACTTCAAAATGGCCACCAGAAAACAAGATGGCCACCCAAAAGTTAGTAAGCTCTAGAACTTGATATCCTCTGTGTGCAAATTTGGAGAAAATCTGATGAGCGGTGATAATGGCGATGATAAGATTTATCGAAAAATCTTCAAAATGGCCACCAGAAAACAAGACAGTCACCCAAAAGTTAATCAACTCTAGAACTTGATATCCTCTGTGTGCGAATTTGGAGAAAATCCAATGAGCGGTTTTCCTGAAATGGCGATGACAAGATTTATCGAAAAACCTTTAAAATGGCCACCAGAAAACAAGATGGTCACCCAAAAGTTAATCAACTCTAGAACTTGATATCCTTTGTGTGCGAATTTGTAGAAAATGCGATGAGCGGTTTTCTTGAAATGGCGATGACAAGATTTATCGAAAAACCTTCAAAATGGCCACCAGAAAACAAGATAGCCACCCAAAAGTAAATTAACTCTAGATTATGATATCCTCTATCATGTGTGTGAATTTGGAGAAAATCTGATGAGTGGTTTTCCTAAAATTTCGATGACTTAAGTTTTATCGAAAAACCTTTAAAATGGACGAAAGAAAACAAGATGACCACACAAAAGTTAATCATCTCTTGAACATGATATCCTCTATCATGTGTTTGGAGAAAATACGATGAGTGGTTTTCCTGAAATCACTATGGGATAAAGTGGAATGATCACAATAATGCCCACGATAACGATAATGATCAAGCCGTCATCAATGAGGAATGACTAACCAATGAGGTATCTTGGTATCTGAATGGATGGTTGAGATGAGGGTATTGACAGCCCTTAGATTTGAAGGGTTGGTGCCAGAGAATGAAATAATGCTGCTCAAAATTGATATGACTGGTACCAAAGAATGAGATGATGGTGCTTAGAATTGAAATGACTGGTATCAGAGAATGAAATGAAGGCACTTAAATTTGAAATGACTGGTACCAGAGAATAAAATAATGGTACTTAATGAGATGACTGGTACCAGAGAAATAGATACTGGTGCTTAAAATTGAGATGGCTGATACCAGAGAATGAGATAATGGTGCTTAAATTTCAGATGGCTGGTACCAGAGAATGAAACAATGGTGCTAAAATTGAAATAACGAAATGATGGCACTTAAATTTGAGATGGCTTGTATCAGAGAATGAAATGATGGTGCTTAAAATTTGAGATGACTGGTATCAGAGAATGAAATGATGGTGCTTAAAATGAGATGACTGGTACCAGAGAATGAGATAATGGTGCTTAAATTTCAGATGGCTGGTACCAGAGAATGAAACAATGGTGCTAAAATTGAAATAACGAAATGATGGCACTTAAATTTGAGATGGCTTGTATCAGAGAATGAAATGATGGTGCTTAAAATTTGAGATGACTGGTATCAGAGAATGAAATGATGGTGCTTAAAATTTGAGATGACTGGTAACAGAGAATGAGACGATGGTGCTTAAAATTGAGATGGTTAGTACCAGAGAATGAGACGATGGTGCTTAAAATTGAGATGGTTAGTACCAGAGAATGAGATGATGGTGCTTAAAATTGAGATGGTTAGTACCAGAGAATGAGAAAATTGAGATGACTGGTACCAGAGAATGAGAAATGGTATTTAAAATTGAGATGACTGGTAGCAGAGAATGAAATGATGGTGCTTAAAATTGAGATGACTGGTATCAGAGAATGAAATGATGGTGCTTAAAATTTGAGATGACTGGTATCAGAGAATGAAATGATGGTGCTTAAAATTTGAGATGACTGGTAACAGAGAATGAGACGATGGTGCTTAAAATTGAGATGCAGAGAATGAGATGATGGTGCTTAAAACGGAGATGTTTAGTACCAGAGAATGAGAAAATTGAGATGACTGGTACCAGAGAATGAGATGATGGTGCTTAAAATCGAGATGTTTAGTACCAAAGAATGAGAAAATTGAGATGACTGGTACTTACTATATTTGCACATAGCCATCTTTTAGTAGATGTAGTATCTATCAGGAGATAGCTTTGTGCAAACTAAGTAAACTGGTACCAGAGAATGAGATAATGGTATCTAAAATTGAGATGACTGGTAGCAGAGAATGAAATGATGGTGCTTAAAATTGAGATGACTGGTATCAGAGAATGAAATGATGGTGCTTAAAATTGAGATGGCTGGTATCAGAGAATGAGATGATGGTGTTAAACTTGAGATGGGTACTAGAGAATGAGATGATGGTGCCGGTACCTGTCAAGGTACCCTGTGCACTCTTTGTGTAAAAATGAGAGATGCAACAGATAGCATGTGTCTGTTTCCTTGATTACGAGAACCCACTGCTGGGGTCTTGAAATAGATCCCAATCCTGCCAATTTTTTAAACTGAAATATGAAAGTTTTTTCCCCCTATAATATTCACAGATGGCAGAATTTTTCTTGGGAAATACGTCCTAAAGAAAGCGCCCTTTATATTTTTTTAGGAGGCATTTCCCGAGACAAATTCTGCCATCTAATCTTAGACTATATTATATTCGGTCTGTTGGATACATACTACATCTAATCTAATATTGCACTGAGATTGAGATTGAGAATTTTTTTGTTTTGATATTTTGATAATTCAAAAATCAAAATCTGGTCCTTGATTCCAAAAATTTCTTATACAGTCCTAGTCAGAAAACAAAAGAGAAACAAAGGGCACTTCCTCACCATGTTCTTTGGTGCCAAAGAGTATGATTTTATACAGAAATTGAGAGAAGTCCAATTTTGAAGTTTCAAGAACTTAGCTGCCATTTTGACTGATCATGTGACTTGATCATGTGACTTTTCAAAATGGCGGACGCAATTTAGAAATTATTGTTTGATTTTTGTGAAGGATTTGTCAATTTACTAGTAAGTGTACTTATTTATTCACTTTTCAATATGATCAGTACATTAACCATGTAATAATCTTTCCATTAAATGTTGATTTTATCGTTTTTGTCATGGGGAAATTGGTATATCCGAGCTGAAAGGCTTTTTTAGATCCAAATGTGGGGTCGATTTTTCAAATTTGTAAATGAAGGGGACAGCATCTTTTCCATTCAATCGAGGTTGGGCCATGGAGCCGAAGGTACACCATACAACCGAAGGTAAGCCATACAACCGAATTTTGCCGATTCAATCTGACGGAGAATGTCGAGCCTCTCTTTTTGACCAATTAGAGACGTCCTCTTCACATTCGTGGTAAATGAAGGGGACAGCATCTTTTCCATTCACTAGTCACTGGAAGCTTATTCCTCAAGTTTATTTCAAGCGTCTTGGAGGACTGAGTTTTTTGTTGCAGTGTAATTATGATATTAAAACACTGGCACACAGTGTTCCTACCTTTTATATGAATTTGCTTCGAAACTATTCAGAATTAAGAAATAGATCGCCGCCTAGAACCAGTTCAGGGGTTAAAGGTGAAATAATTTGGAATAACAAATCAATTCTAATTAATGATAAGGAGGTGATGTACAAACATGTCATGGAAAAGGGGGTCATTTATATTAATGACCTTCTTAACGAGAATGGGGCTTTTTTACAGTACAATGAGTTTAAGACTAAGTATAATATTAATATCAACTTTTCCATCATATCGGCTATACCAAATGATTGGAAATTTCTATTGAAATCAGATTTAAGTTCGACCTTTAAAACCCAGCATACAGGAAGAACTCGTGTATTTGAAACTTGGTGGAAAACAGGTGACAATCTCTAGTATAACGGTTAAATCAATTCAAACAATATTAAATGGAAACAAGTTCTTGGAACCGTTATATAAAGACAAACATGATCGTGAATTAAAGAGAACCGATTATTTTAAAATGCCTTATATGTGTACAAACAGAATAAAACGCGACAACTTCAGTTTAAAATACTTCATGGTATCTGCACTACAAATGCCTTTTTAGCGCAGATAGGCATTAAAAATGACTCTAAATGTAACTATTGTGCCTTTCGAGATATGTTAAAACACAAATTCTGGGAGTGCAAAAGAATTCAAATATTTCTGGAAGCAATCAAAGGGAATTTAAAGCGTTTATTTAAAGTTGATTTCGATTTTAATGCCCATGACATGGTTTTTGGAAGGCAAGCTAATAAGAAAAATATCTTACCAAATAGACTTACCCTTGCAATTAAGTACTATATTTTTATTAAAGAGTTCGCCGAAGTGAATCCCAATTTGTATGAGGCGCAATTTGAAAAAAATATGTTTTATTATGTACCTGAACTTAAAAGTATGACTGTTGCAAATGTCTGAATGAATGGAGGTGGTGTGAAAAATATCTGAACTGTTCTAATTATTGTACTTGTACTGTTTGAATAGAGAAATAAAAAAAAAAATCTTTTCCATTCAATCGAGGTTGGGCCATGGAGCCGAAGGTAAGCCATACAACCGAAGGTAAGCCATACAACCGAATTTTGCCGATTCAATCTGACGGAGAATGTCGAGCCTCTCTTTTTGACCAATTAGAGACGTCCTCTTCACAATCGTGGTACCATCAGCAAATTTGCAAAGAAAATCTTCGGCAATCTCCGGCTTTTCTAGAGGTATCTTCGGTTGCAAGCCAAAAGTTGACACCCGTAAATGAACCACACATTAACTAGGAATGTCACGTCCCTAGGGACTCATGACGGGACAACCCCCTTGTACTGAATATTTTGGTCCGTGTTCAAGATATACTACTTCTCCTATGTATGACCCTAAAAGTAAAACTTTCCAAATGCACGATAAATATGATTTAGACTTGAATTTTCTTTCGTATTTATAACTTCTCTGCCGGACACTGTATTTATGCCCAGAAAGTACTCATGGTTAAAGATATGCCATACTGCACATGGATCTTTGGAGAACTTTTTGTTCTGACCTACTTTCTGGACACAATATTTCAAAAGCAGGTCAAAATACTCGCTGACAGCAAAGGCTAACGCTATTAACATACTCCTTGCTATCTGTAAATCAAATTTCGAAGAATAAGTGTAGTGCCAGAATCCTAGAAATAAGGAGAAACTATGAATTTGACCTAGATTTTGACTTAAAGGAATATTCCTTGCCAAACCATCTCTCTCCTTATATGGTAGCTATAACCATATATATGCTTGCCATGTTTAGCAAAACACGCAAAAATGTTTTGATATGGTCAAATTTGATCACTTAGAAATGTGATGCTCAATTCCAGTAAGCTGCCATCTTTTAAAATTTCACACAGGAAGTGATGTCATCGACTCTCAACTTTGCATATAGCATTAGGTGAGGAGCTATTAAGAATTACAAAACCAGCTAAATATTCTTTTTCAACTTTGTATCTTATTTAATCCTTCTGAAAATCTCTTCTTTTATTCTAAGTTGACAAGCCCTGAAAATATTTTTGCACAGAAAGATGATCACTTGTCTAGAAGTGATTTTGTGCTACTTTCCTATACTGTTATGAGCAAGGTTATAGAAGTTGAGAGTTGATGACATCACTTCCTGCAAGAAATCTTAAAAGATGGCAGCTCACTGGAAATAAGCACTAGATTTTTAAATGATCAATATCGACCATATTAAAACATTTTCCCATGTTTTGCTAAATATGGAAACTATATATATGATTATAGCTACCATATCAAGTGAGAAAGGGTCTGGCAAGGAATATTCCTTTAAGCCTTTTAGTGTCTAAATTTTGAAGGAAAGTAGATTTTTAGGCCTTTTTCTATTGAAGACTTTCATTAAAAGTTGGCTGTCGAGTAGGTAGCTGAGCAGTTGGTATTTTTCAACTACATGTAAGATAACAGAGTTCTGCTTTAACCTTCAGTCAGTTTTACTACTCCCAAAATTATTTACATGACCGCGATCACAATGGTCATGGTCACAATGACCCTTGCCATGTTGAAATAGATTTTTCAGCCCTCTGAAACTGTGACTGAAAAAAGTTAGCATTTCCGAAAGGTCACCAAACCAAACAGAATATTTTGCATTTTTCAGAAAATGTGCCCAATATATTGCTTTAAATGATAGGAGCGAAAAGTTTGAGGTGTCCAAAATTTGGTTATATGCAACAAAATTTGAACCAATGTGCTCAGAATGTGAGGCAAGGTGTTCAGATTTGGGCCAAGGTCTCCAAAATTTGAAGAAAGGTGTTCAACATTTGTAAGTCACTCATGTTAGGTGTTTCCAAGTTGACAGGCCTCCAAATGGCAGGTGGTGACATTTGGCCTGTTAATGGGTTGTAGAGAATGACGCTGTCTATATGTCCATCCGCTGGTAATGTGTATGTCTGTAAGTGTTCATCTGTATGTCCGTCCAGGCAATAACTCAAATACTGTTGGACCAATACTGTTTATATTTTATATGTATATGCCCCATGAGAGTACAAGCTGATTTTCAAAATGACTATCTGTCTCAAAATGGTCAACATTTTAGTGTAAATTTTACAGTATGTAAGTAAAACATATAAAATTGTATTATTCATATGTTTTAAATGATATTGATTTAAGTTGAAAATCTAAATATTTAAAAACATGGTGGCCATCTTGAAAAATGGCGGCTGTAACACACCAATTTTTTTTTTTGATTTTTGCTATAACTGAAAAAGTACTGGAATGATTTTAATCCTATTTGGAATGTGAATTCTGATAAGCATGGCACATTGCTAATGGCACTGGCTAGAAGGCCGACATTGTTACTTTGAGATGCTTTTTGATTGGTCAATCAGCCTGAAGACACACATTGAACTCTCTTGCATTGTCTCAGTGTAGATACATTGAAGACTTGCACTGCCATAAAGTATAGTCAAGGGATTATCAACAGGCGAAGTGGCCACGAGGTCATCTTGCACATAAATATGGTTTTGCGATATCCATAACAAACACCTGTAGGAATAATGGAAATCTTGGAACCCTTGAATAACTTTTCATAATATTTTGTTAAAGTGGCAGCCATGGCTGTTTGATGGGATTTACTACACCTTGGCATTGCTGTCATCTACCTAAAATAGTTATATGATTTATGCGTTTCAGAACCTAAACAATGACAGACATACTAAATGCCTTGAAGACACAGGATTTTCCTAAGTGTACACAGATTGCTTTGTGCCACATAGAAACCCTACTGGCCTCATGTAGAAGTATACCAGGTCTGGGAGACCCACAGAATGAACTCGCACATAGAATCACGCAGGAATATGTGTTTTGTCAGCATGTGTCAAGGAAAGGTGGACTTTTCAAGGTAAGGCAGTCTTGATTAAATATTTTCAATTTAAGTACCAACTATTAATGTTTTATTCATACACCTAATGTTTTTGCTGCAAGTACTTTAAATACATGTATATTGTCCTTGAAGGAGGGTCCATTTCTGGACACTACTTTTGGTGGAAATACACCAATTATATTTAAAACAAATAATAAATGAGATACATGTACCTCTTCATGAATTTATGAGTCCAAAGAGGAATTGTTCTTTTCCAACTGTTCTTATCTTTTATGCAACCCCTGTGAAAGATCTTACAAAATACACGTACATGTACCAAATTATAATACAATGTTGAAATTCAAATTATTTTATAGAAACTCACTGCAATCCAAGAAATTCAACTTTGCGAATTGCTCCTCCAACATTTTGGGAAGCAGCAAGACCCGAGTAAATTGCAAGCTTTATTTAACCAGCTATTTGACATGAAACAGGAGCCATATCGACTGGATATTCTGTGTAAGATGGTATCTATGGCGATTGGTTTGAAATCTGCCCCTGTGTTGAATGCAACAGGTGCTTGGCTACAGGTGAGGGATTCAACTATTTTTAAATACAATTAGTGAATTTGTTGATATAATTAGGTCAGTAATAGGGGTGAAACAAATACAGAGGAGCAAATATATTTGAAGGTCCAATGGCAAAAAATGATATCTGTGGTATGTGATGAATATATTGACCATTGACTACATGCATGTGGGCTTGTTTAAATTATTTTGTTTTCTGCTTCAAAATCAAGCATTTTTGCTTCTATTTCATGCAATGTACATAAAACATATCACAAAGGACAAACAGTCTCCAAATACATATATATATATATATATATACACAGGGTGTCTCAAAAATGTACCCAAAAGTATATCAACAGCACAAATAAACCAATCAATATTTTCAGACATTTTTTGCATAGTCATGTAGCCAAAACATGAAAGTTTTCTCCCCAATACACCGTTTTTATTTCAGTCTTCTTTTTGATCATTTAACTCTTTATCTCTTACACCACATAATCAAATAATCAATGTAACCTCATATTTCGATGACAGCCTGTATCCTTACTGCTACATTGTTCACCACATTTGATAATAATTCCAGGAGAATGTTTTGGATTTCTCATTGGGTTCTGCCCTTAGGTCGTTCTTGGTCTTTTTGCTTTGAATCAGCATTAAAACAATCCTTCAAATAGTCACAGAGAAAGATGTTTGAGGATGACGATTGCAGAACAAACACAAAGAACCAGGTCAATTATTGGCAAATGATTTAGGAGTTTCCTTCCAGAGTTATGCAGACTAGCCTGGAGACCAAATGGTATCCAAATGAAAACACAGTGGTCTCAAATTGATTGAGCCCCTCTACACACAACAAAGGCTACACTAGAATCCCAACCAATGCAGTTTCTTGAACATCTGACCTCTCTGTATAAGGGGGCTATGAGACATTGTGAGGGCCCCCCTATTCACCAGATTTGAGGGTCCATACTATTTCTCTGGGGCCATTTGAAGGATCATTTAAAATGCTTAACCCAACCTCAGAGACCTAGAATAACTTAAGACCAGCATCCAAACAGAAATCAAAACATTCCACAAGAAAAATATCAAATTTGATGAACAATGTAGGAGTGAGGATGCAGACTGTCATCAAAATATGAGGTTACATTGATTATGTGGTGCAAGAGGTAAAGGGTTAAAGTATCAAAAGGGCAAATCTGAATTAAGGTACAGCTGGAAAATAACATTTTGGTAAAAAGTTGCTTTACCTGCACATGTTATTTTCTGGTACACTATAAAGTATGAAGGCATGTGTTAGTTTCCTTGCTTTTTTCAGGAAAGTATCATTACATTGTCCTCTTTTAGTATATCTGGTAAGAGGTCAATGGGAACTCCATTAAATTCTGATATTTTACACTTTCTATTTTTCCTTTCAAAGTTTCCAGACAACACAGGAGCTACCATTGACCTGTTTCCAGGTTACTAAAAGTAGACAATGTAATGATACTTTCCTGAAAAAAGCAAGGAAATATACACATGCCTTCATACTTTATTTTGTACCGGAAAATAACATGTGCAGGTGTAGCATTTTTTTTACCAAAATGTTTCTTTCCAGCTGAACCTTAAAACTGTACATAGGGGAAAAAACATGTTTTGACTACAAGACCATGCAAAAAATGTCTGAAAATATTAATTGGTTTGTCTATGCTGTTGATATACTTTTGGGTACATTTTTTGAGACACCCTATATGTACAAGGGGCGATCCATATATTCTGATAAAAATGCTCTCATTTTGCTATTTTTTCACATATCCATCTCATATTTTCAGAAAATGTAGATTATGAAATTACACCTACAATGCTGAAATATTATAGCTACATCTTAAATTAATTAAGAGATAGGGTTACCATGGTAACCTGTATTAAGGGTATCAAAGTTAGACAGGTCAATTAAATTATAACTTATAAAATATCATAATAACTTGTTATTTTAATTATATTAAAGCATGCGGAAATCATACATTTTTTCTAAAAAAAAGTTTGGTATTGTTTCTCGTTGTTTGTTGCTAAACAAATGTTTATTTGTGATCACTATAACATCACAACAACTCACAATAGCAATGTATGACAGGATGGGCAAATTGGAATTACATGTCATGAGACACACCAAATATCAAAATGACAGATCAGATGAGGTTAGTGCAGCTGTTGCAGAGTGTGACATTAACAGATACATTAGGAGTACCATTAGATTTTATGTACTACCAAGAATAAGTAAGAGGACACTACCAGAGACATACATGGACTCGTATAGTGGATGGACAAGGTGTTATATCTGCTCTAAGGATCTCTAGGTAGTATTGTAAATTTTAGGAAGGCTAGTCACTGTTGAATATCATTTCCAATCTGGTTGCAAGAAGAGCTTGCGGACAGAGAATAACACTACGATAATTTGAGATGCAATTTTTGAAGAAAGAACTATTCCAATGTGGAAATAGCAAACAAGGGCAACAGGGGTATGGAGCAGTTCAACGAATAGTTGGCAATGACCTGGGTATGCGTTTGATCTGCTTGAAATAGGCACCGAGGAATGATAAAATTAACAAATTTATCTATTGTATATGTTACAATTTAACTGACCTGCCTACCCTAAATACAGGTTACCATGGCAACCTTATCTCAAAAATAATTTAAGATATAGCTATAATAATTTAGCATTGTATGTATAATTACATAATCTTCAAGTTCTGAAAAAATGAGAGGGATATGTGAAAAATCACAAAATGAGAGCATTTTTATCAGAATATATGGATCGCCCCTTGTATATATACAGTGTAATGTACATATTGTGTAATTCATGGTCCTCATTTGTTTTAATCTTAAATATACTCACATATAGGCTCCCCTATAATTAGAAACTTAAAATATGTTGAAACATTTTCCATGTTTCTACCCCAATCAATATTATTAATTCATTTCAGATCCAAGGCCCCAGTAAACCAACATCTGCAGTCCTTGTTGGAGCGCTCGTCTTAGATTACTGTCAACTGATACCTGATGTTGTCGCATCTCTTCACGCCATTATCCAAATTTCTCCTCGTTTCACACACAGCTTCCTAATGGCAGCCTCTATGCTGTATGATCTGAAAGGTACACAGCCAATCTCTATAAGTAATGTTACGTATTATAAAATATGGTACTGTACGGTATCATTGACTAATTTGTCTCAAAAAGTATGGCACTGTACAATGAACACTGTACGGCACCATACTCGATTGGTACCATACTCGTAATTTACCATGATTTCAGAGTATGAATATACAGGCCGGTAACATCATAATGACCCCAAATGCATCCATCATGGACTTTCATTGGAGTTTGAATGTAAAATAAATTTATCTGAAAGGTATTATATGTTCATTGATAATTAAGCTTATTCAGCAAAATTAAAGATGAAAAGTGATATGAGCAAGGAATAAAATAATCACACAGTTGAAATCAAAATCAACATACAAAACATTTATTATGGTCACCCCAATTTTACATTTTACCTGTTCACATATTGTATCTGATGCTGGGTAAGTAAGAAGATAATTAGAGCTCAAGTTTTTAAATTTATTTATTTCTTTTCAGATAATAAAGAAAATAATAGGATACCCCCCGATAGTCTTGTTGAAGTGATAACTGATTGGTTGGCTTCAGAGCCATCTATCTGCTACCCAGGGAAACACAGTACACCACGACAAGCCCCAAGCCGTCCATCAGGACTATGGAATCCTGGGATTGATGTAGAACCTGATTTGGGGCCAGAATCTCCAATACCTGGATTTGTGAATTGGTGTGTCAGAGCACCTCTTATATACAACCAAGATTATTTGAAGCTGCATCCTGGTTCATCTATAGAGACATTAAAGAAAACAACCATACTTTACTCGAAGTTACATTTAGCTTTATTACACACGATTCATTTGTATGGCAAACAAAAAGCTCCTCCATCGGGGGAGTTACTAAGGAACACCCATATGCTGCAAATAGCCTCAAATCTTGGAGTGTTAATTGGAAAGAATAAAGACATGGAAGTAGATCTTGTAGATGTCACTTTAGACAGACTTGCTCAAATATATCAAGTTGCCATGGCAACTGGTGCGATGAAATATTCAAAGGATGATATCACTAAGATTGTACATATGTTACCTAGCAATAAGTTGTTTGAGGCAATGGCTGAGTTCACAGTTGGTCACTAAGACAAGTAGCGTAATCTCAGACTCATCAACCACCAACCCAATGTCTGGGAACAAGCTATGGATAGTCTCTTATTATGAGCCATAAGCATGGAATCTTTTTGACAACTTGTATATTCAATTTGACAAGAAAGACAGAAAAGAAGCCAGGGAAATAAATCTTGAACATACATGTACTGATGTAGTTATTTTTTCATGTATAACATTATCTTAGAAAATCAAATTTTCTATGCACAGGAATTCAGATAACTCTGTGTATGAGTAAGATATATGTGGGATTATTTTGTGGAAAATTCATTTCTCTGAGATAAGTTTTTTCCAGCTAACTTTGGGACATAAAAATCTCATACCTTAGTAAAACCCTGGGAGTAAAAGGCTTGTTTAAGAGCAGGCCTGTAGCCATGGAGGGTTCGATGGGTTCGAGCGAACCCCCCTGGCCAAAAATTCTTTCAAAATCATGCAGTTTTTCACCATTCTGAGCACTTTTTAAGTGATTTGGGCCATTTTTGGACCAAAATTGTCAAAAGTGAACCCCCCTGGAATTTTCCAAAAAGTGAACACCTCATTGGCAAATCCTGGCTACGGGCCTGAAGAGTGTTGAATTTGAAACCCTGATTCTAAAGATATTCTACAAAATGCAAGTATTTGAATCTTACACAACGTTACAATTTATGCATATTATTTCAAACCCTTCGATTCCACTATTCACCTGGAAGTTGAGCAAATGTTAGAGTTCTTAGTGGGAATCCCTTAGAAATACAACTGCCCTGTATAAATTGAAATAAGCTTTTTAATGCATCCCTTAAAATCATATGGAGAAGAAATGATTTGCTGAAAGGTAAAAACTCCACCACCAGAACTAAGAATTAGATGTCGACAATAGTTTATGGTGAATTTCTACTTTTTCACCCAACCCTACTGAAACTTCATTTGTATCAAAAAACGGTAAAAAGTAGTTCTATGTAAGTTCATCTCTCTGGTTTATATAAAAAAAATTGAACACTTTATTTCTACAGATATCAATTTATTTTATCAGGTAAATACAGATCCAAAGTCTCGATAAAATAAATTGCTATCTCTCAAGAAATTAAAGTGTTTAAAAAGTTGCATTAAAAGTAGTTTGAATCAGGCAGCTCGATATATTATATTAAGTATTTTGTAATATTAATTTTATTGATGATGATCTGAAGTAACTAGATACTCCATCAACAGGAATGGTGAATAAAGATATGGAAGACTTACCTTTATTGTCTGAAATAATTTTTAATGGTATTACCATGAATAAATATCAGCAGTATAGGGGGTGTTACATAGCCTACAAAGTTACAACATGTACAGGGTGTTTCATAATGATCGTAAAACGTGTACCTCTTGTTGAGGTATATAGCAAGTTGTAAAAACTAAACCTGATGAGCTCATTTAAGTTGTTTCAATAAGTCCAAACTTGAACAAACTTTCATATGATGTTATTATTATTATTTTATTCACCTTCATAATGGTGGCACACCTCAAGGGGTGCAATACAGATATAAAACATATTACAATCAATCTTTCAATTTAATATGTACTTTGATAATATTTTGATAAGAGAACGTTAAAACCAATATCTTGCCAATAATTCATCATTACCAAGCAGCCAATATAGTTTTGTGTCTTCTGGTAAGGTTAAAAAATTCATTCCATACAGGAGATGGAAGCGTTGATTTTAAATCATTGAATAGGGCATGGCATTCAGCCGTGAAAAAATGACATCTGAGTAATCCATGACATAGGTCATCCCTACATTCATCATTGCATAATGAACAAAGTCCAGTTACCTTTCCCCTCTCTCTAAATCAGTCTGTAACATGAAAGTATATAACATAATGAGAGTATGCTATTTAGGATTGGTGATCAATTGGGGATGGTCATTATGAAACACCCTGTACATAATATAGAAGATTATACAATCTGAGACTGACTGTCTCTTCACTTGTTCCTTGGCCTACCAGTGGTCTCTTGTCAGATAATGTAACTTTGATTATTTTGAGGCTGTTAAATAAATTAAATGTTTCGATATTTGGTATTTTGCGGCTTTTTAATTTGGCAGATTTGGGCAAAGTTCAATTTCTTAGTTGTCATTGAAAAATTGGGCCCAAATTTTGAAAATTTAGGATCCATTTTCTTGATAACATAGCCTACAAATAAGAAAAGGCAGTAATTGTCAATTTCTTTTGGGCCCAAATTTTTTCTGGGCCAATCCTAAGGGGGGGGGGGGGGGTAATCCACCAGTGGGTTGCAGGTATGCATTTTCTATGCAAGGAGTTGTACAATTTATCAAGTCCATGATGTTATGACACTTAAAATGAAATAAATCAGTGTCTACTCTATATATTCATGTGTTTGTTATATGTTAGTGATTTAGTTCTTTGTTCATTTGATCTTTAGTAATGGTTTATCAATTTCAGTCAATTTTTTAGCATTATTATGTCATCACCAGGAAGTTTGTCACCACTGATGACAATAAAGTCTGAGACCAACACTTAGATGGGTTTTTACTTTTTGATACTGTTTGCAACAAGGAGGTGGTGATATTTTGTCACATAGCTGTACATGTACAGGCCCCTTATAGAATTGTTCAGTTTTCCAATCAAATCCTTGTCATCCTTAATTCCCTCAAATGATCAATAACCTAACAGCACTTGTATGTATACCTTTGGTACCTCTCAGTCTCTAGTGTTCCATTATTTGTATTCCGCAAGTGCTGATGGCATTATGGAAAAGAACTAAAAAAAACTTTACAGAACAAAGCAAAAGAACACATTTAAGAGTACACTACTAATCATAAGTGAAAGCAAACCCCAACATCCCAGATCACAATTCAATATGAAAAGAAATAGTGTATACCCCCACTGTTCAAGTTCCAATATCACAATCTGATGCCATACTCGCGTTACTGGAGTCTTGGTCATTACAATGCATGTTGAAGGATAAATTTAAAACTGATAGTCAAACATCAAAAATAGGTGATTATGTACATGTAATTTATCATAATGGTACTTTTTTAATTGACTTTAAATGGTACTTTTTTATACTTGACCTTATATGCCCCCCTTATATGGTATTTGGTGTCAGTGTTTGTCTAATGTATTATTTTTGGTTACAATTTCTTCTAAATAATAAATAGATTGAATTAACAAAGTTGTACTGAACCAGATCAAACCCCTCATTTTCTTCCACAGCATCAGTTCGTTTCATTTGATGTGGAGGAGATCCAGCATTTAGATATAACTTAGAAGAGTTCATGTTTGAGGGGAAATATTTGTACAAGTGATTTAATAGTCATCGCACTATTAGAAATTAATTTGCAATTTTTAATTGATTCAAAAATTATAAATGTATAATATGTCAGTTCATTATATTTTATTCTTATTTCATTTAGATTTCTCAAAATTATAGCAAACAAAGTATTCCACCACCCCTATTGTTAGACTCGTCTTCTTCGGTAATCTTCGCCATTCTCCGGTTATCAACAATTGCGATTTTAGGAAAAAAAAGTCGTGTAAAAGGAGTCTCCAATTTTTGACAAATTACACCCTTTACTTATAGTTTTCACTCATGAAATAATCGACATAACGATAATAAGACGACAAGAAACACAATGGAGGATGATAGGGAGCGTGAAAATGACTTAAATCCTGGCAATTGGCTCACGAATTGGGAGGATAAATGTATCCAAGATTTTGAAGACGAACCCAATATGGACGATATTATACAAGCTGAACGAGAAAGGGCGGCCCAAAAACTGTGGTTTTCATTCCAAAATTCAGCTTCTGGTGTAGCTCAAATGTACAAAGGTAAAGTATATATTCATATTAAGCAGAGATATTATCAATTCAGATGTAAAATCTCGTGCCTGACCTTCATTTATATATGACCTTTTCCCATAAATTTTCTGGAAATCAGACAGTCTCAGTCTGAACCTGATAATTGTTTATTCTCATTTATAGGAAATAGGAAAATCTGGGACCCAGATGAGTTTATTTAGTTCTTGGGATATGACTTTGTTCATCATTAAATCTACGTTTTGATCAATTGAAGATAATCTCTGGAGAGTTTCAATAAACTTCATTATGAATTCTGATGAACCTTGTCCATCTTTGCTTTGTTTGACATCTTTGTAGAAGATTGAAACTTGACACTGAACTTTATCAGTTTAACACAACAGTATTATCAGCTCTGATGAACCATATGAAAGTTTGCATATTTCTGTCAAATGTGCTTGTTTGAAACTGACCAACAAAAACCTAAGATTATCACGAAGATTGCGAAATTCCCATTTCCTCACTGAATCATACTGGCATGCAGGCTCATTTTTGCGAGGGGGGAGGTTCAGTTTTAAAAAATTCTAGGGGAGGGGGGTCAAATTCAGGCCAAAGATTTATTTACATAATGACTTATTGCACTGTTATTTGATTGCTTATTTTTGGTTTGATCAGGTTTTTGGTCTGGTTTGATAGACTTACAATTTTGCGCTGCCTCAGATTGTAGATTGGAAGCAAATGGCTTAGAAGTCTTGTCATCACACTATAACAATGTTCATCCATTTCATTTTCATGATTTCACGGATGGAAGATAGTACAGCAAGCTTTGAAATGATCTCTCCTTTGTCTTGAGGTGTCTTTATATTTCTACTGTTGCAATATACAATAGAAATATTATTTTACTTGGGAATTTTTTTAAATAGGACGACATGATCTGAATGGATGCAAGGATTCAATAGGCTGAGACTGGAGAAATTGTAATTTGAACCTTGTCAATTAAACATGTAATCTATGGAGGAAAAGTAGGTTGTTTCCCCCTTAGCTTTCCAGGGGTTCACTATGTACAAAATTTCGGCAGGGGTCCTAGACTAAACCCTCAGATATCAATATGTTCCCATACCAATTTGTCAAATTTTGATGTGTTCCCATACCAACCAATATAATGCCGAAAAGTCATACCAAATGTCAAAATATAAGACCAATGCCATACCAAATGTCTAAATATAGGACCAATGACTATCGATGTTATGATTGGTCCAAAGAAGAATATTTCCTGGGAAAAAAGCTAAAATTTTAACTGAAGGAGGACTGAAGAAGAAGGCGATCTTTGAGGAAAACGTTCCAAAACAGCCTCAAATTAAGGATATGTATAAATACTAGACCAATGCCATACCACAAGTGTGAGGTAACATATTTTCCTAGACCATTCTCATACCAGAAAGTGAAAGAATCCGACCATTGCCATACCTGAAAAGTCCCAATGAGGAGGCATTCTCATACCAGATCCTAAAATTTAGGGCCATTGCCATACCAAATGTCAAAAAAGTTGCCCCATGTACACTGAGGATCCCCGTCAAGGTTAATATACAAATGAACACCCGGGCTTAGGTTACTCTGGGGTTTGTTTGTGTTACAACTGCTTGTAACTTTTGCTGTAAACCATTATATAGCCTAAACAGTGATCTCCCAACCATTAAAGCAAGTGGGCGCAATAACCACCTGAGATTTCAAAAACAGGGTTGCATCCTCTTGAAAATGAGAAAAATCATGAAATATTGATATATTTCGACCAATTTTGGTCTGAAATGTGAAAATAAGAATTTTGTACCCACCTGAGAAAATATCCTGGTGAGATCTCTGTTTAGGTTACCTTTTCTTAAACAAATCAGAGTTAATGAGATTGTAGCACATTTTTATTTACATTTGCAAAGGAAAAGTCTGAGGAATGTGGAATCTAGAATTCTAAAACAAAGGCTAATTTACCAACCTCTTGTCAATGGCATGACCAATCTGTGCAGTGATCGGTTGTGAATAAAACTGAGGTATAACAATGGTGGATTCCGTCTTCGGTGCTAAGTCAATATCATGACTTAGGTCTATCCTTACAATCCACAACAAAACTGAAATTTGAATTAAAAATCCTGTTGAGAACACTGCTAAAGCATTAGGAAAGATCCTTGAACAGATCCCTGATACCTAGAGTATAAAATACAGCCAATAGTCTAGTCCTTGACCAGGGGTCTCGCTAGGCTTTTATAAATACTGTCTATTTAGCTCCCACAACAATTAAATGGCGAATATTGATTGTTCCCACAGTTTAAACTTGACTGAATACATAATAATAGATGTAAAATGGATAAAATATAACATAAATATGATGTATCACGATTGAATAGTTATGCAGAAGATGTTTCCATCACACCCTAAATATTTCCTGGTTAGAGTCCTGCTTGACCTCAACTCTACTGCGCTAATGTGTGTTTATGCTAATTTTGTGTTTTCAGACCACCAGGCAGGTAGATCTATGTGGATACCTTTCCAGAATTCTGCCAGTTCTGTCACCAGTCTTTATAAAGGTAAGTAGGCTAGTATATATTCGCTACTGCTAAATGTTGTATCAACCATCTACACATGCTACATGTAGTTTGGAAAGGAAACATTGTTGATGGGGATTAAAGACTTGAGACAAAACTCCATGTCTTTCTGAGATTCATATTTTTACATTAGTGTGGTGATAATAATAATCATAAACCTTCCTCATAGAAAATGTCAAAAACTCAAGGAATATATTTACCTTAAATAGAAATGAATGCATCTTATCCGTTGAACTTTCTTGTGTTTTTTTTATCGCTTGACAAAAAATGTAAAGAAATCACTTTTGAAAGTTCAGTTACTTTTGCAGATACGTACAGGTTTGTTGAAACTATCAACATTGTCTATTATTCCTTTTTTCACAAAAAAAGATACAACATATTATTTTGTTTTGATGGGGCTAATTTGGTTCTCCATATTCATATATTGCATTCATTATTAATTATTGGACAGTTTTAGACTATTCAGTAGTGAACAGGATATCTTCAAGTAAACAATTACAAAACAATTATTGGAATTAGATAGTGATAATAAATCTAAAAGTAATGGTTGGCTCTCTGTTCATCTTTTGATTTATGTGTAATTGGGCAAGTAGGCGTTGGTTGGCATATGGTAACCCAAGAAAGATGGTAAAACATGTCCCATAACAATATTTTGACAAACTTAATAATTGACCAACTGGCTTTAATTAAACATATTCATTTATTCTGGACAAAATTCAAATAGTTTTGACAGTTTAATGTAATGCCCCTGATAAATACAAAATATTGTCACAGTTTGAGTACTGACTTTGAAGAGAATTTTATGAATAGCATCTGACAAATTCTGAGATTATGAATTTATTTTTAAGTCCAATGACTTTTTACTTGATAATAGTAGCTTAACCACTATACACCCAGTTTTTTATGTATTGTGTTTGTCCTTTTATTGTATTTTAATGATTTCTTACCAAATACATGTATAGGATGAATTTTGGTGTTCACAGTGATTATTAATTTAAAATAAATCTCCATTTCCAATTCTTCTCAGTAACTCTGTTCGCAACTTACTGTTTACGTTTTCATGATTTTTTTCAGTTTTCACTTTTTTAACTTGAACTGAGAGGTTCATGCATGCATGCACAGTACAATAAAGAAGGCAATATGGCGACTCAAACAATTCTGAATCAGAGTGGAGGTGTCCAAATTAAAATGAATATGTTTGCTTATTCCATAGTTAGCATGATATTCATAGGATAACATGTGAAAATAAAAACGGTATTTTTGTATTCAGTGGTAAAATATGATATTTTTGACAAATTTTCACTTAACCATAGCATACGTTTTTTTAGCCATGACATACGGCGCCGTATGCGATGGTTTATGGATTTTTGCTACTTCAGACTCAAAACGAGGCTAAATGTCAACATCGCCGGATTGTTTGGAAAATTCGAATTAAATCACTTAATTTCCGACGATTCTGATGATGACTTAAACTATGGAATAAAAAGAACATCCTATGATTTACTCGTGATATGATTTTAATCCACTCATGGATATTGATATCTGCACTCTCTCGCTACGCTCGCTCGTGCAGATATCACATCCATTCGTGGATAAAAATCATATCACTCATAAATCATAGGATATCCTCTATTTATGCATGAATCGATCACATATTTAAACCAGCCAATCTTTTAAATAGAATACTTAATATTGTAATGGAGTATACTTATTTTGTGAGCTTATTACCCCTTTAAGCAATGTGGAGTACCTCAACTCTGTTGAGCTGAACTTGATAAAAACTTGTTGCCACAGAAATCCTGTTCTTTGATGGGAGTCTGTCATTTCTTTGATGGGAACTTTTTATCATCAAAATCAAGATTTAGTTACTGTTTGAATTTCCATTTAAATCTTCATCAATACTTCTTCTAAGTAAATGTATTTTAAAAAGTGAGTTCCTTCATAATGTTAAGACTGTATATAACTATATGTAACTTGTGTGGTTTTTGATTTACTGTTTCAGACAGTTTAGAATGCTTAAAACAAGGTATTGAACTTGGAATCCAATGTGGTCAGCAAAGGCGTAGTAGGGACATAGTAGCATGGGCAAAGAAAAAACGACGCCACATACGTAGAGAGGATTTAGTAGGATATTTAAGTGGCAAAACTGCCCCAATGCGGAGCAAGCCTGGGACTCCAACTTCTAAGCATATGTCCCATGTGGTTGATTGTCCCCGGTTGTCAATGGTTGATCGAGAGCCATGTAGAAATGAATCTGAGCCAGATCTTAGGACATTTAGAGAAGCCCTTGCTTTACAAGGTAAGATTACTAAGTGAATGTTCAGACTGGCCTTTTTTGCTATCACTAGCATAACATATGTTTGCTACTTCTAAAGTTGAAACTAGAATTCTAGTTAGTTTTTCTGTATACTGAATTTGTCTGCTTATTTGACTTTGTATATTAGAAATATTGGCATTAATTTATTTCAATGTATTGTTCACTGTGACATCATAATTGTTGTCTTCTGTATTTGAGGCAAAAAAGTTGGTGTTACCCAATTACTTATAAGAATTTCAATTTAATTTCTAGGTTTAAATGGTGCCATGTCAAACATTAGTATGGGTCATCGGCCCAGAGGCTCTAGTTCACCAACTCAACGTAGCCGTTCTACCAACATAGATGACCTAGACTGTAATCTTTTAGATGAGATAAGCAAACATTGTGAAGCTAGAAAACGAACTGCAAGTGGAGAGAAACTGACAGATTCTCCATCTAGGAAGAAAAGTCGGCTATTCTGATAATCCTGGTGCAGTGATGTAGTGTTCCCTTGTGTGGGTTCTGATTGGATGAATGAATATCGGGAAATTGACAAGGAAATATATGCAGAATGACGTGAAAGTAGCAGGCTCCAACCGATATTTTATTTTCCGAAATGTTTAACTAAGAAAAAGATTGAAACTTGACAATTTTAGGGAATTTACTTTTTTTTACTTTAAGGGTACCCTATAAGGCTTAAATGCTTCAAAAAAGAATTAAAGGAAAAGGGAAGAATAAATCAGACGATCATAACCTGTACAAGGGAAACCAACTACTATAAAAAAACATGTTGAGTAGAATCTGTTAATTTGTAACAAGGCTCTGATTTATAGAAATGAATTGCCAATTTTTTTAACAGTGTCATATATCTGTACCTAAGTTGCACAAAATATTCCCTTTTTCTAAAAACTTTATTTTCTTACAGTAAATTCCGTTTTAGAGATTCTATTCATTTTGGCTAAGTGTACAGTAGATAAATATTTCTATAAATGAGGGTCTTGTTTCAAATATCCAACTTGTAAACCAAAGTATCGTTGTTATTTATATGCAGTGTAGCAGTACCATTGTGAAACACATACACACATTTTGAAGAGATTCACCTGTTTAGTGTTGCATCATGGGTGATAAATACCTCTTCCTTCTTTGAGTTTAGTCCATTTTAAGATTTGAATTTCCACTTAGGAGTCTTCTTATTGCACATATTCCATTAAGGATAATCAGAGTACAGTATTTATTTGAATTACAGTAAAACTGATGAAGGTGAACATATTGAAATTTTGAATTTAGTTTTTCAGTTCCAGTTTCCGGATATTTCATTGGTTCCCACATTGTCAGAGTCTCACTGTGAATTCTGGTCAGGATTTTGTTCCTTACAAACAATACAAAGTATATCGACTCTTGTTAAAATAAAGAGAGCTATAGAAATAAACTGATGTGGAGTCATGAACTTTTATTAATACAAATGATTGTACAAATGATTGGATTTAGAGAAATAGCACAATCATCTAACATTATTGAAATATATTTAAAGGAGATATCGTTGAATAGATGACATATCATTGGCAGGGAGGGGAGATGCTAATATCTCTCTAAATAAGTCCCTTACTCTTAAGAAAGTATGTATACAGTAAAACTTGTACATGTGGGATGTCTAGTTCCTCAAAGAAGTGTTCCACTTGGGATGTATTCCACTTACAGAAGTTCATTAAGCATTAAATTTTGTACCTGGACTTTAAAAGTGTTCCACTTATCTAGATGTTCCACTTAACAGGTTTTATTGTCATTTAAATAGCAATGGACTGGTGAAAATGTATATTAAAAAGATACTGGTGTTATATCATTTTTTGTTATTGTATTTTTAGTTGGATGTATTATGTAAACCTGTACATGTGTGTATATACTATCATGTATATAGTTTTTCCTCAATGCAGTCATCATAAATCATATTTTAATATCAACTATAGATAAGCCTAAAATGCTTACTTAAAATTAAAAGAACTGTACGTATAAGGGTGGTAGAGTATAGGGGTGTACATGTGACAAAATGATTGTTGAAACTTGCTTTATCCATTTGTCTAAAGCCAATTTCATCGTTCATTTGTCAAATTAAACATTTAGATGCACAAAGGGCAATTGTTTCATTTGCAATAATAGGGTAATATTCAAAAGTGACCTGGTAATGATGTGTTTAAAATGCCAATATTTGCAGATTGATATTTATGGATTTCTCTCCTATTATTCCCAATGGTTTGAAAAAAAGTGAAATTATCTTGCACTATTTAAAAATGTATTTGAATACTTGATGCAATATATAACAATACAAATTGAAATGAAGTTTTGAGTTGAATATATTAAGGCATTATGAGATGGTCTCCAATATTGAGCAGTTGTAGAAGTCAAAGTAAGTTTTGTTGGGCCAGGGGGGGGGTTAATGATGATTTCATCCAAGTAAAAGCAAATTCTTAATTTGGGAAAGAGAGTTCATTCGTAAAACAATGAACTTTATTCACAACTGTCAACATTTGAACACCATCTTCAACTTTTGCTGCGATGAAACCTGTTACAATCAATCCTTTGGAACATAAAATGTCATCGACTTCTCATCATTGGCCAAAGCTATTTTGGAGGTTTTCTGCTGGTGACTGGCCAATTTGATAAAAAAAAATTGAGCAAATCGAGATATCTTTGGGCTTATCAGATACGATTATGAAGTCATATAGTAGATGAGATATATCAGGGTTGGTCAGCAATGAGTTAAGTGTAACTTATATTTTGGTTATTTAACATAGAGTTAACTCAAGCCCTCTTTCGGAGGTCAAGTAAATGCTGGACACATGGCTTTTACTATCATGATCAAAATTAATTTGATTAACTGGGAGAATAGTATTAGAAATAACATATTCATTTGGCCTAAGATGACCTGCCCTTGAGCTCTTAATATAAATCTTGGACAATTTCACACTAGAAAAACAGCAACTCCACGGAGTAGCAAATCCCACCGAACAAAACATATGCTTATTATAGCTAGTGTAAATGTTTGTGCACTTTGTGATAGAAGCATGAAATTTGGTACAAAGTTAGTTTATACCATTGTGAACTAGGCATCATCATATAAAATTTGAACCAAATCCGTTCACTGGTATATGAGTTATCAAAGGTTACGTTTTTTACGAAAATTGGCCGCCATCTTGAAATTCAGCCGCCATCTTGAAAATTATTTCTTGAACAGAGCTACTGTGTCCCTAGGCATAATCATATAAAATTTCAACCAAATCTGTTCACTGGTATTTGAGTTATCAAAGATTACGTTTTTTACGAAAAATTGCCGCCATTTTGAAATTAAGCGGCCATCTTGAAAATATTTTGTCGAACATAGCTACTGTGTCCCTAAGCATCATCATATAAAATTTGAACCAAATCCGTTCACTGGTATTTGAGTTATCAAAGATTACATGTTTTTACAAAAAATGGCGGCCATTTTGAATTGAGCGGCCATATTAAAAATCTCTTTTTGTGCGAAACTCCTTTGTCCCTAGGCATCAGCATATAAAATTTGAACCAAATCCGTCAACTTGTATTTGAGTTATCAACGATTACATTTTTATGAAAAATGGCGGCCATATTGAAAATTCCTTCTCGAGCAGAGGTCCTACACTCATAAGGCATAAGCCTACACAATTTGAACCAAATCCGTCAACCAGTATTGGAGTCATCGCCCGGACACACAGACGAACGGACGGCTTCTCTATATACTTGGATGGAAGACTCTAAAGGTACAATATGAGGAAACCATTGTTTTCTCAACTTGAAACTTTTTCTATACACAGAAAAAAAATCTTGGACACGTGAACAATTTACCATTGATAATCAAAGATCGGATGAAAAAATTGATGATGAAAGACAGTATATTAGCTTAAGTATTTGAATGGTAAAATATGCCTCCTAAGTTTCTATAAATAAATTTTTATGTCAATACCTCAATGTTATGATAGTTTTCTAATCTTTAAAAACTTACAAATTTTTTTGGCACATCCTGTATATTAACAACCATAGAATCATCAGAGTTCAGACAAGAATAAGAAGGGAAATGAAAGCTATTAAACAAAATATCTGTAAGCTTAGTCAGAAAACTTCACCTGGTGAGCTCAAGTTTGCCTCAAAGACAAGACATTTTGAGCACGTTTTGTAAGATGGCTATAAAATCTTGACCGAATATGACCTAAACGCATACCAAATTACTGGGATATTAAGATTTATTTGGGTTATCTTTTTTGGCTCACCCTTTAGTGTGTAATTTTTTACATTTCAAACATCAGTGTTACAGTTTTTTGTTGTACCTAAAATAACAAGGAGGATTGGCAGTCATTATTCAAACTCGATACTCCTTTGCCTGGCGTGCAACAATTTAGTAAAATTATTTCTATAAAATTCTCTTTGGACCTAAAGATTTCATTAAAAGACGTACATTACAAATATTATGGTAATATTCAAGTTTCATTGGCAGTTCTAGTCTTCAAACTATGAGTAATATTGTTACCTTTGTCCACGCTGGGCAATGGAGTATCGAGTTCGAATGATGGCTTCCAATCCTCCTTGTTAAAATACTGTAAAATTGACACTAATTGGTGGCCATTTTGAAAATCATCTTTCGAGCAGAACTTGTACTCCCATGGGGCATATATGTATAAAATATAAACAATATCGGTCCAACTACGTTTTGCGTTATTGCCCAGATGGAGCCGTTCTCTATATCCCCACGAACTTTGGTCGATGGGATAACATGAGCGAAGATTCTGAATACTTCTCACAAGTAATGTCAATCATCATAATTTTTCCCATGTCATTCAGTTAAACTAGTATATGAGTGGATGGCCTTTTGAGAAAATGCTCAAGTAAATAATTTTCTGAGACCCACTGATATTCTAGACGTTACAAAATGGAGTTTTCATTTTTATTTCAACCTAGCCCCCAGAAGACTGGCTGAAGGGGGTAAACATTTGGAAAGTGGAAAAATACTAGAGGAAATATGGGGCACAGTTGTAATGTTCTATTATGGGCATTTTTACCCTTTTCCCCAGTAAATCCTGAAAATGGGTATATAGCATTCTGCTATTAGAAAATTACTAAGTTGATCTCACTATTTGCATGTCTGCTCACAATTAAGCCATCAATATTCATTGAAAAGATCTATTCAAATGTTTCATTATTGTACCATCACTTATTTCCTAACCCTTTGTTCTAGTAAGGGGACACAGAGGCTTGATGCAGTTCACGTTTCTGACACATCACTTGTGATCTCTCCAAATATTGTTATTTCGAGGGGAGGCTGGATATATAAGGGTTATGTACTGGGAGGTTTTGGATATGGGGTTTATCCAGAGGGAGATATGCATATCTACCTGAGGGACTGTAGGGACCGAAGGTAGATATATAGGTTATTTACTGGGAGGGATTGAATATGGATTTTATTCCGAGGGACAATATGATATTGACCGAAGGGTAATATGATATTGACCGAGGGAGCGCAGCGACCGAGTGTCAATATCATATAGCCCAAGGTCAATATCATATTTTCCGAGGAATAAAACCCATATTCAATCCCGACCAGAAATAACCTATTTATTCCATAATACACCCCTCTAAAATGCTACATTTGGAAAATGCAGATAACTAGGAAAAAATAACCGGGAAAATAGGTTAATATGCTCCAATACGATTTTTCCCGGGGACAATACGATTTTTTCATGTAATACGCTCCAATACGATTTTTTTCCCGGGGACAATACAATTTTTTCATGTAATACGATTCAATACGATTTTTATTCCTTCATATTTCCCTGGGAAAACAGTAGTATTATGGAATAAGTGCATATCTCACGAGGGATGAACCAAATATCCAAACCGACCGTGCATAACTGCTTTATCCTATACCAAGTAGAGTTTTCAGGGGCATATGGCCATTTCAATAGTACAAGGTGTAAAAATAAACAAATCATTCATATGCAAAGTCATTTTATTGCATTTCCACTACTTACCGGAAGCGGGAAGATATGCACCGAAGCGGGAGATATGGAGGTTCTGGATATGGAAACCTCAAAATCGGGATATGGGATATATCTTTCCAACTTATCTCCCTAAAACTCTACTTGGCATACTAGGATAAAAACCTGTTTACCACAACTTTTTACATCACATATTAATAACACCAAAAAATATCATGTTTCTATGTTTTATTTATTTTAATTTGCAATCGCAAACCATATATATGTTATATACATGTACAACTCTAAATCTGATTTACATACATTAATTCAATCGTCCATGATTATTTCCAAAACAAGATGAACTGATACACATATCAATCTTGAGTAAACTGAAAACGTCAAATCTTAATCCAATTAATACTTTTACCTAGATCTGAGCTCATTTTTCAATAATGTTTTTAATTATTCAATTAATTGCAAAATATACAAAAACATTCTATGAAGCTAATAGCAGACAAGAGCAGAAGTGATTTTTATAATTATGAATATATACCTTGAATCGGAGTCAATACATACTTACTAGTACATGTATTTACAACACTGTCATGTTTATTGGGGCTATATGTATTCTAAAACTGTTCATGCATTGCTGTAGTCCGATACATACAACAGTTGCTTCTATTAATGAATTCCTGATGGTATTACTTTCCAATATTGATCCTATGAATCCAACAAAATGCCACTTAAAGACATTGAAGTGGTGTTATCAATTTAAGAATGTTCTTTAACATCGTGTCTTATGGGAGATTATGTACAAACATAATGTAATTACACATGATCTGCATACATCTGTTCCAATAAGCTCATAGGTTGTTAAATTAACTGAGTCCCAATCACAGTCTTAATACATAAATTAACAGTAAAACCCCAGACTATGAACACCCTCTAGATCCATATGTCCTGAGCACTCCTCTCATAGGTATTATTCATTTCATTCATGAGGTTCACTTTTTAAAAACAAAATACACTACATAACTAAAACAACAAAAGTAAGTAAGCGTGTCTAGTATCTCCGCCCCTGTAGCTGAGTAGATCCACTCATTGATGTTTTATATGCGTCATAGCGATTGTCCCTCTGCTGGCTGCTCAAACCAGCTCCCATAAGGATATTAGCTGCTTGTGCAGCAGCCCCCAAGAACACTGGGCTGGGTTGCACAAGAGGCTGGCCAAGGGCTATTCCTGTATGCTGGGGCATAACCTGAGTTGGTTGAACAAAGCTGGTTTGATTTGTTACATGTGTGCTGCTACGATTACTATGTGTGTTGCTATGGTCACGCTGTCCAGCTTGGCCCCATTGGTCACGCTGGCTGCTATGTCCATGGGTCTGGGTAGAGCCTGTAACACAAAATTGATCAGTATAATGCCTCTGAATTTAACCAATTAAATGTGGATCAGTAAACAAATGCTCACTTTTAAAAAAAATGAATTCAAATCTAACATTTGTTGTCATTTTTGGCACAAGAAATGGATTCACTAAAAGCTTACTCCTGTAAACAAAATCCACTCATTGAACATGTATAGAACTCACCTCTGTTATCTGTGAAAGCTTGGCTTCTGTCATTGTAGCGTCCACTGCTGCTACTGGACTGTTGCTGGCTAGAGTGGGACTGGTGACCACGATCTACAAACATATTCAACACATACATATTGATGACATAATGTACATTATTCATTTGAACAGAAACATGCTATTGTTTGATTCAAATTTTAAGAATACTTGTCAAAATTTTACAGTGGATGTTGATTAGATTTCTACATTCGTGTCCAATTAATATTACTGGTTTTCCAGCAATTTATTAAATGCTATAGAGCGCCGATACAATATTAGTCAACATTACTGGTTTTCCAGCAATATAACCAAGATCCATAGTATCCCCATCTCCTCTAGGCTAGCTAAATATACATTACCCTCTACCAGAATGGACAATGGACATAACATTTCACACAAAAAGGAGCAGTTTGGGTAATTAGAAAACTAAAACTTAGTGGAGCAGCAAATTCCGATGGTCATAATGTATTTACACTTATCGTTTATACAGACTATTTCCTCATTTAATTTTTCAAGGGAGAACTCATTCTTGGGTGGCCATTTTAGATGTCTCAAAATAGTATGAAATGTTATGTGGACTGTCAAACGTTCAGAATGGGTAACCCTAGTAACCAGGTACCTTCTACACCAGTCTTCTTTTTTTCCACAAATTTCGCCATCCTGGCCGAGTCTCTTCTCTGTGAAGCTGGCGATTTATACGAGTTTTTGTGATCTTGTAGCGCCTCCTGTTCCCTTTTCTGATTCATCAATTCAGCCATTCTTTCTGCGTCTCGTACTTTCTTGTTTACATCCCGACGATCTATTGGGAGTTTAATATTCCTTCAGTAACATTTCATGCAATCTCAAACAATTTGAGCTAAGAGAGTTTAATTTTTTTTTGAAAGCAACAGATATTGGTTTTCCAAATATCAGTTGCTATATATTTATTTTAATTATAATGAAACTTATAATGAAAGTTAACATTCTAAATCTTGTGCATTTCTTCGAATTTAAAATGGAAGGAAATCATTTGACCAGTGTTTATTTACTTCAATTTGTCCGGGAAAGGTCCATTCTATTTCACTGATAGTAAAGAGTTTGATTGCAACATACCCAAATTTGTCCTAAGAAATGCAAGAGATTGTTCAGTTTACTACACTTGAACTCACCAGAGTGAATCTGACCTCTTTCCGACTTCCACTCCCCACGGCTGTCTGTGCGTCCACTGTCACGTGTTGTATTAGTGTGATGGGTGGCCTGCTGCCTGTTGCTGGTATAGTTATCACGAGAAGTGTTAGATTGGCGATCTTGCCTGCGGTCATCACGAGCTGGTGCAGCCCGATTATTATACCTAAACATACACAGGTAAATATATTTTTCTGGGAACGCTTTGAGAGAATATAAGTGTATTTTTCAGATATATTTTTGATTTCTATTTGATGATGAATTAGTGAGACTTTAGAAATAGTATTGCAATACGGTAACCTGATGCAATGAAACAAAATTACAATCCAGTTATACAAGTATACAGCCCCATAAGGTGTCATCTAAACCAATTTGACTTTTGCTCAATTCTGGTCTGAAGGGGCTGTATGAATATTGTGGTAAAACATGTCATGAGGTTCAGTGCCACCATTGACGTATAGTAGCTCTTTTGAGAGCAGATTGTGCTCATAAGTGGTCATAGTCACAGTTAATTTCCTCTCTCTATACAAAGCAATAACCACTGCTCTTACATCTACTTTGTAGGCATGATGACTGGACTGAAGTGAACTCCCATAACATGTTTTAGCAAACTGAATATCCCCATATATCACTACAGCCATGCTTAATTCACATTCTTCTCTCTAAAATTAGAATTATCTGATTGATTTCCTGCATTTTTATGTAATTTATGCTTACATCAACTTCATTTCTTTCTCCAATTTTTCTTTCTTTGGAAATATTAAGCATGACTATTGCTGATATCTGGGATTGCTTCTTGGAGCAGATTTCATTTACAATACCTGTCACTATACCTATCCTCCTGCCGTGTCCCTGTGTCACGTCGCGTATCCTCGTACCTGAAAAGTATGATTAAAATTATTAACATCATAGGACATCATAAGACATTTTATAATTTTGAGCAAGAACTAACTTAGGTTCCTCAAACTGTAGTAGCAATATTGTGTTTAATGTTTGGTAAATCAAATGAATGAACTTGTATGAATTTTTTAAAACTATTGGAAACAAACTGATCCAATAAAAATCTTAGATAATGAAATTAATGCATAAATAATTCAAGCCCCTTCAAGTTTGGACGTTCCTGTGATATCAATAAGTCTTTGTATATAATAAAAATCTTTACCTATTATGCGTTACATTTGTATCTCTTGAAGTTGTCTCCCTAGTGGTTTCAACATTGGTCCTGCGGTCATACCTCTCAACTCTACGCTCGTTTCCTGTTTGGCGCTCTTCAAAATTCCTGCGATTATCAGTACGTGTATCTCTACGATGATCGTCATAATTTCTGTAATACAATACAATTTACTTCATTCAACAAAATAATTCTTGCAATGAGAGTCATTTTGAAGGACTACTGAAAAAGGTGATAATTTGTGTGATAATATATTCTATATATATATATGATTGTATGATAAAAAGATAAATAAACAAAATATGAAAAGATTTAAAAACTAGACATGTTTCTATATTCCTCAGTAGTTTTTAAATTTTTATATATGATTATATATTATATATGATTGTATATATCCAGATGTAGACTTTCCTCCCTTTAGACTTCCAGTCCATTGAGTGAAGATTTTTGATCATAAAATGTTGACAAGTAAGTTGTCACTTCACCTTATAAAAACCAAACAAACAATTATTCTTGGTTGTGTACCTGTTCTGAGTTCTAGTATCCACTCTGGAGTTGTCTGTGGTGGGACGTTTGCTGTCCCAATAGCCTGGTTCTGCATTACGATTTCCAGAATCATATGTCCTCTTAGGGGCCCTTCTCTGTTCCTCCCTGTGAAATTAATGATATTATAAAAATAAAACCTTTGGTTCTCTGTTCCTACCTTTTATTTGTATAATAATAAATTCATTTAATCCTTGGGATATTCATGCTAGCTGGGAAATAACTTCCTTGGATTAAGAGGAAATTGAGAGTTAAAATCATTTTTTACAAAATTTCTTGCTGTTATTAACACACACATGGGGACACAAGCTGTTCTATAGTATATTATCTGATATAACAAAACATATTTGTTATTACATACCTTATTTTCTCAAGGCGCCTTGCCTCTTCTTCACGACGTCTCCTGTCCTCTCTCTCTCGCTCTATTCTTTCACGTTCCATTTGTTGCTGGCGCTGACGCTCAAATCTCTCTGCTTCGAGGCGTGCACGTTCCAAACGATCTTTCTCATCCCTAGTTTAAAAGAAACAAACAATGCTATTTATAAATATCTGACTTTTTAGTTTTACTCAAAATGTGTAGTTACTGTATGTGAGACTTGAATGTGGATGTTCATGTTCTACTGAACCAACTTAAGCAAATAGATATTCTCTGTATCTATTTATAGCTCAACTAACTTACTGGAGAGCTCTACGTTCTCTGGCAAGTCTATCAGCTTCACGTCGCTGTTCTTCATCAATACGTCGCTGACGTTCACGTAGGAGGAAACTCTGATGGCGATTGCTACGCTCCTCTTCACGAAGACGACGTTCTTTCTGACGGAGCCTTTCTCTCTCTCTTGCTTCCTACAATATGGACATAAAAAATCCTTGATATATTGCTGTATAGTATATCATTCATACATTCTTATTTAGAGGTTTCAATATAAGTTTGATTCAGAATATTATTATAATCCTACAATATCAGATGAGATGCAGATACTTCATCATTCATTACTACAATCATGACTAAGGTTGAATCAAATTTATTGCAAGAATTGAAAATTGTGCATGAGTAACAGATTTTCTGATACTAAGGATGATGCGCAACGGGGCAAGACATTTTGTGCGGGATTGTAATTTGTAAGCATGATTTTCATAAACTACTTATAGAATTAAGTGGTTTTCCAGTTTTGATGCTTCAGGCTTAGAAAATTCAAGTCAAGGCTTAAGGATAGTGTCCAATTGATGTAAGTTGTGGAAAGATGAAAAGATTTCATTAAGGAGAAGAAAATGATGATAAGCACCTCATTTCTTGTTTCAAAGAGCATTAGCATTAAAGTAGCATTGAGGGAACTACACCCATTTGAGACTTCATATAGGCTTGCAGCCAAAAGTGCCATTTGAAAATCATAAAAAAAATAGAAAATGCAACTCCAGATTAAAAAATCCAAACAAACTATATGTTGCTTCTCGAACACTAACAAATATTTAGCTAGATCTAAATCATTCAGAACATGATATTAAATCTCCACAAAGAAGGTTGTTATGCTTTGTTTTGCCATATTATATTAACCTTGTAATTATAAACAAGCAATTGCTTAGATGCTGTCAAGCACATTAGCATGTATGGAGGGCTTAAGGTGGGGGTAAAGCATGCACCCACCTGTAGCAGTTTACGGTCTAACAACACCTGTATTTGAGCTTCTTCTTTATCAAGCTAAAAGAAATTATTACTTTTAAAGTCATCCATAAACCAAAGAAAATCCCAATGCCTTTGTATAAAAAGTAAAGTGGGTAAAAATGAAGCAATAGTAGACATAGATGGAGTAAAATAAAAACTTTTTAAAATGAAGAACATTTTTGACTTTCTGACACTAATGCTGCTTGAATCAGGGATTGTTAGTAATTCTGGTATTAGATGAAACACAGAATCATTCATCAAAATTCCAAGCATTTCATAAGTATACATGGGCATTGGCGGGTATAGTGTTGTGGAAAAAATCCCAAATATATGTTATGGTGTTAAAACTCCATGCAAACCTGGCAAACAAAGTCGACAGATACATAGAGACAAGAAAATAAAAGATGAATGACCCATTTCCTCATATCAAACATATTAATTCCTACAACTATTTTGTTAGAAAACACCTAGGCTTGATTGAAACAGTAAACCTGTATAAACAAACACTTGTCTAATGGGATCACTTCATTCAAAGTCCTACCACTAAAAACCTAAATTGCGAATATGTGTTGCATACAGGTAAAATATTTGGATACAAATCGAACCCCTTCTTGGTGAAAATGATGAAAATAAAAATTTCCTTCAACAGAAGTTCATTCATATTGTTATAAAGAAATAATGTCTTTATAACAAGATTATAAAGAAATAACGTCTTTATAACAAGACAAGATTATAAAGAAAAAAGAAATAACGTCTTTATAACATGATTATAAAGAAATAACGTCTTTATAACAAGATTATAAAGAAATAAGGTCTTTACAACAAGATGGGGACGAGTGTTCATACTTTACAGGTTTACTTTGACAATCTGTTACTGGTTCATTCTCATCTACTGATTAATATAGCCTCTGTTTTATAGTTTATGTTCTTACCCTGGCCCTATCCGCCTCTGTTTTTCCATCTTTATCCCTAGACTGGGTACGTGTTCGACTATGCTCTTTTCTCTCAGTTTTAACAGCTTCCTTCTTTACTTCATCAACCTTCTTTTCTCCTTCCTTGTTGTCTGCTTTCTTTTTGTCACCCTCTTGATCATCTACTTCTTTCTTAACTGCTGTTGGCTCCTCTTCCTTTTTAACTGCAGATTCCCCTTCTTTCTTTGTGTCTTCAGGTTTATCTCCTTCCTTGCTGGCATCTGTGGTTTTCTCTTTCTCTATAAAAATTTATAAATGGATTTTATAGGCTTCTTAGGAGCATGTTCATTAGGCAATGGGATACTTATGGAACAAATTAACCACTGACTATAAACATTGGTGGGATCAGCAGAATAATCATTTTAAGTGCTTGATTCAGAATATTGCTATAATCCTATGATATCAGATGAAACACGGATAAATAATCATTCATCATTTCAAGCAATGCCAAATCATTCTTTAATTCCAGAAATTAAACAAAAATGCAATTATAGAAAATAAGACAATGGAAACATATCCCAAAAATTGTCCTGAGAATCTTAACATACCCTCTTCCTTCTTCTCAGCTGACTTCTGGTCTCCTTCTTTCTTTGGTGTTGTCTTTGCATCCTTCTTGTCATCTTTCTTGTCGTCTTTTCTGTCATCTCGTCTTCTACCACCACGATCATCTGATCTTCTACGGTCACCATGACGATGATCTATAACAATTAATTCATGTCATCAATCATTGAAAATGTTCTTTCTTGGGAGGTAGATGTAGATATTGGAGTTAATAAGTGTTAAGGTAGTTATAAAGATGGCTTCATGATATAGCACAGGAGTAATGATTTAACAAGTGTGGTGTACAGGTTTAGGCCATATTCTTTTCATAATATCATACTTTCATATTCTACACTGAATTGCTGATTTTAATTCACGATTTTTAGGTCAGATTTATTTTAGTCTCCTATAAGATAAATTCTTGAAATAAACTGGAAATTGTATTCGACAGTTATTGTAGAATAAATAAAAAAACTAGTTTTAAAAGTTCAATAATTTCCAAAATATCATGATGCAGTACCTGAGGTTCTCCTGTCTCTTGGAGACATGTAGCCACGACGTCTGTCATCTTGAAAGCGAGCTCTATAATGACCAGATCCAGAAAGTCTTCTGTCACCACGCCTATCTCTGTCATCACTTCGTCTCCTGTCGTCTTTCTTGGTTTCAACCTTTTTATCTGAAAATTTTTAAGGAAATAATTTACCAAATAAAATTCACATGATCTTAGTTCTACTCATTGTTATCTTAAAACATAAAATTTCTTGTTTCTTTTTGATGTTGATGTGTACTTGACAGTATGTGAAAAAGAGCTTGATTCAGAAAATTGTTGTAATCCTATGATATCAGATGAAACACGGATAAATAATCATTCATCATTTCAAGCAATTCGAGTATCCATTATAGATATATTTGATTTGTGGACGTGTTTATACCAAAGGCCGGCAGATTATTGAATGGATGCAGTAAAGCACACAAACCTTTATCTTCTTTCTTTTCTTCTTTCTTATCAGTTGCTTTGGCCTCAGTAGCTTTAGCTTGGGGCTTAGGTTGAGTGGCAGGGTCAGTCTTTGCCTAAAAATTGACAAAGAGGTAATATACATACTGTACTGTTTCATTTCAAGGTTTGTTGTCTTGAAAATGAGAAATACCAAGAAAAATGGGCCAATTTTGACAAATTTAGGCTGATTTGTTAAAATAAGAATTTTGCAATATGTAAGATCCAGAGCTTTGTTGTAATCCTATGACATGAATTGTATTATCATTCATCACTGCATACAATATGCCTAGATCTATTATGGCGAGACCATACATACATAAGACATAGTATTGTTCAGAGTCATACATACCCTTTCTACAGAAATCATCCTGCCATGAAGTTCAGTTCTATGTAGATGTTGGATACACTTTGTTGCCTCTTCTTGGGTTGTCATGGTAACAAATCCATAGCAACGGGAGCCAGGGCTACGTGCATTAGTGACAACCTTTGCACCTGCAACCTATGATGAAATTGTACAAAATGTATATATCTTAATATTAAACAACTGTTTCCAAAAAATACATTGAAAAACATAATTGTAGTATCTTTTGTTCACCTTCAAAAATGTAAATATTAGAGATAATGAATTAAACATTGTAATTAAGACTTACTTTTCCATATTTGCTAAATAGAGCTTTCAAATCTGTAGCACGCGTAGAAGATGATAATCCACTGACCCATAGGTTCTTACTGTTGCTAGCTGCCCGACCTATAACACAATGCTGTTTATCAAAGGTTTGATCCAACACTACATACAATTACAGTTTACAAGGTGCTTCAGTTGTTGTACATGGCTTTGTTACTGTAAATTGTCAATTCAAAGTGGTTTATGCTCCAATCAGAATATTTCTATAATCCTTTATGATCAGATGAAACACGGATTTATAATCATTCATCATTAATGAGCATAAAATAATGGGAATACCAAGATTTAGTTTTGCTTTATCCTATTTGAAAATACATGTACTCTTAAAATAAGTAAGATGCATATCGATCAAAGCAGCAAAAATCATACTCCTTTGTATTATGCATCTTTGAAATAATCAAAATTACGTGGCAATATTTTGCTAACAACTGTTTATAACTTACTCTTGTCATCTTTCTTAGCTTCCTCAGTAGTAGCGCTGGAAAAGAAATGTAAGATAATAAGAAAGTGTAATGAAGCATGTTCTAGTTATATGACAGAATGTTTTAGAAACAGTGTTAATCATGCTATCGTGATCGAAAAAATCATGAGGTTATAAATAATGTCACTATTACCATCTATTCATTTATAAAGAAAATCAAGTTTTTTGGGCTAAATTCGCTGGCACGATTGTGTTGCCAAGGCCGGATGACAAATTTCATTTAATTATTAATTAATGGGCGCCATCTGTATAATCATGCATTATTTTTTAAAAAATCAACCTTTTTATGTAAGAATTGTATTTACAAATGAAAAAATTATTGTGCAAAAATGTTCCGGTCATGTTTATTTATTTTAAACCCTACAATGTTAATGTAACCAAAAATGAATGAAATCCTGAAATTACTTAAAAGCTACATAATGTTGAAGTAAAAATTGTAGTAGAGATACTAGGCAAACTAAAAGATTAATACTGATGTATTCTAGTGCTTGAGCAGCACTCAGTTGGTATCAAAATAAATCCAGTGGCCGAAGCAGATAGAGGTGACCAACCGTAACCATGGCGACTGCATCATACAAACCAACCTCTTATCATCAGAACTTTTTGCATCGGTTTTAGAATCATCTTTGTTGCTTTCCACTGGTTTTTCATCAGACTTTTCCTCAGATGTCTTTGTGGTCGATTCATCATTGGTATCAACTTTTGCAGGTTCTTTGTCACCACCAGTTTTCTCTGCATCTGCAACCTCTTGGGCGGTCTCGCTGGTTGATACTTCTCCATTGGCATGATCACCATTTTCCATAGTTAGAAGATCAGCATCAAGGTCGTTCTGTGCTGTATCATCAACCATAACAACAAGAGACACATCATCTTCTTTTTGTGACTCCAATGATGTGTCCATTTTGATTGTATCCTCGACGGTAAATGGTGCAACTGGTGCTACGCTAGTTGGAGTTGGTGGAACAGAGACGGCTTCCTTAAGGATGTCAGACTTGGTCTTATTCATGATAGCGGACACTTCTGCATCATTTGTACTGCCATCTTCACTTGCAGGAGCTTTCTTCTCATCATCAGGTGCAGTTGTAACAGGGTTAGTTTCTATGCAATGGAAATTCAACAGTAGAAACAGCTTAATGTAGGAATGTATACACCACGATATATCTATATATTCGTCTTTAAGTACATGTATGTGTGCAAGTACAGCTAGCTACTTACCCCATACCCCTTAGTAAATAAAAGATTTGATCTTTAGGTGAGATGTCGTTTCACTCATATTGGCTAAAGGTTACATATACAAGAAATTCATTCATCAAACAAATTATATCCCCAAATAAGGTGAAACCTGTTTCAACAATTACCGCTCCAAGATGGTGTTGGCTGATAGCGTCACATCAATCACAGAATCCTCCTATACATGTCGAGCCAACTGTCGTCATAGAATAAACCTGTCTTAGAAACACTGTATTTAATTACACATTGGAAAGATGGGTTTCGTGACTGTTCCATTTGGCATCTAAAGATCATAGGCCATTCATAGTCTGTTCATATATACTTTACTTTCCACCAGCCGAATACTAAGGAAGATTTCCATTTGAGGCTAAGGGCAACTCTGGACAGAATGTTCTGTAAGTAATGTTCCATATGTCTGAAAAATAAACTTGCAGCCTATGGAAAATCCAAACATGCAGTCCGTTACATATATATCAAAGTGATTGAAGTCTTCCTATTGTTATTTAGTTCCAGTTTTACTCCTTTCATTTCACTCCTTGTCTTTTTAGATTATCCGTTTCACTATTCTTTCACAGCAGTTCACAGTATTTTCAAGATTAAACAGTTATCTGTGGTGATGAACTTTTGAAACAAATGTTTTGTCACCATGGCAACAACACAATGCTTGGATGACATGGTTACCAAAACACCAATACAAAGCAAATGTCATTGGCTATGTTGAAGTACTTGCAAAGTATCACTACCCATAACAATGTGCTAGGCAATCTTGCCATACAGTGCATGAGGCTTGATTTGATCTGGGGGATCAGTCCTCAAGTGGAATTTCTGATGTACAGCAGGCATAGCAGTTTTGGGGTTTATTCTACTGATGCTAACATAGTTGGCTATGTAGACCGACAGTGGCATTGGATCATCAACTGGTTCTCTTTCCAGGCTTGATTGGGACCACCAATTCACTCTTGATGGGAACTGCCATCACGCTGTGGACATGAAGTCATTCATTTGGGACTCCTCGGGTACTCTAGCATGTGATGTACAGACAATTACGACCAAGAAGGATTTTCACGAATGAGCTTGACTACAATATATCATTTTAACCAAATACTGAATGCATTTCAAAAATTCAACATGGGATAAGAATCGATCAACCCATAAAAATGAATGACTACAATCCTTCTTGATCTCATGTCTTGGTTGAAACAGGTCCCCCCTTAATTATATTCATATCTAACACATGATCCACCAGTTATTTGTGTCTTAAACTCCTCGCTCATTTTACCTGCTTTATCCTGAGTTTTCACTTCTTCTTTAGGCTTGTCCTCCTGAAGAAAAAAAAATAGTGTTTTTATATTACAATGTTTTTTCAGGACAATTATGTGGTTGACATTTAAAGGTTTGGGCAATAAAAGATCACTGTTGAAATCAAAATTTATACTCAAATAGCAACTGGTGTAGTTGATGCCCAGAAAAAAAGTATCGTAACTGTGTGATGTAACGATAATAACAAGGCATTAACATGCAAAATGTCACCACCTGCCTATTTTACAGACACCAAATGCAGACCGCCTAACACCATCCACAAAGAGTTGGAGACAAACCTAGTGGTGACACAACAGTGATGATTATAATGCTCAACTCAGAAAATTGTTGTAATCCTATGATATCAGATGAAACACGGATAAATAATCATTCATCACTTTGAGCATACAGTATAAACATGTTATAGTGTAAATTACCAGGAGCTAAGCAAATACTGATTTTTATAATGAAGCATGATGTAAGATAGTTTCAACTAAAGTAAACTCTAACCAGAACAACGGCAACGCCAAAGCGTAGCGAATCCCATCGAACAGAAATGGCTGACATTTTTACAAACGAAATATATAGCAAATATCATAAAACAACACACCAGAAAGGCCACCATTTTCAAAATGGTTGCTCATTTGCCAAGTTGTCATCAGAAGAAATAATATGCTTTCTACCAAAAGCATCATTAGACAGTGTGCCATGCTTATAGTATTCACATACCAAATATGAACAAAATCGCTCCACTACTTTTCAAGTTATAGTAAAATACGTTAAAATGGCGGCCATTTTTCAAAAAATTTTTCAAAATGGCCGCCTTCTACCAAAAGTGTCATAGGACAGTGTGCCATGCTTATAGTATTCACATACCAAATATGAACAAAATCGCTCCACTACTTTTCGAGTTATAGTAAAAAACGTTAAAATGGCGGCCATTTTTCAAAATGGCCGCCTTCTACCAAAAATGTCTTTAGACAGTGTCCAATGCTTATAGTATTCACATACCAAATATGAACAAAATCGCTCCACTGCTTTTCGAGTTACAGCAAAAATCGTAAATAACGAGTAAAGGCCGCCATTTTTCAAGATGGCTGCCATGTGCTTCTTTAATATCTTCATTTGTAGCTTTATTAATGTCCTTTATAATTTTTTTACATTTAAAACATATTGCTATTACAGTTTTACATATTGCACCTAAATTACTGTAAAATCGGCACTAAAATGGCCGCCATTTTGAAATGAGCGGCCATTTTGAAAATCGGCTTTCGAGCAGAACTTCTAGCCCCATAGGGTATATGTGTACAAAATATGAACAAAATCGGGCCAACGGTATTTGAGTTATTGCCCGGACGGACGGACGTACGTACGGACGGAGGCGTTCCCTATATCCCTCCGAACTTCGTTCGATGGGATAACAAGTAACAAAGTAAATAACTTGTCAGTCAATTAGTTTTCTTGAATCCCAACTTCCAAGCATCGCCATCCCAGAATGAGATGTGCATGAAAGTGAAGTAAGATGCCTACCTCTTCTGCTAACAGCTTGTCTTCATCTTCTACAGTTAATGTTATAGCATCAGGCTCATCCATGACCAACTATAAAGATAAATTGCACAAATAAAAATACAATCAATTAAGAATAAGAATAACAACTCTGCTCCAAAAAAGAAGCTGAATCAAAAGTGTTCAATGTCAAGATGAATGAACTTCATTTTTCCTATCGATAATGCTAGAAAATGACTCATCTGAATAAACAAAGAAAACTTGTTATAAAACCGTTTAAATGAGACTCGTGTATACCATAACATATTAATATATTGAGAATTGGCTTTAAGTAAGTATTTCTACAATCAATAGTCTCAATGAGCTTATTGATTTTATGCATAAAACAATATCTATTATAAAATTAATCGGAAATTAATAGAAAATAAATTTCCACTAAGCTCACAATAAAGCTCATATTCCAAACATATAACATACAACATACACAATATAAATTTACAGAATTTTTGTCCAGACCAATATTGGTCAAAATATGCCTGTTTTTCATGATTTTTCTCATTTCAAGTGGGTGCAAATGGGTTTTCAAGTAGCTGCAAGCCTGTTTTTATAATCTCAGGTGAGTGCCGCATCCACTTGCTTTAATACTGGGGAGACCACTGATATACCTAACTTAAATGTATCTAAACTTATATATGTGAAAGGGATGAAATTATGTATCCTAAAAAGACTAAGGTAACACACTAGTATGTCATAAACAGAAGAATACATGGGTGCTAGAAGTGCAACTGAAATAGAATACAAAACACTAACTTTCATAACGAAAACACCATCAAGCCACCACCAAACTTTTAATATGGGGAATTATACACAGAACGATGATTAACAAACACAACCATGTTCTAAAAATGCCTAAAATCCAGTAACATGTTCTGCAAATCAAACACTGTCTATGTAAAGGTAAGGGGGAAACTGACTCTTACTATGTGTACAGATAGCCATCACCAAATAAAGTATTAACTACATTCCCTCTTGTACATGAGGTTCTACCATTAACAAATGCCCCAATTCAACAAAATAATGAAAAGTCAATACAGCTGATAAGAGATGGGGTCACATGTGGAAAGGTTCACAAAACACAGTCAAGAAGCAGAACAAAAAAAAGGACTCATCCCTCGAGAATTATTAATGTGCAATAACACATGATAAAATGTCATCACCTGTGGTCGTAATCCTAAAGTACAACTGATAAGAGATGGGATCACATGTGGAAAGGTTCACAAAACACAGTCAAGAAGCAGAAAAGAAAAGCCAGCCTTGAGAATTATTAATGTGCAGTAACAAGGCATTTACATGATAAAATGTCACTACCTGGTCATAATTATTTTAAGTGTAACAATTTGTTACAGATGCTTACAGGTGGTGACATTAAACCTGTCAAATGAATATCTTATGTAACTGTAACACCATGCTAGTGGAAGTTTTTAAAAATCACCAAATCCGAATATTATAATTTCGAGCTACCTCAAAGGCATCAATCTCCTTCTCTAACTGCTCTTCGGTTACTTTAACATCATGTTTAACACTGACTTTATTTTTTTCAATAGTTTCCATGTCCTAAAACCAGAACAATGTCAATCCAGCGAAACGAAATATAAGTGCTGGGGCCTGAATACATAACCATGTGTGTAGAAACAGGTGTTTTGAAATATAACATAGCTTGGCTAATCACATATTTCTGTTCAAAGCTGATAATTCTGATTAATTATTAACAACACTGAAGTATATTATCTTACACGCCACTCAAACATTTACAATCTCATACCCTTTTCACCTCCTATTTTTGATTTTGAGTTGAAAAATTACACCCAATGCCATTTCCCCAATGTTAAATTAGCAAGTTTCTACCTGGATTTGTAGTTAGGTAGTTGTCTTTTCTTCTTTAGCATTTACAATATTTTCAAAATCCATTTTCTAAGTTCCAACTTCTTCAGTTTCCACTTCAAATGATTATTATAATATTCCACATGTTCAGCTTTGTTGTATCACAATATGATTTATTCTTAGGCTCTATTTCAACAATAGTGTCTAATATGGCAGGTCTTAGTTTGCCAATACTGTGCAGTTTTAGATTGTTGAAGCTATTAACATTGATTGTTATGTACAGTAGTATTCAATAATCATCTACATATCACTGACTCATTACATGTACTAAACTTGACTTGCAATATTTATAGTACTAAACTAGCCTACTGAACATCACATTAATCAATATGCCCTTGGTAATTTTTTGTTGTTTTTCACTTCATAAAAAAACAATTTAAAGTGGAAGACATATAATTTTTAGAAAGGTGATTAAAGAATAAAGGTATGTTTAATATATTGGAACCATATGTAGAATCTATTTCTTGGCGATTTATTCTAGTATATACTGTTGGAACCATTTCATTACACTTGTTGATTTTTAAAATTCATATTTAAGTTTTGTTGTGGATTGTAAGGATAGACCTAAGTCATGATATTGACTTAGCACCGAAGACGGAATCCACCATTGTTATACCTCAGTTTTATTCACAACCAATCACTGCACAGATTGGTCATGCCATTGACGAGAGGTTGGTGAATTAGCCTTTAGTTTAGAATTCTAGATTCCAAATTTCTCAAGACTTTTCCTTTGCAAATGTAAAATGTGCTACAAACCCATTAACTTTGATTTGTTTGAGAAAAGGTAACCTAAACAGTGATCTCCCAATGATATATTCTCAGGTGGGTGCAAAATATTCATTTTCACAATTCAGACAAAAATTGGGTCAAAATATGCCAATTCTTCATGATTCTTCTAATTTTCAAGAAGGGGCAAATGAATTTTCAGGTGGGTGCAAGCCTATTTTCAAAATTTCAGGTGGGTGCTGCATCCATTTCCTTCAATGCTGGGGATTGAGAGATCAATGTTTTTGAGAACTTTCCCAAGATTTGTTAAGTTCTATATTTACCTCAACATCTCCAGAAAGATCTTCATCGTCTCCCCCAACCTCATCAATCAACATGTTTTCATCATCAAGGTCAGGAAAGCCTTCATCTTCAACATCATCTATCGTATCATCTTTAACATCTTCCTGAAATCACAGAATCAATATTTTTTTAAATAGATTGAGTCAACACTACGAAACTATGTGCCAATTCATACATCATGTATTCAAATGATGGCCATATAAGCAATGGCACTGACTGATCACCGAAAATGGAATCAACCATTTACATACCTCAGTTTTGTTCACAACCAATTATTACTCAAATCGGTCATGCCATCATGCATTTATAAGAGATTTGCAATTGGTTAATACCTAAAGGTTTTTAGGATATCATGTAATTTCACCATTTAATTCATGGACTTTTGAATTTTCACTTTGTATTGAATTCTGTGGAAAATAAGAATTGGGTTTATATTTAATAATATACAATCTGTACATACCCTTTCTTTATCTGTGATATCTTCTTTCACATTTTCTTCTTTTGATTCTTTATCATCATCTGCTGTTTCTTTCTGTTGTTCATCACCTTCTTTCTTGGCTGGTGTTTTACCAGGTGTTTTCACTGCAGGACTGTCAAAGGTATATTCTTCTGGGTTGTGACCCTCAGATTCAAGTGCCTTGAAATAATCGAGGGTGCAAAAAATTAGAATGCAACATGTTGGCTTGGTTTATGATTCAACAAAAAACATCAACAGTGTTCGCGCTAACCATTTAAATTTCTGAGTCCCAGGGACACAACCCATTTGAATAATGTGAGTCCCGTCTAATTTTTTTGCATCCCTCATATTTCTTCACTAAGTTCAAGAAAAATATTGTGAACGTGAAAATAAAGTGGGAGATAATAGAGTGCTTACACTAAAACGGGATAAAAATGACATATATTGTAATTCGATGCATCCTCCCGATAAATATCTATCATTGGGTCCTCTTCACACAATTCTGAAGTAATGTTATACCAAAATAGTCCAAAATGAATGAAGGAAATGCTCAAATTAAGAGTTTTGTTTTTACATTTTACCAACTCGCGATCTTCAAGGTCATGCCAAGCCAAAGGTTGTGAACTTTTGCTTCTTTTTATTAACATTTCTCCTTATTCTGACGACTCATTAGATGAAAATCATCATTAAACAGTTATCTTGATGTATAACATTAGATAGATATATAATGGTCTCTAGTAGAAATAATAAAGATAATCGTGAAAACAAGTCCAGCTTCTGCAATATTGTATATTTTGATCTTGCATTTCGATTTCGGCATTTTCCGGAAGACATTGGAACCAATCAAAATCCATGTTTCAGACTGGAAACCCTGTAAATCTTCGCCGTAGACGACCCGCGTAATAAACAATCTTCATGTGGGTAACTATGTTTGATACATGGCTATTTTCGTAATAGTGTTGCATTCTTCTTGTTCATTTCAATACCAAATTATCACATATTGGGTATGTTTAAAGCCTACTTTGGAGCTAGTCGGCAGAAATTTTTGGCGTATGGATATATTCAAATCGACATGCAAACTGTCTGGCCTAAATTTCAGGAATTTAACGATAAGACTCCACTATTTCCGGAAATTATAAAATGGCCGGGTGAAACCAGGAAGTGAGTATATTGTCGATGTATATTTTGCCAAATAAGTCATCGATGCAACACGATAAACTTTTGATTTAAACATCATAATTGAGTTTGTGTCCCAGGATACGCATGGGGCTCATTTTTCTGCATCCTCTCCCAGAAATCAGCGTAAAATATGCGGCTAGCGCGACCTCTGATCAATATATGATAAAAGTTCTACCCTGCATTAAAACAATATGCACTGCATCTATCTAGTGATAAGGGCTCTTGGATGATTTAAAAAAAAGACAAACAGCGATAACATACATATACCCATCAGCACAAGACTGCAACAAATGGCATTGAAACTAGGACACCAAGGTTGACCAAAATAAACCAATTGCAAAAACAGAGAGGCTGTAGTATATCGATATGTATGATTATGTGTGCATTTATAAGATAATGTTTAGGTTTTCATTACATATTATATATAAACTACGTCCAGAACAACATGACAGGATAACTCAGATCTAATGATGACATCATCACAATGGAGGAAGCATTTCTAAAGAAAATAATTTCTGAAAATTTACATATTTCTTTTGGAAGATTCAAAAGCACTGCAAACACAAACCTCTTTTAAACGTTCAATCAGGATAGCTTTGACACCAGTCTTTTCTAATTTTCTCTTCTCGAGCTCGGCCCTAAGGTCTATCACTCTCAATGTCGCTAATTTCTTGGAAGAATTCTCTGGAGTGGAAGCCATGCTTTTTTGCGGGAACATTACCCGGATGTAGGTCAGAGTCTCGTTCTCAAAGAAGACAAAATGGCGCTGAACTCAAAATTTGATTTTGAAAAGTAAGTCAATATTTCCAGATTTGAGTGAGTAAAACATAATGAAACAATACAAATTAGTTCCCATCAATAAGAGAGAATAAATATTTACAACTTACAAAATATATTGACGCTAGATCAATAATAACAATTCAGAAAAATAAACCCGATAGGGTTTATTTCTGTCACTGTCACTCTTCTAGCCTACTTCCGGGTTATGTTAACCCATCTGGTAATGTCACTATGGCAATGATATCCATGTAAATAACATACCGTGTATTTATTTGCTGTAAATACTCTTTTTCTCCATCTCATTATTCCTTTTTAGGTCATACTCTGTTCATATAGTATCATATGTGTAGCCATTGGCTATGTAGCGTTGCGCTTGCCTGTTGTGTCAGCGGCGCAATCCATCCATACGAGAAAGTCTCCTTCGGGGTCTTGGGAAATCCTTCGGTATGGTATATCAAAAGTGTGATGCCCTCTTGTTGAAGTGATTCCAGTTTTTATGAAGCCCACTCCGCGAAGCGGGCGGTACCCTTCGTTCTATGGACCGGGCTAGGACCATTCACGTGACCTAAGTTCCGCCTTTATTAGCTTATATAACAATTCATCAAGGCAACTGCCAAGTCGTCAAATGATGTGATTGTGATTCGAGATATGACATATCACATAAACTATGATGTCAGTCACATATTTACTCCATCGAGCAACTATAAACAAACAAATAATTGTAATGTGACACATCTCTGTTGATTGTATATTAACATGTGACGTCATTAACATGTCACCTAACCAACAACAAAACAAGCATTTACTTTGTTCATTGCTGTTCTCCCTGATCTTTACATAAGAAGTGGATCAGTTTTCTCTATTAGCATATGGCCCTGCATATGGCCTTCATATTTTTCCAGTGAAATTCACTGGATAATCTTGTTATGTGTTGAGAGCTTTGGTGACAACCTGGTTAAAGGTTCCCTAGAATGACCTTTGGTAACGAATCCGGCTGCTTTCCTTTGTACATGCTTTAGGCTAGCATGTTGATATCCTGGTGATAATGATGCCATGCTGCGCTAGCATATTGTAGGTTTGGCTTAACTAGTGACTTGTATGCCTGGGCTTTAATGTTTTCATTGCAATGGTACAGTAGACATACGTTGCCTTGTTTAATGTTAGATTTTGAGACAATCCTTTGTATATTATCTAATGTGCATAGTCCAGTTGAAGTTGTTGTTGTGATTACTGATTTCAATTCCTAGATATTATGGACCCCCGATTTCACTTGTGTCCTTGCTTGTACTAGATTCCCTGTCCAGTACTACCTGTTGGGACCTTTCAACAAGCTAGGATCTGAACCAGCTCAAGTTATTTCCACTTATTCCATAGTGATCTAGCTTTAGAAAGAAGAGTGTGGGTGCTATGCTTCAAAAAACACGAGGGGAAAGAGTACCCATGTATATACAACCTACCGCCGAGCAAGACACGCACATACCGCCGAGCAAATGTTTGATAATGTCATCTCGTAGGAAAATGGACAATAAAGGTAATATAATGTCACTAACAATTCCTTTGGATGGTTAGAGTTGTTACTAAGATGTTCTAGCAGGCGCAATTGGCCTAGAATTATAGTTGAAATATATTTTTATGTCCAAATTAAGAGATAAGGTAAACGTATAATGGTTTTCGATTTGTTTTTCTCATTCATACTCGCTTTAATTGATAATGAGCCATACATAAGACATACTTGGGTCGGTAAATGGATGTGCATATGCATAATATATTAAGTGTCAAAATATTAGGTCAAAATAGCACTTTTGAACAGCAAAATCTTCACTTAAACTTTGTCTTAAAAGATCCGAGGTTATCGGACATCGGACCATGTGATCGACGAGTAATATTATAAAGATCCGAAAATATCTTGAGTAAAGGATCTCAGAATCCGAACATTACTTGAGTAAAATCTGTTGAGATCCGATTATATCGTCGAGTTTATGACGTGCTGATGAAAAAATAATAAACATACAATCTGCATCATTCATGTGAATCATTTTGTTGTGAACAATAAATGAAACTGAAAAAATATGGCTATCACCAGTTACCACTGCACATCGAAACATTGTATTTCAGGTCCTCGGTACACATGCTTCCACTGTAGTTATAAATCACACGAGATGGATGACTTTGTGGTCCACTTCAGTCAGCACCATCCATTACTGAGTATTAAAGTTAATGTGCCTGAGTTAAATGGCAAAAAATGGATTTACACTGTTTTTGACTATGGTATTGTATTATCAAAGAAAGATCACGGTAATTTTCGTTTCGAGGATATGAAACTTGTGAAGCTTGGGATTCTTCAAGTTGTGTTCCTTGAGTAGAATGGCGCTTGCAATGCAGAATTACCATAGACACATAGGAAATTATGGTGGTTCAAGTGTAAGCATGAATTCAATGTTTTAAAGAACTTTGCTGGAAACAGACGTTGACGTATAGTGCTGTGGGAATTATATCATATTATATTATATCCCGGTGCCAGGAGTATATGATAAATAAATAAGGGTTATGTTCTGGGAGGTTTTGGATATGGGGTTTATCCAGAGGGAGATATGCATATCTACCTGAGGGACCGTAGGGACCGAAGGTAGATGTGCATATCTCACGAGGGATGAACCCAATATCCAAACCGACCGTACATAACTGCTTTATTCTATACCAAGTAGAGTTTTCAGTGAAATTACCGGAAGCGGGAAGATATGCACCGAAGCGGGAAGATATGCACTGAAGCGGGAGATATGGCGGGAGATATGGAGGTTCTGGATATGGAAACCTCAAAATCAGAATACGGGATATATCTTACCAACTTATCTCCCTAAAACTCAACTTGGCATAGGATAAATAAGGGTTATTTGTGATATCGTCATGATATTATATGCTCATTCGAAAGCTTACTCACGACCTCATCGGGTTCTACTCACGGTATAGTCGGAATAGCTCGGTGGTAGCTTCGGGTCCTATATAATCGTACTCGTGACATAATCGGGTCTTTCATTTTCAACTTTCACCGGTGATTTCAATGATATGCAACGTATGGCAGTGAAATAAATATGATACATTTACACCTATTGTATCTTTGAATCGAATGAAGTAAAGACAGCCATGGTTGTTACTTATTCAAGATGTAAATCATCTTTCAAATATTTAAAAGTTGAATTTAGCGATTGGATAGTAGACATTGCGCTAAGTACTCATTATTTTGCAAACATGAGTGCCTGGAACAATAACTTTATCAGTTACACATAATTCTGTGTTTTATCTGTTTCTCATATTGAGAAATTCAAGATATAAACAAAAGTTTATAACTCACCCCCTACATTTTCAGACATCTTCGGGTCTTTGCTCGGCGGTAGGTTGTATATGCACGGGTACTCTTTCCCCTCGTGAAAAAGATATTATATGTTCCATTATTTTATATGGAACTGATGTAAGAGACACAGGCCTGTAGTTCACTGCCTCATCTGTGCGTCCTTTCTTGTATATCATGGCTGAGACATAGTAGGTATAAGATCTGGTTCTGAGGCCTTCGCTAGGTTAAAGGCCTTTGAGTAGTTTTTAAATTCCATTGGCATCGATTGTTGTTTGGCATAGCTGAGATTTGACTGGTTCCTAGAGTTGGGTATATAAAGTATTATTACTAGAGATGTCACGGAACAAAAAAAAATCGGAACGGTTCGGTTCGGAACATTTTGCTTCGGAATGGAACAATTTTGGAACGGTTCGGAACAGAATGACTGCGTGTATAAGATTAAAATAAGTTGATCATCTTGGTCTATTTGGTAGCGAAAAGCTCTTCAAAACTCTTCAATGAGAAGGAGTGAAAAGAATGAACCTCTTTTGATACAAAATATTGAAAGAAAAATGCTGTTTTGTGGAGATTCAAGGGCCAAAAGTTGTGAAGGGGTAAAATGTTCTTGTTCCAGAACCGAACTGAAATTCGCAACTTGTGTTCCGTGTTCCGTTCCGAGGGTATAATTCTGTGTATCGGAACAAAATCGGGTATCCGTGACACCTCTTATTATTACATCCCAAGAGAAAATCAGTCAATCAATTTGCCGAATTAGAGACAACATAAATTACTATACTATTGATTATGTTTCTGCTTCTTGTCCAAAAAATTACTTCAAAATGTTCTTTTTTAGGGCTACAGAGCAGCTACTTTCTGTGCTTTCACAATGTGAAGCTGGACTGAGAAAAAATCAACATATACAAGAAAAACTCTGTGGTTTATTCAAACCTTGGTAAGTTCCAAAAATCAAGTACTACATTGTAGTTAAGCTATCGTAGATGTTTTGAAAGTAAAGGGTGTAACATGTGATTCATCAATGTGGTTGCAAAGTAATTAAAAATTATGTGATATACTGCATTCAGGAAACCTCTTATGATCACCTTCAAACTGTATTCAGCAGTTATAATTCCATGGATCGGAAGAGTCTTTCAAGTGTATTTATTCCCTTCCTCAGAAGAACCTGATGACAACATGCACATTCTAAAGTACCATTGGTTTGTTTCAGGCCTAGTAAAAAGAAACATGTACCTAGAATGGAAAAATTGGCTAGTAATGACGATTTAAAGCAAGTGATATCAGAGCCTTTACATGTGTATATTAAAGGTACGAAATGATAAACAGTTACATAGTTGACATATGCTGTTATTGTTATATTTTTAATGAGAATACATTCATGTCTATAAGGAAATATCAATTTAACATTTCAAGGGTTACAGTATCGGTGTGTATTACAGATTAATTTACAGTATAACTATTTATTTTACTGTTTCTTAAATTATTTTGATGGTAATAATGTGGAAAATTTTTGGCATTTGGTAGCTACTTAATTTTGCAGATTTGTTCAGTTTCATTGTTAATTTTTTGTGTGTATTTAAGCCAATTTATAAAAGGCATGATTTCCTGATAATGTTTCATCTCTTGATAGGGGGTACACTTTTCAATGTGTTTACATGGAAAGGAAAAAATAATTCCATTTTCGATGAAGATGTAAATTGGCAAATTTTTTTGAATCACCATATTTACCGAAATAAAGCAGGTGCCAAATTGTGGTAGCATTGGAATGTTTCTCACTTTTTGAGTTTCTTCTCTGTTTGATATTATTGTAATATTGCATTTACATGTTGAGATAAACAATTGAAAATATATATGGTTTTCAGGAGATAATGAAGGTGAGAATGAGGGTAATTCGACTGAAACGTTAACCTCTACTGAACAACTTGAACTGCAAGCTTTAGATACTGCACTTTTGAAAGCACAACGGACCAGAAACAAACTTTCTTTAAAAGAGAAGGTAACAGTATTGCATCTAGTTTCTGTTTGCCCCTATACTAGATATAGTATTTACTTCACCTTTCGGGGGCGAGGTATGCAGGGGGTCATAATAGTTTAAAGCAACACTGATAATGTAAGCGATTTTCTGGGAGTAAAATGTTAAGTAATAGACTACATGGAAATCTGTATATCTGAGGCCCTGTCTGATCCATATGCTTCTCGATGTGAACATTTTTTCTCAGTCCCAAATTTGTTATCTCCCATTGACATACCTATTTGTAAAACCTTGAAATGTGAACACCTGCTAATCTGAACACTTGAACTTGTCTCAGAGGCGTTCAGATTAGACAGGTTTTACTATATTTGGCTAAACCCGAACCCTGGAATGAGGACACATAAGAACGTTACAGTAGGATATTTCAAAACACCTCAGGAAAAAGTATTCTTTTATTTGAGTGTCAAGTGAAAAATTTTGTTATTGAGAATCTGGAGCAAAATACTCTCCAAATGTCTTGAAATTCATTACACTTTTGTTACTTTTGTGTTCTTTCAGAAAGATTCCAATACGGGAAATAAGACTGTATCCACTATTCAACCTAAATCAAAGAAACCCCCACTTGGAAATCAGGCAAGATTGTCCTCCAGTAGAACCTCCTCTAGTAAATCTGATCAACAGTCAACAGAGAGAGTGTCCTCTGGTAAAGCTTCTCAGAGAGGTAAACTTGAAGCTGACCCTGTTGTGAAGAACAATGTAGGGATTATATCACAGAGCTCGATAAACAAACTTTTAAACAAACCTCCAAAACGACAGCCTGTCTATGCTAAAGCACCATTCAAAACTAACCCTGAAGTTAAAAAACTTACAAAACCAAACCCTGTAAGGTCTGTGTCATATGATCGAGTCCGAGGTCAAGGACAAAAGTCAAGGTCAGCTCCTCAGAGGTCAACTTCTTTGGACAAAGTTAATCAGATGCATCCACAGTCAACAGAATCTAAATCACGAGTACACCCAAATACTATAAAGGTCAGAGAAGCGTTCCTGGATCAACAGGCAAATGAAAATGAAAATTGTTCTGAAACATCAGGTCAAGGCAGTAGAGATGAAGACTTAAAATCATTGAATTCTGATTTGAAACAGCCTGGATTTGATACTGCCAGAGAACATATTAAATCTGAAGTTGAATACAAGGCCACAGATCAAGAAATTGAGAAGCCATTTATGTTAGAGAAAGAGGGGTATGTGAATTGTGATTTATGCTTAGACTGTCACAGGATTGTTTATATCCTACACTTCTGTTTCATAAATCTAACAGGTAGTTCACTTAAATAAATTGTGTTCTAAAGGATCACCATGGTTCAAAATAGGTGGCCAAAGTATTTTTTTCATTGAGTCCCATGTTAAATATGTATGTAAATTGAACACAACTTGTAGAATGGGCATGTTAAAGCAATAGCCCATCATATTTTGCTCATTTGGGATTTGAAACCACAATAAGTAGCTGTGTTAATGAAATTGTACATTCTTGTATTTCAGGTCCTCGCTTAGAATACCAGGAAGATATCAAAAGGTTTTCAAGACTAACTTAGAACTTCAGGGAAAAGTTGCAAAAATGAGAGATAAAAATGCATCTTTATCTGAAGTGGCTACGAGATTCATGGAAAAAATGAATGGTGTATCCTTTTAGTCAGTGAATATTTTACAGTTTTGAAGAGTGTGTAAACATTAGTTGTCTAATCTTTTGAAATACAATACTATACGTTATTGAATGATCAATGCAGGGTATATTCTGCTCGAGAAATTCCCTATTTGAACGAGACATAGTCGAATGCCAATACAGGATATCAAGAGCAGAATATCCTGTATCTGTGTATTGCACTTGAAATCATTCTATAACGTTTTTATCGTGTGATCCTCTGTATTGCTACTGAGAATGTCCCCTCCATACCAATATTTTCTGTATTGCGATGGAGATGATCAATGACAATTTCGGTAGCAATACAGATTGGTACATCACAAGAACTGACGAATCAGAAGGCTTCATTTTACAGATCATACGATAAAGTGTCCCTATTGTGTGGTTTTGAAGAATTGTTTCCAATTGATTTTCTGGTAAGTTGTTCAGAATGACAATCCACTCACCATTTGAATGTCTCTTTTATGTCCCTTTTGCTCTTATCCCTCTGGTCCTACATTAATCCTTCAAAAATGATTGTATGTAACTCATAAAGTGGATGATCCCCAATTTGCAAGCTATCATGCACTAAATGCTGTGAATGAAAGATACATTTCTTCCAATTTCCATAATGGAAGGTGTATTATCATATGAGAAGAATGAAATTATTCTGTTTCATCATTAGATATTCTTTAACAGTGCTAGATAGCAGGTTTTCCAGAGAATAATGATGCAGTTGCTTTGAGCCAGGCTTACTCTGCTCACTATGCAATGCTAGAAGGTCTCCATCTACAATTGTCAGGTATGTAGCCATGGTATCTCATATTTTAACATGACTGACATATGTGTATAGTACTAATAGGCCTTATATTTTATCTCAAGACACTCACATGTAAGACACTTAAATACACACTGAGTAACTATACAAGATGATTATTTTTTAAGCAGTTGAACCATTTTTGCCATTTGATGCTATTCACAAAACAACATTGAAGACCGCTTGCTGTTCACAAGAGGGTGTCAAGAGTGTGACACTGTTCCAGCATCAACCTCCGAGATTGGATCAAAGGCAGATGTTCAGAGTGAATATGACATGCATGTGTGCATGTTTCACATCATTTGCAAAACCTATATTTTCAGATATTGAAGATCTTGACTTAGAGGCTCTGTGTTTAAGGAGGGGTGTATTGGAAAGAGTCCTTACCATGTATAGTGAAACAGAAGATACCTACAGTTCTCTCATCTCTCCACATACTCAAGGTAGGAAGATGTATTGAATTTAAAAGTAACACAGCATACAGCTTTTGTGACCAGGTCTGGAAGTGATTTTAGACAGCGATATTTACAATACAACAGTGTTACTCAGTAGGGTTAAATTGTTTGGTTGCAAGCATTTTGAGAAAGCGAAGGATTTTGTGCCTGTGTTAACATTTCAAAAATCATTTGTTTCTGAAACGTTTGTGTCAAAATGCTCCGGGCTTCAGGAATACACTTTGCTCGAGCAAAAGTATGATAAGAGAATAATTGTATGAAATATATTTGTATCATATTGAAAAATTTGCGGCATTTAATGTAATGGTATTATTACAAAATATATGCTCAAGTCATGCACAGAATACTGGGTTTTATGTTACTGGGATTTGCCAAGTAACCAAATGTCCTTTACTTTTTATGTCATCACAACAAGTGTTTGTTATGGTCTCTAACTTTATTTGTGGATGGTGTTAGGCTTTTCGATTTCGGCGCCTGTAACAAATGGCAGGTGGTGACATTTTGCATGTTAATGCCTTGTTGACAAATTGTGATATATTTCTGTGTCAAACCCATTTAATATTAAAGTCCCCGTCTAAAGTTTGAAAATATTTTTTTATCATTCATTTACTATTTGTCAGGACTTAAAAAGTGATTTTAGAGATTTTTGAACAAAAAAATTTTTTTGAAAAAAAAGTTGTGAGCATTTGAAATTTCTTAATCATCAAATATTTCTTAATGCATTTCAAAAAAGATTATATTTTTAACACCAATGCAAAGATTGAACAAAAGACACACTATTTCAATAATAAAATGTCATATTTAATGGGCCACTTCAATGTTTTAGCTTATCAAAAATATTTTGAAACATTAGTGATGTCACTAAGGTAACAAAAACTTTTTGTCAATCTTTTCTAAATATGCTAGACTTTCATAAAAAAAAATGTTGATTGTCTAACCAGGTTAAAAGGAAGAATAAATTATGTTTTAGATATCATCGTACCATTGGTTTCTATGAGAACTAAAATTTTGAAATGCATTTTTCTCAGAACCATTTTCATGCACTGATAAGTTCATTTCTCGCTTGTTTATCAACCGATTTTCTTAATTTTTTCGGCAAAAAACATGGGAGGATGTATGCTATGCATTGGTATGAATTGTGGCTAATTAGAAGATATGAGTGACCTCTAAAAGTTTGTTTTAAATAAATTCACAAATTTTGGAACAAAAAGTCTATCAAAAACCACTTTTTGAAATTAAAAAAAAAAGTTTCACATATCACACTTTGATAACATTGGGTAAGACTACAATATAAGCCAAAGTGGTTTAAACTTTACATGGGGCCTTTAAATGTTGTTATATTTTCAGTTATCCTAGACTCTTCTAAAGGAAGAAGTATAACACCCAGCATACTTGAGCCTCAGAGACAAATCAGCTGGTTGCAGTGGCTCTCTCCACTAAAAGGTATGGGAACTCAGTCCATTTCCAACATGCCATTTTTTGTATAAAAAAAACTGGAAAATTCTAAATTGGAACAATCTATGTTGTACTCAAAATCACCAGTTTGAATTCATGCTTCTCATAATTTTATGACATCTTAGTTGTGAGACACACTGATATTTTATGATTCAAGAGATCCCAAGCGCTCAGGTTTCTTGAAAGTTCATCTTATTACCTCACATTTCATCCAAAACATGTAGAGATTTCATCATTTATGCATGTTGATATCTCATGACTGTGACAATAGTTAAAATGCCTTTTATTTAACATTTGAACATTAAAAGAATTAAATAGTATGGGAGCAAAGGTCATTCCGTTTCCTTTTTAGAGGCGAGCTAAGCGACATATGTTTTCATGAACTATACGTGATACTTACCAAGAAAAATGATGTTGGCAATTCTGAGTCCGCGACGGGGTTGCTATGGTAACCAAGTAAATATGCCACGCCCACTTTTAGAGTCTCTTTTCCGTGTATGGCCCCTATCTCTGCCATTATTGCTCAGATTTAGATGAAATTCACACCAAATGGAAGGTAATGGATAATGCAATCAAGAAATATTGAGTTGGCAATTTTGAATCCGATATGGCGTTGCTATGGTAACAAAGTAAATATGCCACACCCACTTTTCGGAGCTATTTTCAGTTTTTGGCCCCTTACTTTGTCATTATTGCTCAGATTTAGATGAAATTTGCACCAAATTAAAGGTAATAGAAAGAGCAATCAAACAATTTTTAAAATGTGCAAATATGAAGATTTGCCTTTCAACTATGACGTCATAACTGTTTGTTCTTGCATATTTTATTTTAATCATAATGTATAAATCTGGGAAATCATTGTCTTTAAAATGGTCAGTATAATGCTTTTAATTAGTTTAGTTTATTTCTTTTAGTTGACTTTATTAGTTTATTTCATTCATACATGTATGATCATAAAAATTGAATAAATATAATGAAAGTGTCCAATTCACACTGTTGCTTTGGTGACAGCATGTAACAAAACTATCTGCTGTAAACTAGAATTCTTTAGGAAATGTTACATTTTGACCAGTTGACTGACATGTATTCTTTTTAAAATTTGGTGACAGAAAATAATCTAATAACCATAGTTATCAAATTTGGATTGTGTTATATTATGGTGTCATAATGGCAATTTTTAATAAGGGGCGCAGCCAGCTTTCGGTCAGAAGGGGGCCTGCTATCGTGGCACAGGCAACCCAAAAGTATTTATAAGATAGGTTTTGAATATTACAAAGATTGATGCAACTTCCTTCAAAATTTAGCAAAAAGCTTCAAGTTGAAAGTCTTCTTTTATCTAATGGTTCTATTTTTATTGGTTATTAGGGGGGGGGAGTGAACCCAGCGCACCCCCATTCCTCTAAGCACTCCCTATGTTAATCCAATATGATGTTGCTATGGTAACCATTAGGTGAATATGCTAGGTGAATCAGACAATACATGAATAATGTAGATTGGCTGACTGACATACTAAGTACCTGTTATGGTATCATAGCTCCTTTTTGTGATTATTTTCTTGAAATAAAGTAAAATTGCTCAAAATGATTCCACTGTAATAGACATTGGTACTAACTATTCCATTAATCGCCTAAAAACACTTGGAAAACATTTTACAAAACACGAAATGTAATAATAAATTTCACAAATCCCTGGGATTTAATTGACAATTTCGCTAAGCTTATTTTTTGCGATTTTACCAAACACGAAACTAAATAGCAGGCGAAAAATAACAGGAGTACAGTACCTGTTATGGTATCATAGCTGCTTTTTGTGATTATCTCTTGAAATAAGGTAAAATTGCTCAAAATGGTTCCAAATTAGAACCTTGTCCTTTGACATTCACCATAAAATGAGGCCAAAGCTGAAAACTATGATTGATTCCATTTCTTTACAAGTATGAAGTATGGAAGCCCCTGATTTCAGATATGCTGTTGGTTTTGAAATCCGACATCCGACCATTCGGTTCAAAATTGGTACAGTTATGTCTACATGACCTAAAAGATGAAATAGGCTAAAGAATTGACCTATACCATAAAATGATATTATTTTTTATGTAAATTGACATTGAACATATTTTTCGGATTTCAAAACCATTAGCAGCTATTAATGCGACAATGGGTATGCCAGTCAGTCAATTGACATAATCCATGCATTGTCTGAATCTTTAGCTTCAGTTTGGTGAATATTTCATATACGCTCAAGCTGTAATCATGACAAAGATAGAAGCAAAACTTTGGAAAAGCCCTTAACAGCGGGGATGGCATATTCACCTAGTTACCATAGCAACATCATATTGGATTAACAGGCATTGCCAGGGGGTGCGATGGGTGCGCCCCTATGAACCAAAAAATATAACCATTAAATAGAAGAAGAGCTTTAAAATCATTTTGACTTGAAGATTCTAGATCAGTTTTGAAGGAAGTTGCATCAATTTTTGTAAAATTCAAAACAAATCTTAAAAACATTTTTTGGTTGCTTATGCTTCAATTGCAATCCCCCCTCTCCTAACTGAATGCTGGCTGCACCCCTGATTAATAATTGCCATTATGGCATCATAATATAACACAATCCAAAGTAAATAATTTTTTATAGTTACAAGATTATTTTCTGTCATCATATTTTAAAAAGAATTCATGTGTCAGTCAACTCATCAAAATGTAAAATTTCCTAAAGAATTCTTTTTACATCAGATAGTTTTGCTACGTGCTGTAACCATAGCAACAGCATAAATTGGAGATTTTCATTATATTTTTAGATTTATTCAGTTTTTATGACCATGCAAGTATGAATGAAATAAAATTATAAACTCAACTAAAAGAAAGAAATTAATTAACGAGTTAGAAGCATTACTGACTATTTTAAAGACAATAATTTCACAGATTAGAACATCATGATTAAGATAAAATATGCAAGAACAAACAGTTATGACATCATAATCAATATGCAAATCATCCTATTTGCAAAGTTTACTAACTGTCTGATTACTCTATCTATTACCTTTAATTTGGTGCAAATTTCATCTAAATCTGAGCAATAATGAAGAAGATAAGAGCAAAAAACTGAAAAGAGCCCCTAAAAGTGGATGGGGCATATTCACTTTGTTACCATAGCAACGCCATTGTTGATTCAGAATTGTCAACTTAATATATCCTGATTGCATTATCTATTACCTTCAATTTGGTCTGAATTTCATCAAAAACTGAGCAATAATGGTGGAGATTGGGGCCAAACACTGAAAAGAGCCCCTAAAAATGGGCATGGCATATTTACTTAGTTACCATAGCAACGGCATCGCAGATTCAGAATTGCCCATAATATTTCTTGATCATACTTTATACATGTAAAGAAATAGAATGAAAATCAATCATAGTTTTCAGCTTTGACCTACATTTATGGTGAATGTCAATGGACCAAAGGTACCTTTTTGGAATCATTTTGAGCAATTTTACCTTATTTCAAGAAAATAATCACGAAAACAGCTATGATAGTCATACCATAACAGGTATGCCAGTCTGTAAATCTACATTCAAGTCTGTCAATTCCCCATGCATTGTCTGATTCTTTAGTTTCCATTTGATGAAAATTTCATATACACCAGAGCTATCATCATGACAACTGATAGAATCAAAACTTTGGAAAAGACCTGAAATCGGGGACGGCATATTCACCTGAATACCATAGCAAACATAGGCATAGCCAGGGGGTGTGATGGGGGCACCCCCACCCCCTCCCATTAACCAATAAAAATAGAACCATTAGAGGGAAGAAGAGATTTAAAATGCTTTTGACTTGAAGCTTCTAGCTCAATTTTGAAGGAATTTTTGTAAAATTTAAGACAAATTAAACATTTTTTGAGTTGCTTATGCCGAGATCGCACCCCCCTCCCACTCTGATTGAAAGCTGGCTGCGCCCCTGATTGAAAGCTGGCTGCGCCCCTGATTAATTGCCATTGTGACATCATAATATAACACAATTTAAATTAGATAAGTTTCTATCGTTATTAGGTTATTCTCTGCCATCAAATTTTCGAAGGAATACATGTCAGTCAACTGGTTAAAATGTAACATTTCCCAAAGAATTATTTTTACAGCAGATAGTTTTGCAACATACCATTACCATAGCAACAACTTGAATTGGATATTTTCACAACATTTTTCATTTTTTATGACCATACATGTATGAATGACATAATCTAATAAACTCAACGAAAATAAAGCATTACTGACCATTTTAATGACAATAATTTCCCAGATTTATACATCATGATTAAAATTAAATGTGCAAGAACAAATGGTTATGACGTCATAATTAATATGCAAATCACCTTATTTGCATATTTTATAAATTGTTTGATTGCTCTTTCCATTATCTTTCATTTGGTACAAATTTCACCTAAATCTGAGCAATATTGACGAAGATAGGGACCAAACACTGAAAAGAGCCCCTAAAAGTGGGTGTGGGATATTTACTTTGTTACCATAGCAACGCCATATCGGATTCAGAATTGCCAACTTGATATTTCCTGATTGCGTTATCCATTACCTTCCATTTGCTGTGAATTTCATCTAAATCTGAGCAATAATGACAGAGATAGGGGCCATACACTGAAAAGAGCCCCTAAAAGTGGGCGTGGCATATTTACTTGGTTACCATAGCAACGCCGTCGCGGATTCAGAATTGCCAACATCATTTTTCTTGATCAGTATCACGTATAGTTCATGAAAACATATGTCGCTTAGCTCGCCTCTAAAAAGGACACGGAACCTCTTATTTGGACTTTTGCTCCCACACTAAAAAGGACGATTCTCGGTTTGGAGAACGAAGTTCATCAATTTAAATGAGCATTATCCCTGCTTCGGACAAGTTTGATTTCTTTTACATAATATAGATTTGAATGTCTTCTTTTGAATAGTCATAAATTAATTTGGGTAATATTTCTAGATTTCTCGCAAAAAAATATTAGCGCAGTACACTGATGAACTTCTTTCCCCAAATCGAGACTTGTATTTTATTGAATCGGTCTAATTGAGCGTTATCCCTGGTTCAGACCAATTTGTTATTTTTACGTCTTGTAGATTTAAATGTCCTCTTTTGAATATTCATAGTTTAATTTGGGTAATATTTCTATATTTTTCATGAAAAAAATTATTAGCCCAGGAGACTGTTCTCCAAACTGAGAATCGTCCTTTTTGAGATAACCTACCTTAGGGTATTGTGTACAAAATATCAACAAGGAGGCATTCCCTATATCCCTCCGAATTTCGTTCGATGAGATAATTATTTGACATAATCAGAAAATCAAAGGATTATCTTGAAATAAAGTTAAAAATGTTGAACTCCTTTCAGAAAATGGGCATGACAGGGACAAGATCAAAAAGAAATTTGTTAAAATTGTGACAATTTGTTCAATCTTACTCTCAACTTGTCCCTACCCCTTCTAGTCCCTGTATATATATACATATATGATGACCATCAGAGTTTAAGAGATTTTATGATATCAGAGCATGCTACTAGTAAATGGAAAGGGATGTAATGAATTATGTAAGCATGATTAGCAATGTTTGTAAAAGTAGAATATTGTAATTATGTCAGTCTCCAACTTTTTTTGTGGACACATTTGGTGTCTGTAACATGGCATCTGTACAAATTACGCCATCTGTAACAAATGACAGGTGGTGACATTTTGCAGGTTAATGCCTTCTTTTGTGTTGCCAAGGTTTTCCTTTAGTTCTGTATTTTGACAATTTTTTTCATGAAAGTATTTTGTTGAGCAGAAGCTGATTGGAACTCATTTTGTGTCTTTGAATTAATAATCAGAAAATCGAAGACTTTTTATTGTTTCAAATTGACATTTCAGAATCAGAATTCTTTACTACTATTTAATAATTTCAATAGAACATTAAAAAAACATTTACTAATTTTCGTTTTTTGTACTATATTTCTTCTTCAACAAATAGTATAATATAATACAATGAATATGAAAATAATTTAAACTAACCAAAATTGTAAACATTATGATTTATTGGTGGTAATTTGAGGAAATGTATCTAAACATTTAATACATCTGTATTCTGAACCTGCATGTTGAGATTGAACAATAGGAAATACAGGACAGTGTACACATAGTTTTATATTACATCTCCAGATGCCGATTCTATATGGAACTTCACACAGATTCCCATTCTGGCAGATTCCATGGCACACCCCATAGAGTATTGCAGCTTCAATCACTTAGACAATTATATAGAACAGTTACAATATCTACACAAGTCTCAAATAGAGCTTGCAATACTTCGCAATGTTCAGATATATATATTTCCTTGGCTCAAACAACAGGATTTCACGAACAGGTATGTTTACATTTACATGATCTATGTCACCATTCACATGTTCTATGTCTACATTTACATGTCCTATGTCAACATTCACATGTTTTATGTCTACATTTACATGATCTATGTCTGCATTCACATGACCTATGTCTACATTCACATGATCTATGTCTGCATTTACATGATATATGTCTACATTCACATGATCTATGTCTACATTCACATGTTCTATGTCTACATTCACATGTTCTATGTCTACATTCACATGATCTATGTCTGCATTCACATGATCTATGTCAACATATACATGTTCTATGTCTTCATTTATATGATCTATGTCTACATATGAGCCATGTTTACATTTACACGATCCATGTCTACATTCACATGTTCTATGTCTACATTCACATGATCTATGTCTACAATCACATGATCCATGTCTACATTCACATGTTCTATGTCTACATTCACATGATCTATGTCTACAATCACATGATCCATGTCTGCATTCACATGACCTATGACCTATGTCAACATATACATGTTCTATGTCACCATTCACATAATCTATGTCTACATTTACATGATCCATGTCTACATTCACATGATCTATGTCTACAATCACATGTTCCATATCTACATTCACATGATCCATGCCTACATTTACATGATATATGTCTACATTTACATACACAATGTCTACATTTACATGTTCTATAAGCCATCTTACATCTTTGTTGCCTAACCTAAACACTTCTATACATAGATTTATATGTACAATGTACATTCTCAAAGATTTAATAAGAAATGAAACTAAAGCAACAGGTATGATTATTGGAAATTATCATTTAAACATGAACACTACAGGCAATTTTGATTTGAACAATCAGATCAAAGCCTATTTCCTGCTGCTAGTGGAACTTCCAATTATATACTAACCATGAAGTTCTTATGTGGAGCATCAGGACATACATGTTATTAATATTTTTTCAAATTCAATGATTAAAAGGCAGTCTGAAGCATGTTTTGCATTCCTGCAGTCAGGACATTTATATTTTTTAACTAATATAACACTAGTGTCTTTAGTGCAACTTATTTTGGCAGTTGTATTAATTTTTATCATATTTATAATAAAAATTTAAAAAAAGCCTTTATCTACTTATTGAGTAAAGTGTAAATCTGTTTTATTTGGCACTATCCTCAGAATTAAATCATACTCCAGTTTTTTCCATATTTTAAAGTCAAATTAAATAACTAAACCAGAACAACGGCAACGCCAAAGCGTAGCGAATCCCATCGAACAGCCATGGATGGCATTTTTACAAACAAAGTATATAGCAAAAATGGCAGGCATTTTTCAAAATGGCCGCCTTCTACCAAAAGTGTCATTAGACCATTTGCCATACTTATAGTATTCACATACCAAATATGAACAAAATCGCTCCACTACTTTTCGAGTTATAGTAAAATACGTTAAAATTTTTCAAAATGGCCGCCTTCTACCAAAAGTGTCATTAGACAGTGTGCCATGCTTACAGTATTCACATACCAAATATGAACAAAATCGCTTCACTACTTTTCGAATTATTATAAAATACATTAAAATGGCGGCCATTTTTCAAAATTTTTTCAAAATGGTCACCTTCTACTAAAAGTGTCATAGGATAGTGTGTCATGCTTTTAGTATTCACATACCAAATATGAACTAAATCGCTCCACTACTTTTTGAGTTATAGTAAAATACGTTAAAATGGTGGCCATTTTGAAAAATGGCCGCCTTCTACCAAAAGTGTCATTAGACAGTGTGCCATCCTTATAGTATTCACATACCAAATATGAACAAAATCGCTTCACTACTTTTCAAGTTATAGTAAAATAGGTTAAAATGGCGGCCATTTTTCAAAATGGTGGCCATTTTTTAAAATGGCCACCTTCTACCAAAAGTGTCTTTAGACAGTGTGCAATGTTTATAGTATTCACATACCAAATATGAACAAAATCGCTCCACTACTTTTCGAGTTATAGTAAAAATCGTAAAATAACGAGTAAAGGCCGCCATTTTTCAAGATGGCTGCCATGTGCTTCTTTAATATCTACATTTCTAGCTTTATTAATGTCCTATATTATTTTTTTACATTTAAAACATATTGCTATTACAGTTTTACATATTGCACCTAAATTATTGTAAATTCGGCACTAAAATGGCCGCCATTTTGAAATGAGCGGCCATTTTGAAAATCGGCTTTCGAGCAGAACTTCTACTCCCATAGGGTATATGTGTACAAAATATGAACAAAATCGGGCCAACGGTATTTGAGTTATTGCCCGGACGGACGGACGGACGGAGGCGTTCCCTATATCCCTCCGAACTTCGTTCGATGGGATAATAACACCAAAATAACTTCAGTTGTGATTTCGACAAGTTTTCTTTTGGGCATTTACCATCTAGCAATACTCACTGTAGGCTAGACAAGGTACAGTCTTGCACCATTCTGTAAGTTTTGTCTGATTGTATCATAATTGTATAGTTTTATGATCTTTTCAATATCCAAATCTCAGTCATATCATCAGTGGATTCCACTATTTTATGGCCAAACTTTAATGTCCAGCTCAATTTCTATAAAACCCTTAGTTTATTTGGCAATGTTTCGTCTTTTCTCTCTATTTCCTTGATGGGCTGAATGGACCTGAAATGAAGGCCGGATTTTTACTTTATTCACTTGCATAAAAAGCTAAATATATATTATATTCAACTGAGCTACAACCAAGCCCTTGGTTTTACCGAATGACCTAGATTTATAATTCTGACTTCAGATCGGGGACCCCAAGATGTGTTAAGAAATGTCAGAATGTTGGGGGTCAATATGAGCAAATTTCACCTTCTGCTGGTCATTAAACAACAAAAATCATTACAAATAGAAAACAAATATTTGAAAATCATCAATTTCAATTATGATGTACCGTAAGATATTTCTGTAGGCAAAAAATCGTGACTATTTGGACGACCCTTGTACATTGTTGGTTATCAACTTTTTACAATCTTTTTGATATATGAAATAGTGTTTGCAAGCTTTGTTCAGTCTGACAGGTACTTGATTGTACAAGAAGTAAGGGCGAGTGCACTTAACATCAGTAGATAAAAAGTACACATTGATAAGTGCATTGATAAACATCAATTTAATTTTTATTAGATTATTTCAGAGGGCAAATGTGTAGATTATAAACAATATTGGCAACAATGAATAAAATGTATGATCACTCATATCAATAATACACTAAATACATACATATACTTATTACATACCAGTGGTTAATTCTTTCCACCTTTCTTGTTTTGTTTCTTTTTCTTCCCTCCATCCCCTCCTTGGGGTTTAGGTCCACTAGGCATCTGTTGGTTGTTGGGTTGAGGGGTGGAAGGTTGCTGGGGGTGTCCCCCTCTCCCCCCTCTGTTAGCTGGTCCCCCTCTCCCAAAATGACCTCTTCCTCCTCTCTGGTTTCCAATGTCAGGAGGTGGCTGTTGGCCTCCAGGATGAGGTTCCCCAGGTTGATAACCACCAGGGTAAGGATTCGCAGGGTGAAGTCCCCTAGGGTGAGGACCTCCAGGATGGAAGCCCCCTCTAGGGCCAGGACCTCCTCGTTGGCCTCCCTGGTTTCCTCCTCTAGGTGGTCCTTGAAACATTAAGGGACTTGGCTGCTGCTGCATACCTAATTCGGGGCCTCTCTGGGGGTTTTGATGTCCCCCTTGAGAGCCTCTTCCTCCCCTGTGGAACCTCCCACCTCTTCTGCCCCGCCTTCCAATGGGATTATGAATTCTGACCATGTCATGATCACGATGGATGCCCCATTTACTTCCACAAGTGCTACAAAGATTGAACTCCGAGCAGACCATGCATTTGAAGCGTATACCTTGAACCTTGTTAGTGCAAATATCACATTTGATGCCACGATGTACTGGGCCAAGATATTCTTTCTCATCTAGAAAAAACAAAATTTAGGGAAAAATATTTATAGAATTTAAACTATGCAAGTAATTTTGTAGCCTTGCCCAAGTCGGTAGTATAATTTATTTATATTGATTTTCAATTACATACCACCTTGTAGCAATTAATCTCCGCTGATATTATTCAACGGTTTTGAGACTTTCATAATTCCTACACATATGTCAGGGCTATTGCGAAACCATGTTTATGGGCGGGCAAGATGAGCTTGTGGCTCTTTGTCAACGTTTCTTGTTGAAATCCTCTCAGCTGCCGCATCCACTAAACTCTGGTTGAAACTCATCTGATAAAATATTTGTATTTTCATGATGAACTGTACAAGATTTGTTTGTAAAAAGTGTACCTGTTTAAAACATGCATAAATAACTAATGCTGCAGCCCTGTAATTCAGGGGCGGATGTGGGAAGCAACAAGGGGGGCCCAAATTTCATGTCTGAGGAAAAAACTTTCGCGCTTGCATGGGAAAAAAGTTTTGAAATTTTGAGGCCCATTTTCTTCAAAATTTGGCCTGAAATTAAAAAATAAGGCTTTAAAAGGCCCAGTAATGACCAAAAAGGCCATGTCAAAAAGGCAGTGAAAATAAAATCTTAAGAATGAAAAGACATTGACTTAGGCAAGGCTAGTAATTTTGTTAAAATGTTGTTTAAAATTTACAGAATGCCATCTTCATATCCAGCTCAAAATTATATTTTGCTAATACAAACAAGGCAGATAGGACTACCAAAAGCATTAAAGTACATGTACCTAAAAATTAACAAACTATTAAATGTAATGAAATTGAAAAAATTGAAGTAGCACTTTAAAAAGAAATTAATGCAATTGATTTTGTGATTTGCAGTTTTCGAATGAAGAATTTCATTAATTTTGGAAACTACTATATTCCGGGTAATGTTCGCGTGCGATTTAATTTCGCTTTGTTCACAAATGTAGTAAAATTGTGAACATTTATCGTTGCGAAATTTGTGTTAAATCCCCAGGGATTTCACTCGGGCCTTTTGATATGTTTCGTTCGGTGTGAAACGTTTCTTCCAGTGTTGTTGGGCGAAGGCCTAAAAACATTTTGAATTGGCTTATGAGGCCAACAAAGGCAAGAACTGTTGACGACAATGATATCCTACAAATTGAAGTTGAAAAAGCCATTCAAGAATATTCAAATAAAGTCAATAAATGCCCTAAACATGGGAAATACAAACATTATTCGGATTCTGAACGGGATAAAATAGCCCGCATTGATTCACCGTAATCAGAAAAAATTCAACTTGTGCAATCTGCGAAATGTCATCAACTCAAATCCGCGAAATTAAATAGCCGCGAAATTGCAATTTTAAAAAATCGCGAAAATTTTATAGCGTCGAAATTTACCCGGAGTTCAGTATTTCAAAACACAAAAGATCTAGATACTCTGTGTCCATAGAATATACTGAAACTGAGAATCAGTAATACAACATTAATATTACTCTTTTAAGGCAAGGTGACTTTATATGTTGAAGAATATGATAAATTGTGGTATACAGTATACAGGGTGGGCCAAAAATGCAATTTGTAAATTAAAACTGATGTAAAAATACATATATTTCACACCATATATACAATGATACATCATTGTGAAGATATTTTCTCCCCATCATCATCATCAATAGGAAAATAGAAATTAAAAATAAATGTTTTGTGAGGTATGAGTCCATTCTCTATTAAGTAAGATCTGATGGAAAAATCGTAGGTTCTAAAGGCACTCTTGTACATTTCCATGTTTTAGGCTCCTAAACCCTCAGTTCTGCATACTGTAAATTGATATATCTATTTTTGCCCATTATGTACTCTATAAAATGAGTATACCTCACAAATGAGTATGTTATAACTTTCCAAGCAAAAATAAGACAGTGCTGTTATATACCAAAATATTGGGAATTGAATTATCTTTAGTACAACACATAATTTTATTTGTTATGTTTGCAATAAACCAATTTCAGAGTTGATTTTTTAGCCCACCCTGTACCTGTATTCATACATTCAAATATTTAGTTTTCATATTTGTGATGTTATTTATTTTTGTGTATATTGAATTTTGGGTAGATTTAATTTTGGGATTCAGTTTACCTTTATCATCAAGCTGGTCCAGAGTCTCTGCAGCATCCTCAACACTATCTCCTACACTTTCCCCAAGACTTTCAAGGTCATCATCCTCATTCCCATCATCTTCGTATGGTAGATTTGCCAGGCTTAATTGCAGGTCTTGAATTCGACAAGGGTAAAGCTCTATACCTATTGGTTCATCAACTGGAGTCCCTTTGTTTGGGTCAAATGACTGAGACCATTCTTCTACCTGTATGTGAAATCAATTCATTCAGATCTTTACATCAAAAGTATAACATGAAGAATTCAAGCACATAAGGGATGACTGTAGAATGATTAAGCATTTAGTAATATTTCAGTCTCACACACCCATCCTACCCCTGTATTTAACTTTATGTGTGACATGTTAATACATGCAGCATTTTTGAGAAAAATTCAAGCAATAGAGGTTGTCAGTTTACATTTACCCATAATGCCTAAAAACTAATCATTTCTAAAATTTCATACTTAAAAACATCCCGGAAAATTTGAGATGAATCCATGAGCTGGTTTGGCTGGAAACCTGTAGAAAGGTTTAATTGGTTTTAATTCGATTATTCACTTTTGGAGGATTTTGTGATTAATATTCAAGTCCACGAGTCAATTGATCCACCACTACATATTAGATGCATACCTACCTTGCTGGTGATGTAGTTGCCCATGTTGACCACTTCTACAGGGTGGCCATGTTGCTGCAATGACATCATTTGTAACTTTGTAGTCTCAGCAATACCTTTATAAAAGATTAAATGAGCAATCAGCATAGAATTCATGCTGTTCATGTGAGACTGGTATCTTATTAAAGGAACATTCCTTGCCAGAATATTTCTCTCCTGATATGGTAGCTACAATCATATATGTACTTTACATATTTAGCAAAACATGGGAAAATGTTTTCATATGGTCAATATTGATCATTTAAAAATGTAGTACTCATTCCCAGTAAGCTGCCATCTTTTCAGATTTCTTTCAGGAAGTGATGTCATCGACTCTCACCTGTTATAACCTTGTCTATTACAGTATAGGAAAGAAGTACAAAATCACTTCTAAACAAGAAGCCCTTATCTTCTGTGTAAAAATATTTTCAGGAGTTGTCAACTTAGAACTAAAGAAGAGATCATCAAAAGGATTTTAATCATAGACCAAATTGAAAAAAATATTCAGCTGGTTTAGTAATTCTAATAGATCCTTACCTAATGTTATATGCAAAGTTGAGAGTCGATGACATCACTTCCTGAGTGAAATTTTAAAAGATGGCAGCCTACTGGAATTGAGCACTACATTTTTAAGTGATCAATATTGACCATTTCAAAACATTTTTCTGTTTTTTGATAAACTTGCAAAGTATGTATATGGTTATAGCTACCATATTAGGAGAGAGATGGTCTGGCAAGGAATACCCCTTTAACTAATCCATTCATATGTTGATGAATAAAGATCACTGATTTACTAAGATTTACCATAGAGCTTGAACCATGCAAAAACAGGAAAGATGCTGTGCGTCTTAAATAAAAGTAATAGTTCATTGAGATGTAGCATGTGGTGCATATTTTCATCCTTGATAATTTTTCTCTAGTTTTATCAGGTTAGTTTTGGATATTTTTTCTACATGGCCCTTTTGCCCTTTGTGCACTTTCTAATCACCAGACTCGTTTACCTTTAAGCAGCTGCAAATTCTCAGCATGAGCCTGTAAGGCTTTAACCTTTGCAGTTTTCAGCTCATAGATATTGCCTTCCAGGTCTCCATAGTGCGTATCAAGAACTGTCTGAGCCAAAGCTTTGTCTTCTTTAGCATCTTGTTGAGCCTTCCCAACTGCTTTATCGACAGCTTTGATGACATTACTCGTTCTGTTTATTGAGTTCTCAAATCGCTTTTCTCTCTTTGTTGCTAGTTCAATCAACTTTGCGACTTCTTTGAGTTTTGATTTTGCCGATTCATTGATGTCTTCACAATTGTGGCTGGCATGACCAGTCACAAAGCACACCTGTTATAGGAGAACAAGAAAGATAAATGACAGATGAGTCAAAATGTTGAAGTATATTTTGAATGTTGAATTGAATGGGAAAAATTTGTAGCATCCTTATGTGACAAAACATCTGTCAAAGAAAATGAAGGAGAAATTCATCATGTTCATAAGCTAATCGAAAAGAGTATAATAAACAAATGTCCCCAAGTATAATATTCAATCACAAAATAACACACCTGGCAAAGAGCCTCATTGTCACTTGTGCAGAAAAATTTCACAGGCTCGTCTTTGTGTTTTGAACAGTAGACATTCTTTGTGGAGATAACCTCAATAATAGCTTGGGCATCCTTTAATTCATCACCTGTGAAGTCTATCACCTATAAAGAGAAATATGTGGACTTTGTCAAACAATAATACAATGTTGGGAAAATGTCTGAAACTAAAAAAAACATATTACTCAGACCATCTCTGCCTTGCACAGAAGGAAACTTATAGGAGGCTGTGATATCTCACAATGATATAAAGTCACATAACATCTCATGAAGAATCAAACTCCAAGATCCGCTACAGTAATCTTACATATGAAGAAACTGTCCTACTTCTCTCAAACTGAAGTATTTTTGCTTAGAACAGAAGAAGAATATGTTGAAGAATAAATGAAAAATATCAATACTTTGACATAAAAAAAACATGTATTCGGGACACAAACACTTATTCAAGATCCAGTCTGTAATTCAATATTTTAATATTGTCACTTCATTTGAGACTGATTTGAGACAGCAAAATCATACAAAATATCTTTTAAAATTACCTGATGAGATTTTGTTAACTTGGAATGACGATGAGTTTTCCCACAAGACTGGCACAACTTTTCATCACACTCAATACAACGATGCTCTGCTGTGACATTTTCGCCTGATGCGGTACAAATATCACAAAGACTTTCGATCGTAACCTTGTCAGCGCCATCTTTAGTGAGAATATTCTTTAATGCATCTACCATAGAATTCATATGGAAGTTGGTTAAGTAATCCGCAGCACCTCCCCCAGTCTTTGAGAAGTTGGCTCGGCAAATCGGGCATGGGAATTGTGTATCATCAGTTGATTGTGAGATCCAGTAGTCAAGACATCCTTGGCAGAATACATGGAGACAGGGTAGACTTTTTGGGATATCATATATATCAAAACATATCTGGCATGTCAAGAACTCCTTATAATGTTCCTCCAATGATGCCATATTGTTTGCCTAGTTAATACACCTTGTGGGAACTTTATTGTAGAAAGTATTCCATGACTTGATGAAGTTGAGGAATACTAATTTTGTAATCTGAATAAAAGAAACACATTTAGAAATAAAGAATTCAATGTTATATACAATGTATATGGACTAGTTAAAAGATATGATGTAGCCTGGAGAAAATACAATTAGGAAACATATTTTATATTTCGTTGCTATTTAGAAGGGGTTTAATTTAATGTAGAAAAGACATATTTAGATCTAGAAGTTACCTATTCCATTGTAGTTTTAGTTAGGCCTGTGGTATAAACGCTTTGGAAAATTTGCAAAATATAATAGCTGCAAAATTCCAATATTTCTTATTTGCAAAATATAATCTAGTATAATATGATCTTGTTGAGTTGACATGTGGATTGTGATTTAACATTTAAATTGGGAACCTTAAAAGAGTAAATTAACATTGGTTTTTTTAAACATTTTGCAATGGAGATTTTGGGGGGTTTTGTTTTAAGTTTTTGCATACTTTTTGTTAAATCAACCAACATTTCCTTTTTATAACTTAATATTGAGAGGTCTAAGAAAATGTTGTTCATGTATATGCTATTTTGTTCCAACAAGGTTCGGAAAGACATTTTATTTCATTCTCAAGAATTGGGAGAAAGGAACAAAAATGCACTAAAAGACAAAAAATGTTAACAAAAACAGTTATATAAAATATATATAAATATTTTTTTGCAATTGTTGCCGATCAGTCAACATTACATAAAGGACTGTGTTTTTTTACAGAATGTTTTCAATAATTGGTTGAAGAGAAAAACATTGTTGAATTCAGTTCTCCATATCGATACCTATCTTTTGAATAAAGTTTGGTAAATAACTGCAAATCAAAGTTGTTTTCAAAGAAAATTACTCACAGAATTCAATGAAATATGTCATCAGATTGAAGAAAATATTGGTCTTTAATGGTTAAAAACACAGATCTCCTAAATCTCATTAAAAACAGGACTTCAACAATTATTCAAAGCTATTTAGAGGGGTACAATCATACAATTCTAACCTGGTGAAAATATATTTGGAAGTTTATCATTTCATAGTTTTTCAGTTAGGGCTCACTTATCCTATGTGTTTTGAAGTTTACTAATTTCTTTCTGAAAATGTAGTATGAGGTGTAAGTCATCATTGTTTCAGGCAAGTTTAGGGCAACTGTCTGGCAAGTACCCCATCAAATCACAATATGGTCCACTGAGTGCTTATTTTTTGATACAAGTACGAGTATAGTGAATCTGACTAGATCTATTGTTACAACTTCCAAATATTTACAAGACCATGTCAGCTCATTATACATGTACATGTTATATTGACTTTTAGATTTTGTCATGTAACAGTATCACCCTATATAAAGTGAGTGAATGGGGATCATATAGATACAGTAAAGGATGAGAAGTGCACTAATATAAGACTTATACTTCATAATTACATTTGTGATTTTAGAAAGATTCATAGGCCTACTAAAAAGTGAAGCAGAAAAAGTGCATGCGTTTTATTGATTATTTTTGAAAAAATTTTTGCACTAATCAATTGATATGTGCATGATCATTTATCAACCAAACTTATCCCATGAATGAATTCCAGTAGAATCAGCTGATAACAATTCTTTTAGAAGAACTGAAATGGTTGAGGTAATACCAACATGATCACTGCAATACACCACTTCTCATCACAAATCATTGCCATTTCTTCCTCAAAATTTTGATTATCCGTTATAAAACATGTTCATATCTGATAGAAATATATCAAGAAACAAAGCATAGCCCTAACAGTGTACAATATTAAGCTAACACATGCTCAATCACTATAGAATTACTGCAGGTCTACTGACATTTTGACAATGATACAATCCGATATATTGTGGGAGATTTTATGACATCTTTAAAAGACTGTTCCATCGTAAGTACGAGTTTGATTAGATCTATATTGAAAACACATGATATGTACAATATATGGACTCTGATATAGGCTAAGTATCATCTAATAGACTGTTAGTCTATACAAATATCGACATTATACATCAAAGTTGTGGTGGTGACTATGGCATTATTTTTGCTTCTTTATTCATTAAATTCAAATATATTCGATGTAAGAAATATTAATATTCGCTAAATCATTTTCCATTCGGTAAAAACGTTTATATGTTTGTTACAGCAAATTAAGTTTTCAAAATAGCCAATTACTTAATACTATGTGCATTAAATTACATATTTCATTCGCTAAATGATATGTTTTTTGCATAAATTGTTATGGTATTCCTTAAAAGTAACACATTATATGCACAATATTTAATTTCTATTTGAACCCTACCGAAATAATTTTGCCTATATTTACCAAATGACTTATTTTTCTATGACATAGTTAATGTATTTTACCGAAAGCTAATTTGCCATTTACCGAATTCAATAAAGTAATATTCGATATCTTTCGTTGTTATTCGATATTTTATCACGTGCCCTCGAGATTTGCAAAATGGCCTCGCAGCTATTCTACATCGTTCAAATATATCACGTGACTGAAAGACTCGTAAAGTATCGAAAAATAGCAAAATTTATCGAATGTGGCATTCGGTATTTACCGAATATAACTAATTTAAATACCGAATGTACAAATAATTAATTGAATTATACGTGCGTTAATGAAAACAAATAGATTCGCTGCATCACAGAAATACATGTACACTGTGTATAAGTATCAAATGAGAACGCTAACACAAAGAACAAGTGAAGCTATTTAGTGAATACAAGTTGTATAGAATATTATTCGATAAAATAAAAAAAGACATTCGACAGATTGGGTAAAGGTTTGGTAAATTGTTTGTTTTATTTGGTATTTATGAAATATTCAATGTACTGAATAAAGAAGCAGTTTAAGCACCATAGGTGACCTATTTCTCAGTTCTTATTTGATTTTTCAGGCTTCTTCCTCAATTACCCTCCATATGATTTTCCTCTACTCACCTCCTATATAGGGTGGGTATCTTATGCAGTACAATCAAGTTTGTTATATATTGGGTTAAATGTATCTGTAAATCATTCATACACTTTCGTGTTCATACCAAATTTTCAAAAAAAACAAAACAAATAAACTCACCCTCAATTCTTAGAAATGGACTGCAATAGAGTTGAAGGTCACTTCACAATAGACTCTCCAAGTATCTAGGGGTGTAAGGACTGCTTGATACTAACTATTGAACTCATCCATAATCAATCAATAACTATGATAGGGAAGATAAAAACTTCACACTCACTGTTGTACACTGTTTACATTAATACAGAACATTGTAGTTAAAATGATGACCTTATCCTACAGAAATACTGTACTCCTGGTTAATTTCGCGAATTTTAAATTCGCAAATTTTGAGAAAACATGATTATGGTGCTATTAAATTTTCGTGAATTTCACTAAGTAATAGTAAGTACACTTACTACTATGTCATATTGGTCAATGACACGCTGCACCTTAACCTCTATTACATCATAATTTAGGGGTTTATTTGATCTAATAAGCCACTGTAATATACATTATTATCCCATTTATCGCCTAAAACACTTGACAAACATTTTTCAAAACACGATATGCAATGGAATCCCAGGTAATAAAAAATTTCACAAATCCCTGGGATTTAATAGACAATTTCGCAAAGATTAATTTTCGCGATTTTATCACAATCGCAAAAGCGCGAAACTAAATCGCACGCGAAAAATACCAGGAGTACAGTATTATCTCAGATAATTGAAGAGATGACCTTGGTATGAGCATTGGCGGATATTATATTGATATATGTCTATTGTATAAAATGACAGAAATATAGATTGTGTTTCAAAGTATAATTGAAAGCCCATGGTGCAACATAGAAAGAATAGAGTAGAAAAAACAGGGAACTATTCACACTTTTCTACATTTTTTAATGTTTTCAGAGAAGAATAGGCCTATACATGAAATTAATGATCCTTTTTGCACCACATCTTTAAAACCTAATAGAACCTATTTACATAGCCCCCACTGTGAAAAATTAACAAAAACAATACTTAACTATTTGTGCAAATAAATAACCTTTAGTTAAAAAATAAGATTTTTTTGACTTAAAATTGAAGAATAATCCAGAAGTCAGAACTGCTGAACTTTTAGAAAATACTAATCTAGTTTTGTTTTATTCCAAATAATTTGCTTGCAAAATTCTCAGTTCAAATATCTCAGTAATTCATTTATGTAATCAGAAATAGTACTTTATGAACATTTATTCAGTTCCCTGTGACTTGTGCTGGAGTTTCTCTTGATCTAATACATACACATTTTTATCATAAAATGCAAAGAAATATGCTAAACACTACAAATCAGTTTGAAAAAACAATATGGCTGACATATGGTGCCATTCCCATATAACTGTTACCATTCTATATTAAACATACTCAATTCAATTTGTGAAAAGGGAACTAGGCCTATATTTATACAAGCCATCTTTAGTTTCTCAGGTTTTTACTTAGTGAGTTTATTATGCGATGAATGAACAAAAAATCACTGAGATTTGCACTGGAGAGTCTATTCAAGTTCCCCTGAATGGAAATACCAATCTTTTCTTCAAGTTCATGTCTTTAATCACCTCTATCTACGAGGGGTGATCCAAAAGTCTTGGATGACCCGCTCTAACTTTGCTGTTTTCTAATATAATTACATGAAACTTTCAGATAATAAAGATCAACATCTTAACAACTTTGTGTATAAGTTTCAACAGAAAATAATATATTTTAGCTAATTTTCTAAATATTTTTTGATATCGGGTCCCTACCACCGGAACGATATTTGGATATAGCAAATCATGTCACAACTGTTATAAGATGGCAAATACTGTAGGTGCAGGAGCACAACTTAACACCAGTCATGATATGAGAGAATATCCGATTTTCGATCTGAGTGTCATCTGCTATCATCATCTTCACATATTAAGACCTACTTTTCAACATATTTTCCACGAATTTGACCACATTTTTCACATCACTTTACCAATGAATGAAGACATTTATGAAACCACCATTGCTTATGTGATACAAATGCTGCTGGAGTGCCACTCTAAACCTCATCCAATGAGTAAAAACATTTTCTTTCAACCCTCCTTTCAAATTGGAGAAAAGGAAGAAAATCACATGGAGCCACATCTAGGCTGTATCGTGCATTTAGTAGCTGCTCAAGGTCAATAATAGTGAAAATATCTTGTAGTATTCTTTGTTCCACTTTGATTTCTGTCATGTTCTACATTTCAGTAGCCATCTTGCAGCAAAAATGATACCAGAATGAAGGTTTATTGTCTGATGTCATTTTTTGTAGAATTTGACATATACGGCCATTATCATATGTGACAATAATTAAAACACAATTAATTGGTTTCATAGTAACAAAGGAAGTAAACTAACATGGTTTAACATTCAAAATTCAAAAAAAGATAGTGGTCAAGACATGCAAAACACATGAAATGGCGGCAACATTTAAGGCTGAAAGTTGCCATGTGCGAATACCGTTCCGGGTGGCAGGGTCCCTATATTAAAAACTATCTGGAAAACTACATAAATCACATCATTTCTCCATGAAATTAATACACAAAGTAGTTAGGTTTTTGGTCTTTATTATTGGAAAGGTTAAAGTAATTTTATCAAAATTAGAGCAGGCCGTCCAAGACTTTTGGATCACCCCTCGTATTATTACACCTTAATAAACATGTATTTCATGTTGACTCCTCTGAAATCTGACAGTGTGCTTAACAAACATGTCTTTTGTGTATATTTCAGTGACACACTCCAAATGTACAGAGGTATCTCATCGATGCTGATGCATAGAAGTCTCAAAGCACCAACGCTGGTTCTTGATGATATATCAAGTGATCCAGAGAATTCTGATCAAGATGGAGATGTACATGATTTCTAATCCAGTATCCATTTGAGACTAGGTCTGGATGATTGGTGTCCACCAAGTGCAGGGATCAACAGCTAATATTCCGTTCCTCCAAGCTGTTTAAAGGTAAATAATATTTGACTTCTAAATTTCTTGACTTATTGTTTTCCTACAGTCATTTCAAATTTTACTTATAAGAATGTATTCACTATTTATGAGTTAGAGACGTCTCTAGAGTGTTCAATTTAGTAAATAAGGTATTTGGTAGAGAGGCTGTTTCATAGAGAATGTGTTCAGGAGAGGATGTGTTCAGGATAAAAGGTGTTAAGTAGAAGGATGTTCTGTATTTATGAGTATTTCGTTGAGAGCCTGTTCATTGGAAAGGGTGTTCAGTTAGTATGGTGTTCAGTAGAGAGGGTGTTCATTAGACAGGATGTTCAGTGGAAGGCATTTAGAGAAATGCATTAGATATAAAAAGAGTCTTGTAGGGTTATCTGTAGAAAGCGTGTTCAATGGGGGATATAATATCATATTTTTTGTCTTTTCAGGTGCATGATGACATTGTGCAGTTTACAAATATACATTACAGGATGAGAATGAGAATGTCTCACACATTTTCATCATAAGATATAAGAATGAATCATTTCAGAAACATTAACTGAATGCAAATAGATAGGAATAAGGAGTATCTTCTAGTATGCTCTCACCTCTTGATATGGACTTTGCAAGTACATTGCAAACATTATTGATATTGACAGTTGCCATGAAACAGTCTGATTGACCATTATAGGTGAATAGATACATTTTATTCCATAATAACATGTTTTCCCTGGGAAAATAACAGGGAGTAAAATTGATATTCAAAAAATCCCGTATCAGCCAAATTCCCTTATCATATCCTGTATTGGATCCCGTATCAGAACTAAGTTGTAAATGTCATTCGATAAATTAGATTGTGTCATTTAATGCCACTATCATTGGTTGACGACATACAAAACAAGTTTCAGAAAAATATTATGGAATAAATAGGTTATTGACGGCCGTGATGGAATATGAATTTTTCCTCGAGAAAATATGATATTGGCCTCGGAAAATATCATATTTACACTTGGGCTGTTGCCCTCGGTCAATATGATATTTTCCTTGGTCAATATCATATTTTCCCTCGAAATAAAATTCATATTCCATCTCTCCCATTAAATAACCTCTATGTACTGTAGACTGGGTTAATTTGGCGCTCCTTATTTTGGCGATTTTGTCATTTTTGGCATATTGGCTGCTATTTAATTTGGCGGATATGCAAAAAATGTTATTGCTATGTTAAACTATGTTAAACGCGCTGTTTGCGAATTACCATGTAAATGGGCATGTTTGGGTATGTTCATTTTTTTTTCTTTTGAGGACCACTGGCGATATTCACCACATTTGTACATTTTTGTGAGATCATCCTTTACATTTTGCACCTCGATCGATGCTGCTACTATACCGCGCTTTTCCTTTCTAGTTTTTCCCTGAGTATTATTGAGTGACTGACCAGTTCTGAGCCACTTTATGAGAGACATTTTTCATATTTTTGGAAAAAACTAAACCGGAAGTGACCTAAATACACTGGACGAAATACCCTAGATAATTCCCGGGGATTCATTCTAAATTTTGGCGAAGATTTATATTGGCGAATTTTTTTATTTCGCCAAATTCGCCAAATTAACCCAATCTACAGTATTCAAATTGAAGGCATTTCAGAGTAGATCACAAATATTATAGGCCTACAACTCAATACATTCCAAAACATTCATTTTGGTGATTATTTGATTTTTTGGGGTTTTCCACTCTGTGCAGTTATTGTTTTCCAGTCATCATGATTGTTTTAAAATTTACAAAAATGTTTATTAAAAGAGGTATCAGATCTACCAAAGAGTGATCAGCGACAAAAATTGTCTCAATTTTAGAATATTTTTGGCTAAACGTATCATTCCTTGTCGTCACGTCTATTTTCTAAGTATCCCCAGAGTGTATACTTTATTTGAGGAAAACTATAGATTTTTACAATAATGCATTTATTTTTCTATTGGCAAAATATGGTTACTATATTTTATCATTTGGGAGAATTTCAACATTTTTTACCAATTTTTGCACTTAAAAACTTTAACAACTTTTCAAATTGATAACATATTGTGGATCTTTTGGGAGATGTTATTTTTCAGATTTTCAGGAATACACATTGGTAGGTCAACTGTACATGTTTTTTGCAATTGTGTCACTCCGTATTTAATTCTGCCTTCAATTTGAATAGAATGTAGAAATGTAACAATTTTATACATAAAGTCTCTACACTTTACAGACTTTGTATTATAATTATAAAGAGACTTTATGGAGACCCTGTATATTTGTATTGCACATGTATTGTATTATCATCCCACTGAACGAAGTTTGCTTTCAGCTGAATTTCAAAATGGCTGCCATTTTTCATGAAAATGGTAATCTTTGATAACTCAAATACCATTCCACGGATTTACTTCAAATTTTATATCCTGATGCCTAAATTTTCAAGGTGGCTGCTATATCGAAATCTCCGCCATTTCCCTCTAAACCTGTAATCCTTGATAACTCAAGTACCAGTTGACGGATTTGGATTTAATTGTATATGCTGATGCCTTGGGACATAGGAGCTCTGCTAAAGAAGAAATCTAAAGATGACAGCTGAATTTCAAAATGGCAACCATGTTTCATAAAAACATAATCTTTGATAATTCAAATACCAGCGGATGGATGTGGCTCAATTTTATATGGCAGCTATTTATCAAAACATGTTTTGTTCGGTGGGATTTGCTAATTCGTGGAGTTGCTGTTTTTCTAGTTTAATACAGGATGGTGGCTATTTCGCCAACTTTTATCTTGTGTAAATGTATTTATAACATGTACATAATACATATCTTCAATGGATATGCAATATGGGTAGAGCACAAAATCTGCAATTTGTGGAAATAAAACACATTTATTAGTGGGGCAAAACTAATTATGTTACTGAACTTACTGTGATCCATCTAAGATATTGAGCTTGATGAAATTGATAATAGCCTATAGGTGATTTCATATTTTGGTGCCTACTATTTAATGTTTATCTGTATTTTGCTCAATATTTCAAGTCACTTTATGTTATGATTAAACTACTATGTGCTGTTGTTTCAAGGCAAACCAATCATAAATGGAATAATTTTTACTGTCATGTTATTATATTGTATGCAAATATAAATTTTTTATTACATAAGATTGATTTTCTGTTATTGGTGTGTGCTATGTGAAGTCTCCCTTTTACCAACTCTGTAGACTGACTACCTTCACTCAAAACTCAGCATCATTAACCCGTTGGTGAGGGTTTCAAATATATTGACTGGGCTCATTGTCATATCTTATGCTAATTGGCATATTCTGTGTCTAATGTCAGGGACCAGATCAACACCAAAGAGGGCAAAATATGACTTACATATTTGAGGTTCTCAAGAGCTCTAGGTCACTTAATTGTACTTAGGAAAGGTCAAGGTCACACAAAAGGTCAAATATGGGTTTTGCACTTGGGCTATATGAAAACTAGAATGAATATTCCAGTGTTTATTTTGCATCTGAAAGGTCAAATGTGAAGATGTACAGTTTATATTGAGGCTACTCAAAAATGTGCCAAAATATTAAGGTCATGGAAGGTTTATATCATATTCATAGAACAATGTCACCTTGGAAGTGAAGTGAGGTTTTTATGTCACCACTACAAGTGTTGACATGTTTCTTTATTAATTTGTGGACGGTGTTAGACATATGGCACTCAGGATCTGTAACAAATGGCAGGTGCTGACACTGCATGTTAATGCAGTGATTTCCCCAGCATTAAAGCAAGCAGGCACAGCACCCACCTGAGATCTTAAAAAACTTGGCTTGCACCAACCTGAAAATTCATTTGCACCCACTTGAAAAAATGAGAAAAATCATGAAAAATGGGCATGTTTTGGCCTGAATTGTGAAAAAGATAATTTTGTAACCGCTTGAGAAAAATTCTGTGTATATTCAAAAGCAACAAAATACGAGGCATTACACTATTCTCCAGGGCGTCAAATAAGTCTGTTCTCCCCCCTTAACTTTTTTAATTTAGAAATAACATAGGGTTATTGTATATCATCTTAAAGGGAATTCAATTTGCTGATCACACACCAAATTTTAGGGTGATTGGTTGAATTCAAAAGTTTTTAGAGTATTTGTAGTGATTTCCATATTTCACATTTTTAATAATTTGTATAATTCCCCCAAGCAGCTCGGACAGTCTTAATCCTACAAGGATACGGTTCTAAAATGTTCACAAACAGGGATGTTGCACTTTCCAGGCTTTTAAGAGCTTTCTTGATATGTTTGAGCAACATTTCATGGCTATGGAGTTTCTCCTCTGGTTGATCTTTAATTAATTTTTCGACCCTGTCCTTCATAATTGCAGTATTAACTTTTCACCGTTCATTCACTATCCTGGTAATTTTACTTGTTTTGACGCAATCAATGGTCAACTACAGCCTTACAAGAAATATTGGAGCAATTTTATTAGGAAGAGTTTGTTATTGATTTTTAAAGGGTGATCAGCATTTTTCATGAGCTTTAAAATGATATATGGGAAAGTATAATAAATTTAAGAATAAAAAAGTTAAGGGGGGAGAACAGACTTATTTGACTCCCTGTAATGCTGAAATGAGAACAAAAATAATAAATTCTCGTAATACATTTATGTTTTTTTTATTATTTTTTACCATTGAAAGTAAGGTGCACGCTACTTGTTCAAAAGCAAATTGTTCGAAATTCAAAATAGCTGGGGTCCTCAATTATCTTGAGTTTATATACTATTCTGTAGTAACACAAAAATACAATTTACAGACATCTATTAGAAGTATAGATAATGTGCAAAAGTTTTAAAATATAATACAATAACTGATTCAATGTTTTTTAGAATTGAAAGAAAATGAGTTACTCAAAACTTTCCATTCCTTTTTGATATATACACAAATTAGATATTTCCTTGTATGAGTCTCTGAATTTTGATCAGGGAATAAGTATACAAAGGGTGTCCAAGAAGTTCCAAGAATTCAGTGATGACATTTTGTATTCTTCCCATGCTAAAACTAGAAGTGGCTCTAGTTTACTAGGCAGCAGTCAAAGGACGAAGAAATCCTGTAATCACATGCATTCAACTCTTGATTTTATGTTTTCAAGGCTATTGCTTGTTTCTGCAATTGTTTAAAAGTTGCCAAAATAAGATCCTTCAAATATTCCCAAAGATAATTAACTAGAGTATTGCTATCTAGGGGTCAACAGCCCATATACTTAGCAGACAATGGCTAGTGATCCTGTTTCAGAAGAATGCAATTACGGTAGCCACTGATCCTGCTCTATACGATTGAGAGTGATGTTCGCCATTGGATGTATTGGACTGATTTAGAGTCTGGCGTGAAGCACCATTCTGCCAGAAACATTTGTCTGCATGATTCATTCCACACTGTCCCATCCTTAGGGTTCAACTCAGAAATACAGAAGGACACTGATTTATATAAATCTGTTGCAGAAATCATTTATGCAACAATAGCCAGAAAATAAATCCAAAGAGAAGAATACATTACAGGGTTATCAACAATTTGGCCAGAAACATCTACATCTGTATTTGTCTTTTGTGCTTGCACTGTTATTTCAGTATTTTGGTATTTCAGTATACCTATATCCCACTTTTTGGTAACCCTGTAGTATTGCATTAGTTGAAAAGTTCAAGTCATTCAAAGTAGTCATAAAATGTTGATTCCAAATTCGATATCTTCTGGGACACCCTATAGCTTAGGCACTTAAAGCATATTCAAAGCAACTAAGTACACTATCATATAATAATTAAATATTACATCATTGTTTGTCACTTTCAAAACACTAGTAGAGTAAAAAAAAAATCAAAAGCCCTACTAGTGCCAAGAAATGTTAAATCCATATTAATGTTTTTATGGATGTATACATTATATGTTCCTTAGAGGATTGTTATAAATGTATCCAATATTACAGCATTCATTACAGAATACAATATCTCCGTTTATGTATTCTGGCTCTGTTCAACAAATATAACTGTCGCAATTTATACCATTCCATATATGGACATTTGGGTGTTGCGCTTTTACTTTATGACCATAGACTTTAATGAAACCTCAAGCCCACTGTCACATGTTTCATCATCTTGACCTGGAAACATAAATAATAAGAGTCAAGGGTAATTTATTTTATTATTGTTAGGGAAATAAACCCCTTTTGAGAAAACACCTACACTAAACAAGGCATCAACATGCAAAATGTCACCACCTGCCACTTTGTTACAGACCCTGAATGTCCAACAACAACTGTCGAACAATGTCCACCAAAAATTTGAAGACTAGTGGTGACATAAAAATGGATGGAATTGTAGGTAACTTAGTTCTATTACAATCAAAACCAAATAAAACATAAGTGATTTTGAAAAGTATTTGTCTTGTAGTCATGTGATTCTGAAGCTAGAATGTTTATATCAACAATGCAAATCCAGAAAACATACCTTTAGGTTGATGCGTTATAAACCTATCCAATATCTTCAATGTGTCATATCTGCTCATCAACCAAAGGCATTCTCTCAATGTCTCAATTGTACCTTCCTGGCTCTAAAAATGTAGCATGGTTGACATTAAAAAAAAAAAAAAGAATTTATATAAATGGCTAGAGGATCAATTTTCTTCTACCTTTTCAAGTTTGATAATTATACAATTATAAATAGGTTCAGAGGAAATCACTATCTATTCAATATTTCTTCTTCAATACAAGAAAAGATCATTTTTCAACATGGGCTCCATGGGAAATTTACCAAGTCTAGAAATCACATTTTCAAAGAAAATTAAAATTTGAAAATTGATGCACAATTTAAAAAAACACATTTCACTATGTAATTTTATCTAGATTTCAAATACAATATTCCTGCCTAATTTTGAATATCAAATGATGAAAACTAATTTCATTTCTACTTGCCTCAAGGCGATTGCCTTGCCTAAATTTTACATAAAAATATTTTGAACCTGGCTGCATCTTCTCACTGTAGGTACTGATTAATTTTTATGAATATAATGCATATTAACTTTTAACATAAACAACCCAGCTACTACTATACTGTGATCCTACCCTCCTTTTCAGATAAGAAACATAAGTCAAGTTGATATGTATCTTATGAAAATGATTTAAAATTGAGTATAAAGAAAGAACGTGAAGTTACCTGATAATAATCAAACAGACTCTTAGTTGGGTTGGGCATCTCTTTTAAAGATGGCACCACTGTCTCACATTGCAAAAGTTCTGCTAAGCGACGCCAATCTTGCCCCTTTCTTTCCTTGTTCAATAGTACTGACAGTTCTAGCTGGGATCCAAGGTCAAGTTTTGACATGTTCCCTGCAATAATAAATACTACATTTACTCAAGAATTTGCAAAGCTCATCTCAGTTTTATATCCTTTTTAATGGTTTGGGCTCAGGAATTATAAATCCAAAATGTAGAATCACAAGCCAAGCACTCAAGCACTTTTATACAATATTAACAATATTCTGTTTTGCAGTCAATACATCTACTCCACCCTGCAATGACACTGACATTAAAGTGTTTCATATTCACAGATAATTCACATTTCTTAATTCTCTGGTTTTCCGTCTTGACTTGATGTCTCTGTAAAATTCCTTGCTTATTTCCCAGATTTTCCCTTTTGCGTTTTGAAATGTGACTCAAGTACATTAATACCTGTGATCCCCATAGATAAACCAGAGTCTACCAGCCCATCATGTCCATCACTGTCTGGTGGTGTCTCATTAAGCGATCCTCCAGTAAGAAGCAATAAAATCTGAAAAATATTGATTTATTTACATTTTCCATTGTAAAATGACATACATTCAATTATAAGGGATTAACATGCACAATGTCACTACCTACCATTTGTTACAGATGCCAAATGTTGACCTTCAAACACTGTTTACAAAAAAGTTGTCACCACTTGTGGTGGTGATATAACAAGCCCTGCACAAATAGAGTATTTAAGTTGCGAGTTCCAAAAAGTCAAAAACGAAATACATGAGGTCTAAACTGTCCATCAGCTAAACTCAATCTCCATGAAACAATCTTATATGCTATCAGGTACCTTGGTATTTTCTTTGGCCAAGTCTAACGATGTGTGGCATATTTTTTCTTCCTCTTCATCACTTCCTGATGAGGATTCATTTATTGGTTCAGAATTCTCTTGACTTGGATCAGCGCCTCCTGCGATGAGTAAAGCCGTCATGGCAACATTTTGTAACGAGACGGCAAGATGGAGAGGAGTGTTCCCATCATACCTTGCGACATTTATATCCACCTTACCCTAGATTAAATAACACAAAAGGCTTAATTTTTGGAACGAGTATGACAAAATGTAAAATTGCTATGATTAAACAAATTATACATACAATGTTTCAAGGATAAGTTTATTATATACCTTTTGCGTAAGGAATCCTGCAATCGATAGCCTGTCCAATTCTACTGCCAGGTGCAACGCTGTGTTTCCACTAGTTCCATCACGAATATTCACATTGCATTCTGGGATAGCCAACAGTTTCACACATGTGAGACTTCTTGATTTGACAGCCAAATGAATCGGGGCATAACCTACAATGCAAAGGGGTCATTTAAAAACATGGGTAGCAAATCCATGACTGAGAATAATGGGCTCGTACAGTTGTAATCACGAGTATACAGATGACATACATATAAAGTATATACATAAATCATTAGGGACTCCTTTATTATTTAAAGACCCCTATCGACGTGAGAAAATATTCAACTTACCATCATAGTTCAACGTTTCCAAGACAGCATAGTCATCCTCCAAATATCTTTCAGCGAAATATTTCAACAGAACCTCTAAGCATCTGTCATCTCCATTGTTTGCAGCCATGTGAACAGCTGTGTTTCCATTCCTATCAACAGCTGTTATGTCAGGCTGTAGCTGTAACAGCATCTCCAATGCCTCAGAGTTTCCAGTGATCACAGCTAAGTGGGAGGGTGTCTAAAATAAAACAACAATCCATTGCTTTTTCTTACACACATAAGTGTGACAAAGGACTTATTCACAATGTGACCCATTTTCAAATGGCCCCAAATGTAAACTGTTCATAAAATCAGGTGCTTTTAATTCTGCAATTCCAATGAATCAAGCTCAAGCTACAGTATATTAGCATTGATGGGACCCCACACTGTACTCATGCAGTGATCATGGGAATTGAAAAAAATAACAAGAATGCCTACCAACCTGTCTCAAATGGTTTGTATGGTTGACCATCTTTCTATCTGGTAAGGTCAGTATGGCCCTGACAATGTTCCTCAAAGCATCTAGTTGCTTATGGATCACTGGAAGGTGCAGACAACTGCAATACAAATTTCAAGAATTTAGAAAATAAGACAAATTCGAGATATTACGGAGTTTAAGCTGGCAAGAATGTTTTTTCACAACCTAAACGTGAACGGAAAATATTAAAATGATGCTTTTGTATGGGCGATTGGTCATACGTATAGGTAAGCGTTGTGATTTTATATGCAAGCTTAAACTCCCTTATATGTACATTTACTGCAAAGTTATTGGTCTTATCATCATGTATCAACCTAAAGTATGATATAACAGGTCACAGGTTCTAACTTTACTCCAAAGCTCCTTACAAACATTTATTAATCCATGGCCACAAAAAAGTCTGTGGTTAACCTGAAATGATGTTCACATCTTCGGGCCATACTATAGATCCAGAGAGGACATTTTGAAAATAAAACTTGTTATAACAAGCAAAATGTTATAACAGTCCTTTATACAAAACATGTACTTGAGTTAAGAGTTCATTCTCTTGATGGCGCAAACTGTGAAAACAATACTCACTTGTCACCATTATCATCCTCTGCAGCTAACAGATGGCGCAGAATCAAGAGAATATAAAAGGAATCACCAGTTGTCGCAAATCCATGTAAGCCAAATATCAATTTGTTGGCAACTTCAAGGCGACTGTCTTGCCTCATTACGCATTTTGCCTCTTGGAATTTGGCTGCAATCATACAATACTTATTACATAGGCTAATGGATTAAAATGTACATGATTTTATCGAGATATCATCGTTCATGAATGACCAGTGTTGGCTTGAAAATGGTCACACTTTGAAAAGTATCTTGAATGAATTTTATTTTAATGCTTCGTTACAGTTTGACCAATGTCCCCAGTGGAGCGTTTTACTCCATTCTTTTTATTTCATAGTCATTTATCATTAATTATGCATTTTCCAATTCATTATACATTATTAAATGTTGGCTATTGTGTCAGCAGGATAAATATTGACACCCGATCCTTCTGACAACCTATTCTTCTTAAAAGGTTTTGACCAAACATCTTTACAAATACATCAACAACTACTCACCAGATACATTATCCTCAGTATATTCCACTGTTGCAGCTCCACTTTCAACATGTTCTCCATTTGCAGGCATTTCAGTAAGTTTTATAGTGACATCCTCTTGTTTGCTGCTCCCTCTCCAACTACCCTCATCCTTTGTTTTCTCTAGTAGTTCTTCGGAGGATGAAAATTTTTGAGAATGGTATCCACTTTCCGTGTTTTCATCATGAATTCGTAATGGAGATTTTAGTGGTTGATGAACTGACATTCCACGACTCTGTAATACACTTTGATCAATCGTGCAATCAACATCATCGTATCCACTTTCATCGTTGGGGTGCAATCTGGGACAGCCTATCTTGCTTTTTGAGTAATCTCCAATGACTGAAGCTGCATCTTTTTCTACATTTCTTGGTAAATCAGACATTGTTGAATATGTTGGAATTGTTCTTCTGCTGGCTTCCTCGTGTCTTAAGTTTCTAGTTTGATTTTGTGGTTTAATGGCTACTGGGGTTGCAGTCTTAGTTTGATGAACAGGTATGTATGTATTACTTGAAATTTGTTGAATGTTTACTGGATTTAATGTTGTGAATGTCTGCTGACCACCACCTAAAAATAATAATTAAACATCAATAATCATTCATATATAATAAGATAAAAATTAGCATGGTTTTTAAGACTGACACATACCATATATTAATACAGTAAGGCCTGTCTACAGTGAACTATATTTGCCCCATCTATTGAGAAAACATTAATATGAGCAAAGTGATGAAAATATGCAAACATATACCAGTGGAGACGATAACCCCATTTAACGTGAAGTACGGCAATTGCCATGTTGCACGACAATTGACGTGAAATTATGAAGCATAAGTGCGCATGTCAATAGATAATAACGGCAATTGCCGTCATGTCCGTCAAGTTACATGCAATATTTTGCACGGCAATTGACGTGCATACTATTATCTTGTAAAAGTTTCACATATTATCGGCAGGACAACAGGCAGTTATAAACTGGGAAACTAGTGGGTAAATCATGATCTGCATCGTATGTAATAGTTACAATCATAAACATTTGCTATTGTCCGGGTTGCATTTTGAACTAACAACTATTATGATGTGCTTACGTCAATGTTTACAAGAAATATTTATTCAACAGCAAACCGGAAGTAAACAAATGATGGAAAGAAAACTTAATAAATTCTGATCTAATGAGGATAGGAATTTAAATTGTTCAAAATTCATTTAAGGTAATCATTAGATAATTGTAAAGAAGGTTTAAAAACTAAATCCAGCCAGAAAAAACGAAAAATTCGGCAACACACCGAGGTTAGGAAAACACTTCCGGTCAAAAAGAAGAGGGAAAGTAGACCCCATTTTAGTGATTTCCAGTGGTCTTTTCTCGGAATTGGGGCTCACGTTGTGTTAAGAGATTAAAATACCATTGGGTCAGTACCAATTTAGTCGTAAAACCCGTCTGAAAGACGATATCTAGACAATTAAAGGAGTATTAGTAATTCCAATATGGCGTTTTTCTAGTATTAGTGAGAGGTTACTTTGATTAGTTCTAGCGCAAAATCCCCACATAGGATTGCGAATTCCTGCATACAAGTGCTAGATTAGATTAAATACTTGAAGAAAATGCAATAAAAAGCGTTCCATCGATCGATTTAGACTTTCCAAGAATGCAAGTTCGGTGGTGACTTCATTGGTTCGTAACATTGACAGAAAATTCACAAGATTGAACGGCATTTTTCTCCACAATTTTGGAATGAAATACTTCCCTTGGATTTATTATATCATTAATGTTTACCAAAGTATACGTACTATAAAAGACATATTACTTAGATGTATATATATTAAACACTAGGTCTTCTAATTAACCTGGTGTTTAAATTACGAATTACAATGGACATTATGCTTATTGGCGTGATTCACGTCAATTGACGTGCAAAATGGCAATCTCCGTGTTAAACGTTAAATGGGGTTATCGTCTCCACTGTATACGATGATATATGTCAAAGGTCCAAGTAAATATTAAGGTTACTCATTTCACTGGCCTTCCTTGAGTATGTTCATTTTAAAGCTCTCTTTTCTTCCAACTATTCTTGCAAATAATACTTACACAGTAATATAACAAAAATATACAATTGCTATCCAATACCTTGCTGCGTGCTGTCATACGTGCGCTTTAAATTACTGAATCCTCCACCAGATCCTGATGCACCTGAACCTTGAAAGTCACTACCACCAAAGCCTCCGCCAAAACTACCCCCTCCTAAACCAAGAAAACATAATTTTAATTGCAATTTGATTGGACAATAGATCATGACACTCCACATACAATAGTTTTCACAAAATGTTTGGACATTTTTTCACAACATTAAATTGAATACAACACTGTGAAGTATACCATTTGTGACATTGTGACATCCAAGAAATTGATGATTTACAACATAAAATGAATAGAAGTCACATTTGAAACTAGAAAAACAGCAACTCCAAGGAGTAGCAAATCCCACCGAACAAAACATATTATGCTTATTATAGCTAGTGTAAATGTTGAAATGTTTGTGCACTTTGTGATAGAAGCATGAAATTTGGCACAAAGTTAGTTTATACCATTGTGAACTGGGCATCATCATTTTTACGAAAATTGGCCTCCATCTTGAAATTCAGCCGCCATCTTGAAAATTATTTCTTGAACAGAGCTACTGTGTCCCTAGGCATAATCATATAAAATTTCAACCAAATCTGTTCACTGGTATTTGAGTTATCAAAGATTACGTTTTTTACGAAAAATTGCCGCCATTTTGAAATTAAGCGGCCATCTTGAAATTTTTTGGTCTAAGCATCATCATATAAAATTTGAACCAAATCCGTTCACTGGTATTTGAGTTATCAAAGATTACATATTTTTACGAAAATTAAGCGGCCATCTTGAAAATCTCTTTTTGTGCGAAACTCCTTTGTCCCTAGGCATCAGCATATGAAATTTGAACCAAATCCGTCAACTTGTATTTGAGTTATCAACGATTACATTTTTTAGGAAAAATGGCGGCCATTTTGAATTGAGCGGCCATATTGAAAATTCCTTCTAGAGCAGAGGTCCTACTTTCATAAGGCATAAGCCTATAAAATTTGAACCAAATCCGTCAACCGGTATTGGAGTTACCGCCCGGACACACGGACAAACGAACAGATGTAGGGACGGACGGACGGACGGATGTCATTTGTTGCTGCTGCATTAGTTTCTTCATTCATTGCCTTCTTTCTTTGTCTTGATTTGATTGTGATGTTAGTTATCTTTCTTCAGGGTCCACAGACTTGAGACTGTGCGTAGGTGGGTTAAACGTTTTGATCCGGCCAGAAAACTCTCCCCTTCCCCTTACTGATGTTCCTCTGTTGATCTGTCTTCTTAGTTTACCCTCTTTGCGGAGAATATACTGTTTCATATACATTTGTTAATGTTCTCTTCTCTCATTAATTTTCCAGTGCTTCATGATGATATTCTCCTGCATATATGGACGGAGGGCTTCTCTATATCCCCCTCAAACTTCGTTCGGTGGGATAACAATGATGTCATGATAGAGAATCCAAAAATCAGAAAATCCTTGTCGTAATAACTGTTTGATTGTGCCAACAATCTGTCATTTTAAAAATTCTCACCTGGACTTGAAAAATCACCACCGGGAAATGTCTTCTGTTTCTTTTTCTTTATTTCCTCTTTATCTGTAATAAATATGGAAAATTATATTACTTTATAACACTATTCAACAGAACAAAGAAAATATTATTCTAAAGCTATCTTTATACAGTGAATACTGTAAAATGAAACACCTCTGTTAAGGGAACACTTTTCAGAGTCTCAATACCAACTGACTTAATGTTAAATGAACCTCTATAAGTAGAACACCTCTCAAGTGGAACACATTTTAGAGGTACCAAAGGTGTTCCACTTAGACAAGTCTTACTGTAGTATCAATATTTAGCGAAACATGGGAAAATGTTTTGATATGGTCAAAATTGATGATTTAAAAATACTGAATTCAAGTAAATTCTTGTACAGTCTCAATTCCTTTTTTCAAGTAATGAAATATGATATTGTACATGTACCTGTCATTATTATTCTTTTTATGTACATCTCAAGTCCGACTTTTAAATAATCAAATGCTGTGTTCAAATTATTTCAACTTTGTGATTCTTAAAACCTTTCCATATATATATATATAGCAGCAATATGTAATTTCTCTGAGTTTCAGGAAATTCCCTGAGTGTCATTGCACAGAGAAATCCTATTTTTGAAATTCATTACAATGGAAATTACTAACTTGCAGATAATCATCAAAAAATATTTTTTCCTAATTCCCTTAATTTCAAATTATACATACCTTCAGTGATATAAGGAGCATGAAAATTGAGATTGTCTAAAGAAATATGTACACACACAATAAGGAAGTTCTACCTAAATCCACATTCAAAATAATTCCAAGAATTTGTTTTTCCTGTTTTCATAACTTTGAAGCATGATACGAAAAATCAAGTATGATATAATCCATTAACTGCACGAGAGTCTCATAATTTTCCACTGAATTGTAACCTATCAAACTGTATAATAAGCAAAATATCTATTTCCAGTGATGGAGTCAACATGATCAGTACAAGGTGAATCAAACATTAAAATACCAATTGCAACATAACCACAAATATGCTGTATCACCCTGTATAATAGATATGGGAGGATATGATTTATATCCTATATAACAAAACATGGGAATTCCTATAGAAGTAAATGATTTGCACAGAGTAAATGTTGCCCTGACTACTTTTGCCAAGTAATCAGGATGATACATGTATAGTATACTGATTAGCTATCTTAAGCTGATATCACTCAAGGCAATTGTACAGTAACATTTAAAAAGTGTATTTTTAACATTAAGTTTTTCAAGTTTTGTTCATAAAATGTTAAATACAATATGTTGCTTGTTAATTGAGGATGTGATTTCTCAAGTATTTCTTAATTTATCAAAACATTTCATCGGCAAAAAAAGACATGAAATGATTTAATGATAGAGACGATGAGGCAATACTTTATACAATGGGGATTTCCCTCTTAAGGTTCCCTTTCATATAATTTAGGTCTCTTGCCAATAATTTTGAGCAAACTTGTTCTTAGCAATGAAACTACAAAAAGGGGAATCCCCTAAATCAGCTCTATATGACTCATTCTAATTTTATGATGATATGATATTGAATCAATAAGTTTGATCAATAAAACAATTGAGCAGAAAATGTAAATATTGCTGCTTCTTAAATTACTTATTTTATAAGTTCTATCAAGGTGCTACTTGAAGATCCAGGCACTTTCAATTTTAACAACTTCCTTGTAAGAAAACAAAGGACCAATTGAAGCTTATGTTGACATAAACCTTTTGTTCTCTAGACAGCTAGCATAAAGAAGTACTAGTATCATATTTCAAATCTCAAAATACATGAATCTGATCACTATCTAGATCTTCAGTATTTATCTTGAGAGTATACCGCTAGATTGAACAATCAAAACAAATCAAAGATTCGCTTTGCATCTGGTTCATTAAAATTCTCATATTTCTGTGCTCCTCACCAAAGCTCAAATACATGAAAATGTGACTGATAATGTGAAGATTAATGAAATATATTACCTAGAGGTTCTGGGATATACGTAAATGGTTTTGGTTCACTTCGCTCCCCGTCTGATATACGCTGGAGCTGCAATTGAACGTTTTTTGCAGCCGGGATATTCTTCTGCCAGTAAGGGGGTGTCTTGAACACTATGGCGTACTGCAAAGCAAAAATGACCATGTAACACAATAACAGCGTAATAAATTTCAGAATGTTTGTATCTACAAAATGAAACCATTTCTCCAATGTTTAGAGAATCTGATGTTCAGTTTCAACCGTAATTTGTTCCCTAGTGTTGATGAATCTTTCTACACACAAGCAATCTGCATCGATTGTTAACAGTATTCACCTATAGGTGTCACTCATCACTAGAATGTATGATTCATAATTCAGTATTTAGGTCCTACCCAAGACTTTTAGGTTTTCAAGATGGCTGCAGATTGTACAATATGAGAGACCTGAACATACATGATCAACATTTACCACAGCAGTGTGTGGTTATCATGACCTCAGGCAAGTATTAAATAGAAGGGGAATCCCCTTTTTATACAGTAAAACAACAATAAGTATATAAAAGAATATGAGGTGATTTTCATTCTATTGATTTATGTGCTATTCATCACCAATGGTTTTTGGCAACAAATATACTCAATTGAAACTCAGTTAATAAAGTAATAATTCAGTTTTTTATCTAATATACTACACATTATTTATACACATACAGTATATACATATGAATTCACATTATTCTTAGTAGAGAATTCAGGATTGAGAATTTCGTGTAGCTCAATTTATCATTTTATCAGTTGTAGGAATTTGAACTGATCTAATAAAATAAGAAGGCACAAGGCCAACATTTGAAAATGAAATCCAGTATATGCAACTACTAGTGTATCAAGTATGGCATTATATGTTATATTTAAATTGAACAGCATGAATAAAATTAATAACAATTTACCCAAATTACTGTTAACATAATGTTATATTCTAATACGTCCCTTCATTAACTATCATTTGATCATTTTTCATAGAAAATCTTAGTAGTACCAGTACATTATTGTATATGACACTTACAGTTCACCATATATGGATATAACCAATCAACTTACATGTAAGAGCTTAAGTTATAATTTATGATCATTCAAATAGCACTTGACACATTACTTAGTAAGGTAACATTCTTTGTACCACCCTGTATAAACTTTAAAACATTCCTCAGCTATTACTTCATGCTGATAAGTACCAAGTGCTACAGTGTGCCATGGAATTGTCATGAATGTGATATTTCTGTGTAAACAATTTATTGAAAAACTTGATATCAAAATCTGACAAATCAAAAATATTCTTAAAATTTTGAAATTCCCTATGTAGTTCCCTTGAACAGTCAAGTGAAAATATGAAAGATCTTTTTTAGTGTTTGACATCTTGATTTTTGGTGTTTGACATTTAGTTTTTTCTTGTTGAAATTGTTTTTTCAGTTTGAAACATGGATGAGACGTGTAATTTGAAATATCAAATACTAAAGATTAATAGACTAGATGCGAGTAGAAATAATCTTGATTTACGTCATTAAATATTCGAAATTCAGTCAAATTGATCTCATATTTGAAATCTGCATGTAAAAGTACATCTAGAAATATGGTTTCGAAAATTGTCTATCAAAATTTAATTTTTTTGAAAATGTGACTTCTTGCTCGGGTTGATTCCCCATAGACCCCATGCTACAAAATCACAAAAAGTGAATTATCTTCTCTTGTATTGGACAGATAACATTTTCTTTTACTGGACATATTTTAATTTGCATAACTATGAGATACATAAGGGTTATATGAAAATTGAACCACGTAAATATATGTAATTTAAGTTAAAGGGAGCTTTCTACTATACCCGCCATGCTATCTGACCCGAAGGAGCCACCTGGTGGTGAATCTGGTAACTACCTACTCCCACCTGCGTTATTATTTGAATAAACATTACAAAATTGAACAAAAACTTTGAAAGTTTGAAGAAAGTTGAACAAAAAAGTTTCAATTGAAAAGTGAAAATTCAAAGAAGAAATATCAAATATCAAACATAAAATTGACAAAAATGGAATAGCCGTTAAAATATGCCATGTGAATCAGTAAAGTTGTCAGTTGGTTGTTTTTGCATTAACAATAGAATAAATATTTGGGTTAACTTCTTTAAAGGGGTATTCCTTGCCAGACCATCTCTCTCCTAATATGGTAGCTATAACCATATACATACTTTGCAAGTTTATCAAATAACAGAAAAATGTTTTGAAATGGTCAATATTGATCACTAAAAAATGTAGTGCTCAATTCCAGTAGGCTGCCATCTTTTAAAATTTCACTCAGGAAGTGATGTCATCGACTCTCAACTTTTCATATAACATAGGTAAGGAGCTATTAGAATTACTAAACCAGCTGAATATTTTTTTCAATTTGGTCTATGATTAAAATCCTTTTGATGATCTCTTCTTTAGTTCTAAGTTGACAACTCCTGAAAATATTTTTACACAGAAGATAGGGGCTTTTTGTTTAGAAGTGATTTTGTACTTCTCTCCTATACTGTAATAGACAAGGTTATAACAGATGAGAGTCGATGACATCACTTCCTGAAAGAAATCTGAAAAGATGGCAGCTTACTGGGAATGAGTACTACATTTTTAAATGATCAATATTGACCATATGAAAACATTTTCCTGTGTTTTGCTAAATATGTAAAGTATATATATGATTGTAGCTACCATATCAGGAGAGAAATAGTCTGGCAAGGAATGTTCCTTTAACTTTGTCAGGTATAGCCATTCAATCCTTAAATAAGTGCTGTTACAAAAATATTAGAAGTCCTAACATGATCCTCAAAGGACAGGTATCGATATGGTGAACTGAATTCAACAATGTTTTTCTCTTAAACCATGGGCTTTCAATTAGAGTTCAATTAGAGTTGAAAGCCCATGCTTAAACCAATTACTGAAAACATTTTGTAAAAAAACACGGTCCTATATGTAATGTTGATTGATTGGCAACAATTTAATGCAAAAATTATTTATATATATATTACATAACTGTTTTTTTAACATTTTTTGTTTTTTAGTGTAATTGTTTTTTGTTCCTTTCTACCAATTCTTGAGAATGAAATAAAATGTCTTTCCGAACCTTATTGGAATAAAATAGCATATACATTGTACAACTCAATATTATAGTTATACAAAGGAAATTTAGGTTGATTTAACAAAATTTTGATATCTTCATCGAAATTGGTGCATTCTGAGCATTTCTGTGGCTCATTTTGAAGCTTTGATATCAAGGTTTTTATCTTGTATTTCTTCAAGATTTCTAAAAAGATATTTCTGAACAACCAATTTTTTACATCAAAATCATGTATTACGTTTGTCACCACCACCGTGCGTTGCCTGCTCCTTGCCTAGCGCGCAAAACATGTTGTTGTCCTGACACTTCAACCATGGTCTCCCGCAACACCACTCTTCTCTAAACTTGCGTTTCTTTGCTACTGACTGCATTATCTCTCACTTTTTATATTTTTCACATTTTTTCCATTTCCACTAGGACCGAAGTGAATCGGTGACACGCCCAATATTTTTATACAATTGAACCGTACCTATGTAAAATTCCCCATTGCGGGAATCTTTTACTAGTCGTGTCATCAGCACAGGACAGAAGCAAATATTGAAAAACTTAAAAATATTTTATCCCGACATAAAAGCATTTTTGAGATAGATAGAAGGAATGGATTACCGGGAAACTTTCGGCAGCTATTGGTAAGTTTACCACTAATTGATCTGTGCTCACGGTAGAATTTATTCGCCAAACTTGCGACTTACTTTGCGAAAATGTTTGCAACCCTTCACCAATTATTCGCAAATTGAGAGTGGTGAGCGTTAATTCGGAACTCTGTCGGATAGATGTTTCATTTCATTCCGAACATATGATACCAAGAACAAATGAAGCGTCCGATGTGTTTTCTAAAACAGTATAGAGAAAAGTATATATCGATACCACTCCTTTGGTTTCATTCCCGAAAATATGTTGAAACTTATACATGTAAATGCAAACTGCAATATACGAATATGATGCTTTGTGAATAAATCCGTGAGTATTTAATCTTTAACATGGTGCCACTATATCGTATACAATGACTATACAACTTATGAAAGAATACTCATCCCAATAGATAAAATGCTTTTATCTACATGTAGTATTACATTTGCATATATCTCCTATTATCCATACTGACTATGATGCTTATGATGGATTTCTCAATGTTTAATGTTGCATAGTTTGTTGATTAAAATGTAAGTATTTTGAACGCCATCATATATCAATTTGAGCATTCAATTCAATATGTATTTATTTATTTATAGCAGAGCATAGATTGCAGATATCAGTATTCATATTTTCTTAAAACAGTATACCTGATAAAACTAACTTTTATCTAAGACAAGTGAGCTTTTGATTGAATAATAACAGTATTTATAATATATACAGCAAATTAAGAGAAATATTTAAATTATTTACATTCATGATTACGCATTTGTATTCAGAACGTAATATAGAAGTTAAGTATAATGGAACTCCCATGACTATATGAAACTCAAGTGATTCCCACAAATGAAATATATATATTCATCCCATACTTGGACGTGTTACAGGTACATAAAGCAGGTTTGTAAAAACCTATATTTTCATCAGCGGGCAGATAAAGCTTTATGTCACGCTACGTCATAATCGCCATTCGCATTTTGGTTAATTTTTGTAAAGTTCGCATGTTGGAAATTTTCTGAACTGTGACCAATTGAACAATGTGAACCAGATGACGAAGATTGGTATTGGATAAACAGATAATACTATAGTCGGTTCAGATATATTGCGATTATCCCTTGGCCAATATAATATATCTACTCTCGGGACCTATGGCCCTCGGGCAGATATATCATATTTGCCTCGGGATAATCCCAATATCCTGAACCTCATATAGGATAATCTCTATATACATAAACGTTAAAATCGTAAATAAATAGTACCATGGGTACTTGGTGGGTTGTGATGTTATATGACATGGCCATTTTGAGATGAGACTTTAATTTAATTATGAATATCAACATACAAAATGTCACTACCTGCCATTTGTTAGGGACACCAAACACCGACCACCGAACACCAACAAAAATAACTATAACAACATGTCTCCACTTATTCATCTTTCAATGGACCATCCTTTGTGCCCAGGTTTGATAAATATATCACTTCTTTCAATTTTTAGAGTCAGTCTATGGGCTATCCCTTGTCTATTTAGCCTTTCACATTCTGTAAGTTTCTCCTAAATTCTTGCAGTATGAAGATAAAGGTCACTATAACTAAACTTCACCATCCTAAGTAATTGACTCTGCCTCTTGGGTGATTTTTTGGGGCTTCATCCAACAGAATTGCACAAAGCGTTTAGAGGTGTGAGTGCTCACCCTTCAAGCTCTCTGGATGGTTAGGTCTATTGTATTATGCAGTTCCTTGTTTTCCAAAATTCCATGTGACTCTGCTTGTGCTATGACAAGACATGACTATCGGTAACCAACAGTCAAGGGCTGTTATGTAACAGATGTGTTTAGTCATCCATAGATTCTATGTTTTTGAAAAGGAGGCTGTTGGCATAGATATAAGAAACATTTATTTCAGTTTTGGGCAGTTTTTTGGGACATTATGTTGTTTTGGGTGTCTGGGAAAGTAGTCCACAACTCATACAAACAAGGTATTTTACATCAAAATGTCACCACAACCTGCCATTTGTTATAGATGCTGAACACCAACCGCCAATTCCAAACACAATCCATAAAAAGTTGGAGACTAATGTGTATGTATCAGTAAGTAAGGCTTCCTGGGTCTGTCTTGCATGTATTAAATCATGATTGTAATACCCTAGAGGTCTTGCTCACCTTCATTTGTGGTAAACAGAATACATAGTACATGAAACATGTACAATATACGTACTTATCCTTAATTGACCATTTGCGATCAGAATTCAAGAATTTTTATAATTTTTCATAGTTTATGGATACCGTTGTCATGTATTTCGTCTATTGGTATGATGTCATAACATCATATTAGACATGATGGAAAGACAAAATGGCGAACAGGTGGCAGTTTTGAGCTTAAACGTTTATTGTTTCTTTCATGCAAACTATGTGTCAGAGTTTTACCAAGTATGTCGATTTGACTAGATCATGAATTTGTCTGTATGCATGTGAATTTTGATACTAATCATTGATAGCTATAAGGCCGCATCTTTTAAAATTCTTGGGGCGCTTAACTGCTATCTAAATCATGTCAGTAAGATTTAGACTTGGCATGTGCTTAGAATGAATGTTGATCTAGTCAAATCGGACACTTTCATGAAAAATAAATCAATATGTAGTACGAAATACAGAAGATAATGAAACAGCTACATGTACAGCAGTGTGGCCTAATTGTGATGTCACTACAAGATCGAATCCATCCGGTGATCGCAAATCATCAATTTAAGTGAGATCATTTTCCTCAAACTGTGATCACTGTGATTTTTGTAAGAATAGGAAATTCCATTATCAGGATCAATAGTTCATGTTGGAAAATCCAAGTATAAGTACCATCAGTGAATGATTTAAAAAAATGACAGTTAGTATTCAGTGGGCTTACAAGATGATTTCCTATGCTCTTCCTTCATGGGGCTTCAAGTAGGAAGATTTCTGAACATACAGAACTACCATAAAGTTATTTTAGTATACAAGGGGCTCACATTTTGGGTCACCCTGTAGATCAATAGCAAAAAGATACAAATCATAGTGTACAGAGAAAATATTTCGATGTGGTGAACTGATTGTTTAATTATTCTCCACACTTTATCTACAGATAATGCATCTATTATTAGATAGTTCTGGTATGTACATTGAATTACTTGATTGTTTACAATCAAATCAAAAGGATGAGTGGTAGTTACATTGTCATATTTTGTTTCTAGTGTCTATGCATTTTTTATTTATGGCACCTAGTCAGACAGAGAATTTGATTGGTCTGTTGATATGAATCTACCTAACCCCAGTGATCCCCCGGCATTAAAGCAAGTGGGCGCAGCACCCACCTGAGATTTTTAAACTAGGCTTGCACCCACCTGAAAATCTATTTGCATCCACTTGAAAAATAAGAAAAAACATGAAAAATGGGCATATTTTGACCAATTTTGGTCTGGATTGTGAAAATAAGAATTGTGCATCCACTTGAGAAAAAATCCTGTGGAGATCACTGAACCCCCTTTCAATCTCATGATAAACATGCAATAACACAATTTATTCTATGACTAGTGGGGTTTCCGGTACATAACAGTTGGATATAGAAATAATATTTTACAGGGCATGTATGTATCTCCTGCTGTACATTTCCCCGTCCAACATTCCATGAATGGAAGAGTTAGAGTACAATGAATACGTTTTAAGGTCAGAAGTCACCAGTCTAATCATTGACTAGTATCATAACAGCAGGGAAAACGTTTTTGTTCAGCGTAGAAACAGTTAGAATATCTTGCTACAGCAAAACTGTCAAAAATTGATGCAGCAGACAGTAGAATACTCTTGGGAAAAATGATATAACCCTCATTTATGTGATGCTCAGCTTTGGATATGGGGTATACCCTTCGTGAAATTTGAAGTACAGTGTATATCGATATTCCGGGATTGATATTTCCCTCTGGATATATCCCATATCTAACATGTCCCATAACATAACCCTTATGAACACTACTTAACGGAAAATTGTATTTGAGAAGTTATTTTGTATGGAATATTTAAAACAAGCTCTACATACAAGATCAAATAACATTTTTTTTTCTTTGAATGACTGAGACTCAAAAGGCTGAACATCATATATTCTGGCATTTAACTGACATGTCATTGTACTTAACTCATAATCAAAGAATCATAAATAAAATGGAAAAAAATAAAAATAAAATAAAAAACTGAAACTGAAATGATGCATTTCGGCTTTTTTGTAATCTGACCTCATTACAAGAGATAAAAGAACAAAACAATAAGTGTTTATGAGTCACACTGACCTGTCTATGAACATCTGCTTGGCTAAAACTAGCTTTAACTCTCCATGTGACAGCACCATCTTCATCTTCTTCATAGAAATAAACTTCAATATCATCTGCAACAAAATTATTTTCATTAATTTTTTGATATGATATTTGCAATGATATTAAATGTTAAGTGGCACAATCTCATGTGCTAAATGAAACCGATATAGTTCATAGTGCCTGTAACTTCCCCCCCCCCCCCCTATTAGCTATAGATTTTGATACAAACCTTTTATGTCCATATCAGAGTTTGAAAAATTGTTAGACTAGTCTTCAAAATCACCCTTTATAAATTCAAAACAAAATATTCAACATATCAAAGTGCATGCATGTTGCAAATATTATTCATTAATAATCAAAATTTGAGAAACTTGGAAATCTTCTTAAAGTTGGGAATTCTTCAGTATCAGCTGCTTGTAACACAAAACAAAACTAGGAACATTCACACATTTGCAATAAAGAGTTCAAGCTTCAGATTCACCCCCTCGTTAGCCAAAAACAACAAGTACCAATTATGTTTGACAGAAAATGGGGAAAACATGAGGCTCTATACACTATTTTCACTTTACACTTGAATCATAACATACTTTTTTGTACTTTATCACAGAGCAGAAAGACCTCATCTCCCCCTAGACAAACACCCGACTGTTTGCTCATGCGACATATCTTCAACCCAGCAGCACTTGTAGATTCTGAAAATAATAAAATCATTTGCACGAATTTCATGACACTTCCAGGGAAAGAACAAGGTATCAACACCCAAAATGTCACTTCCTGCCATTTGTTACAGATGCTGCTGAACACTGCCCATGAAAAAGATAGAGTCTATATCAACATGTCACCACTTGTGATAGTGACATAAAAAATCATATAATTAATAGGACTAGATGCAAATAATTTAAATGTCCTATTATTTCATTTATTTTTATTTACTTCAAAGTTCCCTGTACTGATCCTTGGAAAAATCTTACACAAATATTGTCTCAATCGTCACATTCACATATAATGTATTAGAACCAGATTTACCATATAAAATGATATAAAATATGAATACAGCCTTCAGATCTCGTCAATTAACATGCATCAATTAAATTAAATTTAAACTATTGTGTCTTCAATTTTATGTACAGTACTCAAATGTAAAACTTGTGATAGATTGAGTTTATGTTCATATCATAATGTGTATGTATACTCTACCATCCATCCTATAGTCAATATAACAATAAGAGGTTTGAAAAAATGAATACATATACTGGAATTGGCCTTAGAATTACCAGATCATTTCTAAGCATATTTACTTCCTGAAGAATGGAGAAGTGGGTGTTAATTAAAAAGAATCTTCTCGAACGAAGTTACAAAAATATATTTAATTTCTCAGAATTTTGCTATTTTTAGAATGATAAATTCAAATGATTAACCAGAAGTAGTCACATGTTGTAAGTTAGAATTGCTTCTTTGAATTTGAGGCATTAACCTTAAAGGTCCTATGAAAAGTTTGAAAACATTGTTTTATTATCTCTCGAGTATTGTTTGAAGCAAATTTTCGAAAAAATCAATTTCAATTTTCAAGTATATGAATATCCCACAATTTTATCAACATAGTTAAGCTATTTAGATCATCAAATACACTTTGAATAAGTAAAAACTGTAGTTTATCAATTTTTTTATCAATATAAACAAAAATTCCTTCTTCAAATACAACTTTTTGAAATAAAAAAGTTTCTTGTATCACATTTTCATGACATTAGTTAGGTAAGACTACAACACTGGTAGTTTTAACTTTCCATGGGGTCTTTAAGATGACAAAGTTCACAGAACTGATATATTTCAAAGTTGTGGTAAAAGTTTATAGTTTGAATAAATGTTTAGAATGTGCAACCAGGAAGACATATACGGGTAAGTGACAAATTTCTAGTTTCTCCCACTGTTTTATACATTTCCCTGACTAATTCTCATCACTAACATTTTTGATGGGGTCTTTCTTTGTATTTAACTGACATTTTCATTTTTCAAAAATTTTGAGAGGTTACCAGAACCTGGCAAATCATATGTGATTAAATTTTTCAAAATCTCTAGAAGGGTTTGTGTAAAAAACCGAGTGACCGGGTAACCGGGTACCCGATCGACCGGGTACCTAACGTTCCTGGCAGGGTTACCAATTTTCAAAGTTCCACATTTTCCCCGATATATAGTAGCGAATTGACTTGACAGACTTAGCCTACCGAGTTCACTGCTGTTCGATATTTTTACCCTATACGATACAGAGCACTTTTTAAAATAATCAATCCAGCAAACAGCAACGTCCATGTCACGTTGCTCATAAGTAGCATATAAGTTCCTAGAAGACGTTGCACATTTTCGTTCTTTACACATCGAGGCAACGTAAACATGAGACATCTATTGATGGTATAAAAAGAAAGTTGTTGTAACGTGTCCGTAAAGTTAGTTAGTGTGGAAAACATAACAAACAGGAACGTTTGATTTTTTACTACATTAATCCATATGTGACGTAACTCAAACGTTAAAATTCAACGTTGTCAAAACAGGCTTTTAATATCAAAATATTTGTTGGTGGAAAAAACAGGACATTAAACAAAGACTTTGTGTTCTCACTAAGTCGGTTCATTTCCGACGTATTGTTAACGTTAAAATTTAACGTAGTCGAAAGGTTTTTTCGATTTGAAATAACCTCAAAACGTGACGTCAATAATGTTCATGGACCGTATTGATCTGACGTTATTTTAATATTCAGCAAAACGTCGATGGATGGTTGAATTTCAACATTGTGGAAATGGCTTCAAAATATTTGTGAGTTAAGGAAACGTTACAAAGACGTCAATATGTTCTCACTAGATCAGTTCATTACTGACGTTATTTTACATTAAAAGTTAACGTTGTCAAAACGTTCTTACGATGTGAAATAATCTCAAACGTGACGTCAAAAATAACGTACATGTACCGTCCAGATCCAACGTTATAAATAATAAAAAATCCTAACCCTGCTAGGAACGTTAAGTACCCGGTCACCCGGTCACTCGGTTACCCGGTCACCCGGTTTTTTACACAAACCCTCTCTAGAAGGCTCAGATCATAGTCGTATTTTCATTTTTAGTCTTTTCAAGAAACTTGTCATAATTTTCTTTTAAATGAGTATAAAATGCTCTTCCAGCTGTCATTTATACAACATCTGCATGATATATTGTCCAAATGAAAAAATCCTTTTATTATTAGTATAGTATATTTAGTATACATAAAGGAAACTCACTTGAATCATAAATTGGCAGTGAAACAACAGAAGGTAACATGAGCGTAAATGATCCATTGTCATCTGGTAAATATGCCTGGAAGCACAGCCGCACCACATTCAGTTGCATATCTTTGGCCTGTTTTTCAGCTTCTTTTTTCGCCATTTTCTCCTCATCACCTGCAATGATTTTTTAACATATACATGTTAATGAAAACACAGAATGAAATCCTGTGCTAAGGGCTGATGTGAAAAAGTCAGTCCACACCAGTGGGGATCGAACCCATTACCCCTCGCATTCTGGGCAAGTACTCTACCACTGAGCTACCGACTGGCTTTTTCACATCAACATTGCATCTATAGCATTGCAGCCATGTCTTACCTGCCCAGTTTCCTGGACCCCATATAAGTTATCTGTTTTTCCAGGTTGTCAATCACTCTATTCATGATGTCACGTGGACTTTCCTACGGGCCATTCCCTCTAAGAAGTATTAGTTAATGAAAACACAGAATGAAATCCTGTGCTAAGGGCTGATGTGAAAAAGTCAGTCCACACCAGTGGGGATTGAACCCACTACCCCTCGCTTTCCGGGCAAGTGCTCTGAGCTACAGGACCGACTGGCTTTTTCACATCAACATTGCATATATAGCATTGCAGCCATGTCTTACATGCCCAGTTTCCCGGATCCCATATAAGTTATCTGTTTTTCCAGGTTGTCAATCACTCTATCCATGATGTCACGTGGACTTTCCCACGGGCCATTCCCCCTAAGGAGAAGTATTAGTTAATGAAAACACAGAATGAAATCCTGTGCTAAGGGCTGATGTGAAAAAGTCAGTCCACCCAAGTGGGGATCTTTCTGGAACCAAACCAAAATGTTGAATTTTTGTACCATGTTCAAACTCGAGAGCCTAATTCCATTGGTCAGAACAAAATCGGGTATCCGTGACACCTCTATTAAGTAGTATGACATTTATAAAAAATCGATAACTTACTAGATATTCTATATTGTTCTGGGGGGACATTATTTTTCACACAATGTTGTAATTTAATGTCCTCTCTGACACGTGAAAGAATTGTATCCACAACCTTCTTTTTGGTGACATGTATAATGCCAAGATTTGGGAACCTAAAATGGATACAAAAGAAAATTGATTTCAGTTATTGCACATCACAGTTTTAACAAAAATAAAAGATACAAATGTGCTTGACTTGATTTGAATACTATATTTATTCTGGGTAGCTCTATCAGTACAAAGCTGGTCTTCCTACAGGCCCAGATATTTTGTATTGACTAATTTTCAAAATATTCCAGGTCTCTTCCAAGGTTTTTAGCAAAATGGATGAAATAAATCCAAATCTGATCACTAGACTGAACCACACTGAAAATATATCCAATACAATCTAAATATTTCCTTGTGAGAATTCTTTATTTTTGATATCAATTTCATAGCATAGAAATATGCATTCATTCCTTTGAGCTCCCCATTTATTGGTATACATAACTTACGTTGCTGTCATATTTTTTCGCCCGTCTAACTGCACGACACAAATGCCATTGTTACAGTTCTTCCCTACCAGCTCATGGGCGTGTGTTTTAGGGACTGTTTCATCTGTTACCAAGGAAACAACAATCCTAGCTGTTCCCTGGTAATTTCTCAACTGAAAAAGTACAAGTGTTAGATGCAGTAGTGCAGAAGGAGGGAGGGGCAAATGACACCCAATTACTTGTAAAGTTCTAGATCATGATCATAGTAAATGTCATTTAGTGAGACGCTACGAAATGAATAAATTTATTCATGTCAGGGATGTTTAAATAGATATGACAAGAAATTATGGGAGTCCAAAACTTTTTTAGAAAGGTTGCTCACTTAATTTGATTCTGCCTGGTACTGTACTTTGATTACACTGTTAAAGAAACGAATCCATTTCGGTAAAGTTTTAATTTTTCCTTGATTTCGCACAAAAAAATGGTTTGTGGGATGACAGACTCGTCAATTTAATTCCTCACTTTTGTTACGTAAATGGAACATCAAAAACAGTTTAGCACTTTTAACCTGTTATGTTTATGTAATAATAGTGAGGTTTTAAATCGATGATTCTGTTGTCTTCTGAACTATTTGTTTGCAAACGTGTAGATTTTCTTTAACATATTTTTTTAAACACATATTTGTGATGAACGTATTGTGCTTTAAATATTTTGAACAGATTCAATACCTCAACTGTAGGATACGATTTGTGGCTTTTCTTGCTGTTACATCCTTGAAGACCACCATGTGATGCAGAATTCTCAGATCTGTAACGAAATCTAAATCCTCTCTGCTGAGGTTCTTCAATAATATGTAGATATGGGGTGCCATCTATAATAAAACAGCATTTGCTAGATTTATTTTATAGATCCATTTTATACAGCAGACATGTAGAAAACAATAATAACTAAGCAACAGTCTAGGTCATTAGGTGTTGTCCGAAATTTGATTAAATGCGTTTCCCCTTAAAATGGATTGAGTTTTTCAAATAATAAATTGTAATAGGCTGATAAAACTTAATGTCTATTTACTCCCCCGAATGTATGTAATTAGGTCAAATGTTTGTTGAAGTTTCGATTTATGTTTTTTTCATTTGTTCTTGAGGCAGTTTAGAAGGGTCAAGAAGTGATGCAAAAATGAATTAGAATCAGTGAACATACCCTAACATTGGAAATACAGTACATCCCGTATGAAATGTTGAATATCAATTTAATTTAATAAAAACTGTGATTTACCATCCTCCACCATTCCATTCTGCATGATGATCGGTGCCCCAACATTGTGTACGATCTCACTTGGTCCCACCTCCTCAACAGTGACTGTGTCCCCATCTTGTATCTGATCAAAATTGACATTTCCTAACTCCATCGAGTCATCTGATTGGCTACTATCTGCCATAATTACTTCATCAGAGTTTATGAATTGAGTTTAGTTCGTTTAATTCATTTATTCTTTGATTTAGCACATTTAGGGAATTGCTAAATATGTAGTCATAAATTCATAACCACAATAAATAAATTGCTAGATTTGGAACACTCTGTCAGTTTAATGCTGTTGTTTGGTTAACATGAAATACGGGCACCACCTTTGAGGTATAATTTGTATAAATGCGTTATCTTCAGTTGTCTGGTTCGTCCATACATTGGTTTACAAAGACTGCATACCTGAAAATAAATAATCTTATTATTATGCTAGTACTTTGGAAACTAGAATCTACTGATATAAACATATGGACAAAATACAAAAAATAGGACCACCTGCATAAGTGTAATTATTGTTACAGATAACAATTCAAAACTCAATGCTGGTGTAACGATTGTTATAAAATAATGTCAATGGTGTAGTGTCATATATGCAGAAAACTCCATGGCGTACTCTCAAAATTTAGAGAAAAGCTGATTTTTATATTGAATTGCCCCACACTTTAAAAATGGATAAAATGGCCATTACTGTACATTTATCAGTCCATATTGGTCGGAATTTCATATTTTAAAACACCACAGAACGCTTCAAATGCAATCTCATTTTCAATTTTTCTTGGATTGTTGTGAAAATCAACTGCAATATTTATTTTGAATTTTCAGTCACAGAACAAAATATGTCGCATAGTATATGTTAATTTGGCTAGGCTACTGGTGCAGAACTAAACATATTGTGTTCTCACTAAGTTGAACACATGGAACATCTCACATTTTTGTAACACTACTCTCTTTAATCTACTACCACCACATAGAAGAGAGATGCATCCTAATTACGATTTCATCATCCCTCATTAAAAGGGGCTTAAAAAGACTTAAATCAAACACTCAGACTGAGAAATTAAATATTACCAACAAAACTTTAATTATGACGTCAAAATATTTTCACAGAATAGGAATTTTAAGTACAACTGTCTGTTGTAGTTTGTCACACATTCAGCACACCATTGGAAGCTTATCTTGCATCCTTAAATCTTTTTCATACTTTAATTAAACAAAAACTTTAACTTTTAATAATTTATAGATGACGAATTTAGTGGTATTTATAAGTTGGTGTTCATTGACTTGCACTCCCCTCCAAATGTTTGGTAACCCTATACATCCAACAGACTGAGTTAGAAATCATGAATATTTCCAACTAAATTTCAAAAAATATCAGATGAGATTACAGCCTAGTCTAACAGTCTGTTACACTGCTTCAAAGGCAAGCAGTTAAACCTGAAATATAAGAGATCTAAACTAGATAAGGCAACTCCGCGGAGTAGCAAATCCCAACGAACAAAATATCAATTCCAATCAATTTTACTCATTACTTTGGTTAAAATTGAAAAATTTAGATTTTAGAATTGCGAATTCCTGCAAAGCAGCCATTTTGAATTTTCTGAGGTACAAATCTGAAAAATAATACCATAATTGTGATCTACTCCAAAATTCCTTCAATTTTAGTATTATATAGCCATACTTTGAAGGGATCGAAAAATTATTGCGAAATCGTACATTAGACGGCCATTTTGAATTTAACGAGGCTCGAAAAAAAATACAATATTTGCAATTTACCCTTAATTGCCTTTCATTTGAGTATAATAAAGCTATACTTCAGAAAGATCTAAATATTATTATATTGAAAAACACGGAATATATGTGAAATAGATAGATGTTGCGAATATACTACCAAAATTTCAAACAATAATATTAATTACTTTGGTTTAGAATGAAAATTTATGATTTTTGTGAAAAAGTCCCGTCATTTTTAAAGCGGCGACCATCTTGAAAATTTTTTTTTGCGTAAAACTATTCCACACTACTATACCCCCATACTGTATCCTGTATTCCTTTAAAAGAAGTACAGGCTACAGGGAAGTTGCAAATGGAGGACGTTTGTTTATTTCCATAATTCTGAATGTATACTAGATTTTACACATATTCTAAGTGTTCTACTATACATTGTATAGATTCATCGAGCAGTTTGCAACATATTATTACCAGAAAAGCCCAATGGACAAAGATAGAGAATACCCGCTCCATTTGCAACTTAACCGTACCCTGTATCATTTTTAAATGTGGTCACGGGGTAGGGTAGTGTGTTTTCATCAATATACATCTTTCCACTAAATATGAAGAAAATCTGTCAACTTATATTTGAGTTATCTTCTGGACGGACAGGCGGATGGACTGACTGACTGACTGACTGACGGACTGACTACAGACGGAGGGCTTCACTATATCCCTACCGAACTTCGTTCGTTGGGATAATAATATTGTGCAATAGTATATTGAAAAATATATTCATATTGCACACGAATGACATTTGTATATGTTGGGTTGCTTGTAAATTGGCTCATAAAGTCTGTAACCTCTTATATTTTGATGCTTCTCTACCATGTTAATTCTCAAAAAAATAACATGGCGGACAGACCTCAAATTACAAGAGGGCACAGGCTTATTGCACTAAACACTAAATAATCTGAAATATACAAATGTCATTCGTGTGCAATATGAATATATTTTTCTATATATTATGGCACAATGGTCTATAGATTCCTTATTTTTCAGGTTCAACTGCTTGCCTTTGAAGTTACAGTTGGGGACATAAATAAATGACAGGTGGATTTGCTGAAGTGAGGATTTCCCATGTTAAAAATAAGAGAATTTACAAGAGGCCATACATCAGTGGATGGGATTATACAAAATGTAAAATATACAAATTTTAAGGGATATATATCTAGACAATATCGGAAATTATGGGCTTTCAGACCACCATAATTAGGAAATGGTGATCGAAAATCGACCTGTCATTTATTTTTGTCCCCAACTGTATCTTCGTTTGTGATGAGTATCAGAATGATGGGTCATCGTGACCTAACCAACTGGATTTATTAATGTAAAAAGGTTTTATTCGAAGAAATCATGCTTCCATGCATATGTTATGTTGGATGAATACATAAGAAGTTGCTGAAATGTATGTATGTTTGCCAAAAATGAACGATCGAAAAATTGGTTTTCCAAACTTTTCCTCAAACTTTGAAATCTAACAACGTTTTCTGGCATAGTTCCAAATATTTATCAAAAAATTACCTGAATATGCAATCCCCTACATGTAATGATTTCTCGGAAGTTGGGGTGTAACTTATACTTAGGTTGGTATGAGTGAAACAGTCGCTTTTCATCAGGAAATTTTATTTTCTTCAATTTCCGTCCGCCATTTTTGAAGCCCACGAGAGAGTAGGGGATTCCCCATAATCCAACAAATGCATCAATCTGATTGGCCAAATGTCATCACATGACAAATTCGCTAGATTTAATTGGTCCATAAAATTTTGTCATTTTGGCGGGGATTCCCCACTGATTCATAAATAAACACAAATCCCTTTTACAGTTACCTGAGTTCCTACAGATACTTCATTGTTGGTAATTCCAAAATTAATGATTCATAACAAACCTATTTTCAAATTTCTATTCTTGCATTTTATGTTATTGTTGGTAATCCCAAAATAACTGATTCATTGATGTTATTGAATTTGGTCAGATGTGTGTACCATATCATCAATCATGGAGTATCAAGTATTGTACAGTTAATGGTACCAAGGTCATTGGGACAGTAGAACTGTCCTGATGAAAAAATCCACTGTCCTCCAACTATCTGTGTACAGAGGAAAAAACCTATATCAAACTTTAATACATAGCTATATCCGAAAAAGTTCACATCTATTATAAATGAAGGTCTACTAAGCATTGGACCACCCAAAGAGGGGGATATGTTTCTGGCTTACAATGGCTTTATCTTGAAGTAAAGATGAATATCTATTTTATTGGTCTGTGAGTGACTATATATCACCATGTCACCATTGCTGATAGATCAAGAGATTTATTGATCATGTGGCTTCAAGGAAAAAGGTTTCTGTCATAATTAAGCAATTCTATGCTGTTGTTATTATAAAAGGTGGGAATTTTCTTTTTATCCTGTTAACCAATGGAACTTGAAAAAAAAATTTGAGAAGCAAAGTTGGTTCAATGTTCTATAAGTTGTGCTCCAAATGGCTACCACCTCTCTGTTATCTCTAGTTTAAGCTCTGCAATGGTTCTAGGATTGTTGGTTTACACATAATCTTTCAGGATAAGGGCCATATCTACCAATGAATGCATGTGTCGTCAACAATACCTCACAAAGTGTTAAGTCTGCAGAAAAGTGGGAGAAATTAGGGGTAGTAAAATATTTCCAGTATTCTGGTTATGTGAAGAATTAAGCTTACACAAGCGGATTAAAAGAGTTAAGAGAGATTAAGAGATTTTTTATATTTGTGTGTAAGAATATAAACCCAGAACATTTCATCAGTATATATTCATTTCTAAGTCCATGATCAAATAGGGCCCTATGTCACAATTTCATTGTAATAATTGTTTTTTGGCACAGTATTATGTCATGACATTTTATTTTTATAGTTCATCAACACTGTGAAGCATAGGCAGTATTCATACTTTTCTTTTAAAAAGTATAGGACCTGGATCACTGGATGTGCCATCCATGCAGGGGTAATAATATGTCATGAATTTCTAGTGCTAATATTTCCTTCATTCTGGTAGACCCAAGGGCGTTATAATACCCGGGAATTTATCGGTTTGTGCAGTACTTGTTTGTGATAGCGCCCTCTGCAGGTCACTGTGGTTAATAGCCTACAGTAATAGTAGTAATAACAGTAAATAATATTGATAATCACATTTATGCGTGCGCGCGCAGCTCATCCACTGAACGAGACGCCACTTCCCACTGAAATCACTGGGTATTGATTTTCCCGTGATAGACCCACTTGTAAGGCATTGGCAGAACTGTTTTAAGATTCTGGCAATTGCCATCCTTGCAGGGTTAAATTTATGTTGTATATTGGATGTTTTTCTGGTATTGACTAAGGTGAAAACACATGGGGATTTGGATAGACCATCCTTCAAGGAATGAAAATATGCCATGACCTGGTGTTTAATTGATTTGATTTTTGCTAGGGTGAACTTGAACTTTGAATTGAAGTAACTAACTTTCGAAACTCGCCCTAGACTATATCATTAATAGTAGAGGGAAAATAGCTATTACTTTAGTACAAAACCATTTTATTTTTCAGATGGCACAGCAAGAACATTTACAATTCAAATTCTAATTCACAGTTGATGTCCTTCAAAATAATAGAAATGAAATGCTTATACACGTATTCAAATTCACATATAAAAACACAAGTGTGAATTAAAACATGAGATCATAGGACTATTTAATGTAACATTATGCTAAAACATTACTTATCAGGTGAGTACTGAAACACAGTGAACACTTTAGGAATAATGAAAAGAATAAGTCAGTTAGACAATCACGTAGCTTATATTTTACACTATACATGATGCATTTGATAGTTCTATACATTTGTACACTAAAGATATGAGTCAGCCTCATCTGAACTATGAATAAAAACAATGTTGTGATAAATGAGTAACTCACTTAGTGTGATATCACTCAAACAATGAGTATATTGTATGTCAAATCCACGTTAGAGCATTTAGACCAAACTATTCAATGAAAATTAATATTGTGAAAAAATACATCTTTAAATGAATACATAGTAGAGAAAACTTGAGATTCATAAAGAAATGAATAATCAAGATTTCATGTTACATTTGATCTTCTTACAGTGACAATTTCATTGCTTGTAGAAAAATATGTTTTTAATTCTGTAGGTATAAAATATTTAGCATGATTCTTTTCAGCTTATTTATTAAAAGAAGTGATATGGAGCAAGCTCAACTGATATTAGTTAAATATAGCCAAGAGAAAATACTTTAGACAAAATTAAAACAAGTCATCGCTGCAGGGATTTGATGAAAATATTATCCTGGAATGCGAAATGTCAGCTAAAATATTCTCTTAACGAGAAACAGCGGCACAATCCACTGTGTCCAAAGTCTAAAACACCACTTTCCATTTCTATAGTTCCTCCCAGTCATAATGGAGCAAGATATTGATGGATTCTCCAGCTATGTATAGTCCTGTCTCACTATAAATAAGCCAGAAATAGTTGGATGTTCCAGCTCCTGGATGAAGTCAATATGTACAATGTTTCTATATCTCTTTTTTGTTAATCAGTTTCCATCTGAAAATAGAGAATAAAATAGAAATCAATAGGGATAAACAATTTTATTTCAGAATATGTGATCTATGGCAAAAAAGAATCTTCATTTTTATTAGATCAAATTGGGTATCTAACTAAAAAAAAAGGTGAACTAATAAAGTACAGTTCATCTCATCTCTGACATTTCCCTTACTCATATCATTTTACCCTCACTCTTGATGAATGGAACGATAGCATATTTGGAATAGAGTAAGAATAAGAACAATAGTGTAGATGGATTCAATGATAAAAAGGGATTTTTTATTATCCTATATGCATTGGCTAGATTTATTTCAAATTACATAATCAAGCCTTCGTAACTTTTTCTATCTGTCAAACCCTTATTTCTATTGGGCAAAATTCACTAATATTTTTGCTGTTCCAAAGTTCCTTGACAGTTTCAGTAATTTTTGAAGCAATTTTAAAGTTCCTGGACTTTTTCAGGTTAGTGAAAGTGATTTTGGCTTTTCCCTATTAAAAACCCCACAGATTTGATCTAAATGTGAAATTGTCTACCTCAAGATTTTTAGGGAATCCTCTCCTTTAAAGAAACTCCATAAAAAAATCTTGTGACATTTCACTCAGATAGTCATTTCACCTTTGCATTATAGTCATCAAGTTGTGCATCTAATTCCTCTGCTGTCATTGACTCCTTCTTTCCACCTCGACCACCACCTCGTCCGCCTCCACGACCGCCACCTCCTCGTCCACTTCCTCGTCCGCCTCCACGTCCACCTCGACCTCCTCGCTGGCCCCCACGTCTGGATTGGTTGTATCCACCACCACCACCACCACTAGACCTATAACAATGCAAACATCTGGTTGTTATTACTTGTGAAATAATGCTTTTATTTACTATTTGTTGTTGCTTATGATAATATCCGATCATCCACCTAAAAATTGAAATGCAATTTGTTTTTGAAGTTTGCTTCTGGCATAGGCCTATTATTTATTACCATTTTGTAGAAAATAAATTTTTAAAACAGGAATCAAAATCTGACATATAAGTGATATATTTAGGTTATTTGTTGGGATGTTTTGGATACAGGTTTTATCCAGGGAAATATGAGCATATCCTTAGGAACCTAGAGTCAGTTTAGTTCTGGCATTTAAATCTCTGTGTGATACAGTAATTTTACATTCACTGACTCAAATTTCCTCTTAATCGATTTCATTTTCCACCTATTTTTGTTATGTACAGAAAATCTAATAAAACTGAGTTGTATATTAAACTTTCTTACCTATCTTGATTTCTAGGACCTGTTCTTGATTTTACTGAGACGGGTGCTGAAGAGATTTCTCCGACTAATTGTATATTCATGGCCCTACCATCTAAAGGTACATTATTATATTGTTTCCTTGCTTTAACTGCATCTCCGTGTCTTTCAAAGATTATCTCTGCAGTGCCTATAGATCTTCCAGATTTGTCATAGTGGATGGCTGCCTTTTTAAGGGGACCAAATTCGGCGAACAATTCCTTAAAACAAAAAGATGTGATCAATACAAGAATTACATTACAGCTGGTACGTTTTTTTCTAAATGAGACATTCCTTGGATCTTTAAAATCAAAATATTTCATGCATTTATATGTACATTGTACATGTATAAGATTTTTAATCTTCCAGTGAGATGGTCTCCCTCCATAGTCACAGAAAGAGTACTATTTAGCTGCTCTGAAGTAAAACCTCCAAAATATCAAATGATGACTCGAGATACTTTTGCAAATATACATTTACAAAAAGATTGGCAATGTTGAACAGAATTTGCTACCCCTCAAACTCAAGATTCTACTGTGTTCTGCAACAATTTTTGGTCCTTTCAACAAATCCTTGAGGTTATCATGCACAATGTAAATATAATGTTACTTTAACCTCCTGAATACCCAAAGCAACAAGATACCTTTTGCAAAACTTTTTCAAAAACTGTTCTAACTTAGACTATTTATCAAAGAAAATCTAAAAATGTATATAATTGGTTGTGAGTTATCACTGCTACCCACCTAGTTACACAGACGTATCGTCAGTGTATCATGGCGGAACTACTTCCGGGACTAGGTTTCGGTAAGATTTTTTTATTTCCCGATTTACACCTACTTATAAGTCACGTTGTGGATAATAATTTGGCTCGAAGATAAGGAAGATAGTCTAGTTTGAGAATGTGTCGATGGTTTTAGGTTTTATATGTTAACGAAGACACAATTCACGTATTTAGTCCCTCGCTTTTGTTACACTGACAAATGACCAATATCAGTGTAATATTGGCAATATTAATCCCGATCGTCGGTGTAACAAAAGCGAGGGACTAAATATGTGAAATGCGTCTTCGTTAACATACCAAACCTAAAACCATCGACACATTCTCAAACTAGACTATCTCCCATAACTTCGAGCCAAATTATAATCCACATCGTGACTTATAAGTAGATGTAAATCGAGAAATAAAAATATCTTATCAAATTCAAATCCCGGAAGTAGTTCAGCCATGATACACTGACGATACGTCTGTGTAACTAGGTGGATAGCAGTGGTTATAGGCATGAGAGTTAATCACATATGATATATTGAGGTATTAAAAGGCAACAGTTGGCAAAAATGATCTATTATGCAATAAGTTAAACAACAATTCTAATACCCATTTTCTATAATTACCTGAATATCTGAGTCATTGACACCAAAATCTAAGTTTTCTACGAGAAGTTTTCCTGAGCTGTTTGATGTTACCATTCCTCCACCACCTGTTCTCCTTCCTCCGCTGGCTGCACCCTCGTACATGTCATGTTGCCAAACATCTGGCATCTGCTTTGGCTATAAATATAAAACATATCAATATCAGATCAAAGCTAATCAACAAAATTCATTCTAAGAACTCCTAGAATTTGATCTTGAAATCTTTACCTGGGGCCGAAATAGCACCCCGGCCAAAATTTGCTTCAATTAGGCAGTTGTGTGTTAAAATAAGACCGTCCATATGTAACAAATTTCACAATTTAGTAGTCTACATAATGTCAGTTTAAAATCTGAAAATTGTTCAATTTGATTTTCTAAAATGAATAAATATAAGAGGTGTCACAGTGTCACTTAGATGCAGACTGGATTTTTCAATTTCTTTCCTACATCCGACATACTGATAATGCACTCGATTTGCGAACCACGATTTAGAAATTTACGAACAAGCATTACCATCTACCTGAAATCGCGGGTCTATTTATAACACTTTTCAATGCAAAGAAGTGTCATATATTTAATTGGAGGTGTTCCTCCCTATTTATACACGTTTTTTATGCATTTTATGGAAGGAATTTATGTGCCGATACCGAACCGATATTAAGGTGCAGTGGTACTTAACAGGAAATGACTAAAACAGGAAGTGACAATACCATGCTTGATTTCAAACATTTTTTGAACCAAGATAACAGAGTTCTGTATTGACCTCCAGTCAGTTTAATTAGTTCTACATGTCATTTACATGACCAGGATCACAATATGTTAGAGCTGGCATCGAATGTCGGAACGGTCGATTGTCAATCGTATGCTCCCAATGACACCCATGTCGACATAACATCCCAGTATCGACATCCGGAATAAAAACAAGATCAGTTACTTACCTACTCCATAAGAAACCTCGTAATCCCTCTTAAAATGGTGTAATTTTGAGAAGTTTTGCTGTTCACTCGACATATTTTATTTATTTATATTTTTCTTACTTCCGGCCTCGTTTGACCTCTCGGTAGTACTCAAGATTTTGAAAAAGCGTCTACACTGCTCATCTGTGGCTGGCCGATAAAAAGTAAGCAAATTCTTCTTAATTTCTGTATGACATCTGCAATGTAAAACTTCTTTGTCTATTTTAAACCACAGAGAATTTAAATATTCATTTTAAACTGCAAAAAAGCTTCAAGTAAATGGCTATAATTGCAATGGAATTCTGAATTTTTCTCCGAGATTTGCCATGACGCTGACATGTCTTTTCGTTCAGTGCATTGTGTACTTTTTTGACAACCCCAGTTGGACCATACTACAGGTATCTATACTACGATTTGTTTTAGATATGGCAGCATCCGACTCAGTTGATGTAATGGAAGATCTTACAGTCCCCCCACCCCCGCCACAACTACCACCCCCAACCATAGCTATAGGGGCACAAGACGGGCCACCAGTCCCACCACAAGCGAAGTTAGGGAAAAGCTAGGTACCTTTACACAAGGGTAGGAGAAGTATCGTGTGGCAGCACTTTCATATGATTGAAAATAAAAAGACTACCAAGTGTAATCACTGTGAAGCTGAGTGTCCCTACTCGGGAAATACTTCAACTATGCAATCCCATCTTACCAGATATCATTACATTATTCTTCACCCAGATTGTCAAAAGGGAACACCTACAAAGTAAACACACTCAAAACAACTGACCATGGCTGACATGCAAAATCGTAAGATGGCTTTAATGGACATTAACTCTTCTCGGAATTGTGCTATTACAAAAGCTTTAAGTGAGTTCATAATCATGGACGGGAGGCCAGTCTCACTAGTTGAAGGTCGGGGATTCAGACATTTCATGTCTGTAGTAGAGCCTAGGTACAGAGTACTACCACACTACATTTTCGAAAAGTATGTAGTCCCGTTATATCATGACACAAGAGCCCAAGTGAAAGAAGAGTTGTCAAAAGCATTTCGCCACTGTATCACAACAGATGCCTGGCAATCTATCTCAACTACCAGTTACATAACCTACACATGTCATTACATAACCAAAGATTCCTTTGAACTACAGGCAAAGGTTCTTGACACAAAAAGCTCTAGTGAACGCCATACATCCGAAAACCTTGTAACAGACATTAACAAAAGTATACTTGAGTGGAACCTGAAAGACCCAGCAGCAGTTACAGATAACGCCAAAAATATAGTCAAGGCAGTAGCTGACGCTAACCTTTTCCATCTTGGTTGTTTCGCCTATACTATGAACTTGGCTGTAGGACGTTGTCTAGCTGTGTCAAGTGTATCAACCTTAGTAGGAAAATGTAGGAAAATCGTGTCTGTATTCAAGCAATCCGCTCTCAAGACAAGCATGCTGCTGAAAGCTGAACAACAGCTGGAACTTGAGGTGAGTGAAACTGACTGAAACATAAAACTTTATTAGTCAGTTAGTTGACAGATCGTGGATTTCATTATATTCGAAGTTTCAGGTTATAGAAAACAGAAATAGTAATGTGTACATCTATGTATGTCTATATTTCAAATAAGATGTATTTCTTATAGGAACTTAAAGTATTGCAGGATGTAGAGACGCGTAAGAACAGTGCATTCTACATGATTAAGCGTCTTCTCAAGATTTTTCCTGCAGTTGTTTCTGTGCTTTATTCTAACAAGTTACAACATCTGGTTTTGACTGACAAGGAGGTATCGGATTGCGAGGGTCTGGTTGGGCTGTTGGGACCATTCGAAACGGCTACAGTTATGGTTTCTTCTGAGAAAAAAAACCCACAATATCTCAGATTCTTCCACTTCTGAAGGCATTCATAGGTAATAACATACTTCAAAGCAATTCATTGTCTGCACCACTGAAGTGGTGGCATACTAGAATTGTTATTATGTATTTTTGTGAATGGCAGTTGGCTACCTGAATGGCAGTTGGTAGTGCACATTCTGAGCGATTGATATCTTTAACAACATTTTGGTTTTAGATGTATTCACGTGTGAAAGTGCCTCTGAGAGCAAGCTACTCAAGTCAGCCAAAGAGGCTATGAAGAGCAATCTTAGCATCAGATACAAAGGTGATGAGCAACAAGATATATTGGCAATTGCTACATTCCTTGATCCAAGATGGACATTTTCCAGACAGATCAGAGAAGAATGGAAGTGAAGGCTCTCGTTATTAATCATGCTCTCGCAGACGCAGATGGTGTCCCATCTAATGTCACGATAAAAACAGAATCTAATGATGATTCGCCAATTCGGAAATGCCAGAAAGCAATTAATGATACATCACTTGCTGAAGTACTGTTTGTGAAGCATATTGCCGCACCAGATGCAGGTAACACAACGGGAAAGGGTAAACCAAGAGATAGATAGATATGGAGGAAGATAAGGCTGGTCAAGATGAACATCCCCTAGATTGGTGGCGAGGACGACGAAATGTGTATCCTTTTCTAACAAAACTAGTAATGATGTACTTGTGCATCCCCGCCACTTCTGTTGCGGGTGAGAGAGTGTTCTCTGTTCCAGGCAATATTTTAACCAAAAGAAGAGCAAGCATGGATCTAGTAACACTAGACAAACTTATATTTCTATACAAAAACTTTAAGATGTGAATACATCTTACCCAAGGGATTTATAAAAATGATGCGTATGTGACTTGTTAAGACTTGAACATTCATAGTAGTATGTTTGTGTTTGCGGTATATGGACTATAGAAGATAAGAAGTTACAAATAATCTAGTTGATTTAATACAGTGAATAAAGTTTAAAAATCAGTATTTTAATTAATTTTAACCAATATGAGTCTCTTGAATGAAAGTGACCAGGGATCGTGATCGGGATCTAAACATAACTTAATTCTTGAGTGCAAACTTTGGTGGCCCGAAACACAAGAAGATGAACAAAACACTGAGGTAAGTTTATATTTTGCGATAATTTATTGCTTATTTTCACAAACATTTACACATTACAATGATTACATACAATATAACAAAGTAGTACAAAACACAAATGTCAGATGAACATCGTATTGCCAACAGTAGACTTTAAAACCCTGAAATTCAGACGAATTTTACATAAATTTGGAGATTTTTTTAGACCTTTCACTCGACAATGTCGATATCGTCGTCGATCGAGAGCGCCGACATGTCGACATCAAAATCCCATTCGATGCCAGCTCTACAATATGTATGGTCAGAATGACCACAAACATGATGAAATGCCTTTTTCAGCTATTTTTTGGTCACAATTTCAGAGGGCTGAAAAAGTTATTTCATCATGTTTGGGGTCATTCTGACCATGTACACTGTGATCCTAGTCATGTAAATGAAATGTGCAACTAGTTAAATTGACTGGAGGTCAAAGCAGAATTCTGTTATCTTGGTTCAAAAAATGTTTGAAATCAAGCATGGTATTGTAACTTCCTGTTTTGTCATTTCCTGTTAAGTACCACTGCACCTTAACCGTTTCTGTTCCGTGTCCCAAACCGAAGCATCTGTACAGAAATTCGGTCCAATATTGGGAAACCGTGACACCTCTAATAAATATACATGAATACAGAATACATATTTCCAGAATTGAGTTGAGTAATCAGTGAAAACTAGATTTCATCTAAATTATGATGAAGTCAGCCAGGGCATTATATCACTTGTGGTGAAGTAGACTTGTTTAAAAGGTCCAATGAGTGATATGTTTGGAAATTAACTGGTCACTTTAGGCCACTGAGCTTCAAAAAACTACAAGAAACTTGTCTCTTTAAAAATCAGTTTGCCCATTGAATATGTTAGAACATTAGTTTTGCGGCGATTTATGGGCCACCAGCTGTGAAAGGGAAAGATTTTCTTGTTCCGGAACCGAACCGAAGTGCTTAATTCTTGTTCCGTTAACTTAATTCCACGGGTCGGAGCAAAATCAAGTACCAGTGACACCTCTAGCATTTACATGGTTTACCTGCATTCACAATGACAAGATTCATTGAAAATCTTCAGTATGCCAAGGAGCAGTGTTCGCGCTGGCCATTAAAATTTCTGAGTCCCAGGGACGCAACCCATTTGAAAAATTTGAGTCCCCATCTAATTTTTTTGCGTCCCTCTTATTTCTTCACAAAGTTCAAGAAATATTGTGAAAGTGAAAATAAAGTGGGCGATAATAGAGTGCTTACACTATAATGGGATAAAAATGACATATATTGTAATTTGATGCATCCTCCCGATAAATATCTATCACTGGGTCCTTTTTACACAATTCTTAAGTAATGTTATACCAAAATAGTCCGAAATGAATAAAGGAAATGCTCAAATTAAGAGTTTTGTTTTCACATTTTACAAACCTGCGATCTTGAAGGTCATGTCAAGGTCGTGAACTTTTGCTTCTTTTTATTAACATTTCTCCTTATTCTGAAGACTTTTAGATGAAAAACCTCGATCTATCATTAAACATTTATCTTGATGTATAACATTAGATCATAATGGTTTCTAGTGGAAATGATAAAGATAATCGTGAAAAACAATCGTTTCAATTTGTGGGGAACCACAGGGGATTTCTGCAATATTGTATGTTTTGATCTTCCATTTCGATTGCGGCATTTTCCGGAATATATCGGAACCAATCAAAATCCATGTCTCATACTGGAAACCCTGTTAATCTTGGGTAGTCATGATAGCCAATCAGATTTGTCGATATAAATATACCTGGATCATTGCTCGTATATCAAGGTAGTGAGTTTGAAAATTTTGATGAAAATCATGTTTCACCGCTACTGTGCTGCAGTAAAAGTTATCTTGAAGCAGTTTATAATTTTTGCGTCCTAGGGACGTAAGTTGATTTTGATTTTTACGTCCAACCTTCTGAAATTTCCGTAAAAATGGCAAAAAACGGCGTCAACGCGAACACTGCAAAGAGGATTGGCTCCAAAAGTGCAGCATCGTTATTTTTGCCATATATGGGCATGTCATGATTACAAAATATGAATTCAAACAACCGCTGTTTTGTTCACTTCAACATTTGAATCATGAATCATGGTCTTATTTCAAAAAGAAAAAAACTAGTCTATAACTAAAAAGAACATTGAAAAATTGGTTCGAATCTTTTGGATTGTTTATTTTGAATTCATAGTCGGTTATAATTTCCGAAAATAACGACATTTCAATGTTTTCATTGTTTAAATCTTGGGAGCCAATGCTCAGAAAATTCCACTGCTCAACGACAGACAAAACACCTTCAGCCAGCGAGTGATAAGACAATGGAATGCACTCCCTGAATTCGTAATTAGGGCTGATAATACCAACACTTTCAAAAACAGGCTAGAGAAACACTGGATGGATCATCCAATGAAATTAGACCACAACATTGATTACGGCTATGTACATAGGTAGTTGGGGAAGCTTACTACTTTTTTCAAGGCCTGACTTCGTCGCTAACATGCTAAATATAAGAGTTAGCTGACATTTGGGAGTCTGACTTACCTTCTAAAGGTTAGAACCCGAATCTTAAATGAAACCATATCACCTTTGTTGCGTCGATGATGATGCATAAACATAGCATTTGATAGAAATTAGCGTAAATGCTTTTCCGACTTTTTCATTTTTCATCAATGTTGACTTCCGGGAAGGCGTTGTAGTTATCACGAAATAACGCATTGACCCTTGAACTTTACTTTGTTGACGTGTCAACCAAGCATGTCTGGTGTGAAAATTAAAAGAATATTAAGCAATGTTCTACATCCGCCAAGCTAAGTGAAGTAGTCAATATTTAAAATTACCAATTTCAAGTGAAGTACGAAACGAACGAAACTGCGTGATCTACACTCGCACTATTGGTCTGAATGAAATGCTACGTAGAAATATGAGCCGTCTGTTGTATTAGTCGATTAATAGAGTAAGACCTGTTGGTGATGCTTTATAATTTAGACCAAAACATTGAAGAACAAACGAACCTGTAAATTGTGAAAACAACGAACAAATATTCGGTTTTCACATATGTTCGGTAATTTTTCGTATTGAAACTTCCGGAACTTACATGGAAATCATTCATTTTCTCGGTCCATGATTTACCTCTTGGATGTTGTGGCAAATGCTCCATGGTTGACGGAACAAAGGTGATATGGTTTCATTAAGATTCGGGTTCTAACCTTTAGAAGGTAAGTCAGACTCCCAAACGTCAGCTAACTCTTATATTTAGCATGTTAGCGACGAAGTCAGGCCTTGAAAAAAGTAGTAACTTGTTCTTCTTCTGCAAGACTGCTTAGTTTTGAATTTTAACTTTTTATGCAACCATCTAAGGACAATGAGGTCCTTGCAATGATCGATTAACAGGCAAGTATGCCTATAAATCGTAATTCACTTATAATCTTATAATCTCCTTGCATACTTCACAGAAAATGGATCTCGAAACAAGACAAAGGATTTTGATTTTTATGAAATATCCGAGAACATGCAACACTAATGTGAAGGTATGAATCTTACTCTGGAATATGCACCTCCTCCACCACCTGAGGTCCTTCTCTTTTGAACTCCACCTCTTGACACACCTCGTCCACCAGCGCTTCCACTTTTTCTGAAATTTCCCGTCCCCCGTCTCGACCCACGCTGTGAGTTTCCTCGCCCACCACCTCTTCCTCCGCCTCTCTTGTTACCTTTGCTAGACTTGATGATATCATCAAGGCTCATATCTAATTTGTCAGGCATCTTAATTGTGTTTTGAACTTGTATAGCGTATAATATGAGAGAAAAACTATCAAATATTTGTTTGTGCCGCAGAAAGAAAAATGGCGGCACTCAAAATTGCATGATGGGTATTCTAGAATATCCCATTTTTTGAAATAATACGATTTTAGATGTTCTTAGATACATTCATATTTATTTTTAATCAATTGGTATTAATATTTCTATCAAATAATTGCACTCTCTTCACTTTAGCAAAAATTTATCTAATCTCGAGGTACTTGTTTATTCGCATCGAGGCGAGACTTCGAATTCCCACAGAAAAAAGATTGTCGAAAAGTCACCAACATTTTCCTGCTTTCAGCCCCTTATTGCGCCAGTAAAATGGTCCTTAGATGAACAGAATTCAAGAATGACAATAACTCCACAAATAATGGATATAAATGAAGACCAAAAGCCTAGATTTTTGGTGTACTCCAAGGTAAGAAGTTTTGTATTTTATTTTCAACTTATCGTCTTGACCTCTCTACATTCACTCATCACATCTGTATGAAAACAGAATAGTAACAATTATGTAATTATTCAGACATCTGCCAGATTTTCCTCCTAATTGGACTGTGATAAATATTACGGACTTCTATTCTTAATCTGCCTTGAGATATGAGTATTTATTCTCAGCATTTATAACAGTGAGTGTCTATCATTGGTTGGATACTCGTACTCTTTGGCTGTCAGCTTGATTTGTTGCCGTCAATTCAGATTTTTCTGAACAATACAGACGGTTATGATTGGCCAATGTAACAAGATAATCCAGTGAAAATGACACTAGAAAAATACGAAAACCACAATACTATTTTGACAAAACTGATCCACGTCCACTTTTTATACCACAGAGAAAGACAATGACCAAATTAACCTGTACATGTAAATGCTTGTTTTCTTTTGGTTAGGTTACATGTTAATGACGTCACAAAGTTCATCACAATCACCATATATGACGTTGTGATGGTTGCCTTGATGGTTTGCCATACTAGGTAATAATGGCGGACTTTTGGTCACGTGTCTGGTCGAATTTCGGTCCATAGAATGAATGGCCCTGGCCACTTAGTGGGGGCCCTTCGTAAAAAATTTGATTTGGTTGCTTAATGACAAATATTACTTATTTGTTGTGTTTTTGTAATTAATTATCACATTGAATAAAGTTCTTGGGATATAGAGAATAGCTCCTTCCATAGTCCATACATCTGTCTACACATCCATCCGTATTGTTACATTAATTTTACAGTAAGTAAAACATATAATACTTATATAACATAAACATATTTTATATGCATATAAAATTACGTAGGAGATAGATTTTGAATATCTTATCATTTTAAGAAAACATGGTGGCCAACTGGAAAAGTATAGTGGAGTAATTTTGTTGAGATTTTATATGTGAATACTTGAAGCCATGGGGAGTGGAGAGTAAGTCACTCCCCCTCCCCTCTTTAATATTCCTAATATGCAAATTTGAAAAATGGTGGCCGCGGCTGTTAAATGGTAATTGCTATGCCTTGGTGTTGCTGTTATCTGGTTGCTTTCTTCAAAAGCTTGTGAACTTTTTCTACGACTTTTTCCTGATAGCATTAATGTTTGCTCCTGAAAATTACCTATTCATCAATATATGGCTTTGGCACATCGCAACAGCATTGCCAAAATACTGATGATGATGCTACAGTTTTACAGAAAAATATATATTCAGGCATATTTCAGTATTATTCCACCAACAGTAGTTTAAATATGGCCCTTACATTTGGCATAACATTTTAATTTCATCATGTTCATTTAAAGACATACTTCCCCTTTCACTTGTATTTTCTCAATGGGTGTAACATTACCTTTGGTTTATGTGAAAGAAGAGGTACCAAACACTGGAGCAGATTTAGCTAGCAGAAAATCTAAGTGATTGACTTATCCTCATTTTTGTCCCTCCGAACAAAGATTGGAGGGATATAGGGAATGCCTCCCTCCATCCCCCCATCCATCTATATGACATCTGTCCATCCACCTGTCCATCTGGGTGATAACTCAAATGCCATTGGCCCAATTTTGTTTAGATTTCATACACATATGACCTGGGGATAGAAGTTCTACTCGAAAGCAGATTTTCAAAAATAGCCACTCCTTTAAAATGGGGGACATTTTAGTGTAGATTTTACAGTATACAATACAATTAATGTTAATTAATCTTTTCTCCGAACCACGGCAGCAATATTTTTTTAGAAAATCTGAAGACAGTGGTAAACTCTCTGTTTTCGGCACATCACTGCATACTCATTAGTAAATTATCACTTTCATCAACATTTACAAAATGTCCGTCTACCATGTTTTTTCTGTAAACATTATGACGTCATGAAACTTTTTTTTCAAAAGTAGCGGTCAACAGTACCTAGTAGCGATCAACAGTACATATTGTTGACCGCTAATCAACCAATCAGAATCGAGTATTTCAGTTGAGGTACTAACAATAATTATAGTACAATATATATTATATAAAACTGTTATAGCAAGAAATGTGAAAAATTTTCAAAGGTAAACAAGCAAGTGTAAATAAGGTAAAAATAAATTTCTCCTTTAAACTGCCATCAATATGTATTACATTAAGAAATGTGATACCTCGATGTATTTGTCGTGCTTGTATCTAGATCAATTGATTGAATCTATTTTAGTTGATAAATTGACAGGGATATGTCAAAATCAATGAAAATTTTCACATGATTGTTCGGCAAGCTGCCATTATGGGGAATTCCTGTAATATTTGTCTCTTTATCTAGAACCCCTTTGTTAAGACTGGTCTTTGACAAAAATGAATATTAAGTGTGCTGCTTTAATAAAGTAATTGGTAATGGACCACAAGTAAAACAAGAACAAAGGTTTGTTTATGTGAGAAAAGGTCACTAATGATTTTGTAATTGGGAACCTCTCATCATGCATTGCGAGAGCCTAATGGTGGCAAGATCATTGAAGCAACTCAAGATATCAATATTTCATGCCAACACGTCCATTTCAAACAGCAAAAATGCCTTTTCAAATTGCAACATTTTTCTTTTCATACAGCCAACCCCTGTGTGAGTGCAGTGAGCAACAAATTGATACACTTAATAAGTCTTTGTCTGCATTAAATGTGTCAAATGAATGTATGCACATGCAATATCAGAGTGACTAGTTATTTCTCATCATCATCGATTTGCGATCATTTCTGGCATAGCAAGTAGCAATAATTTTCAAATATATTTGAGCAGCCGTTGAAATTGCCAAGTCCTTTCTGAAAACATCTATTGATTGCATTGGAGACTATCTTATATTGATAGCCAGTGAGCTGTCAGTCACAGGTTGATACTTGGTTGGTTCTGAATAAATTTATTTTCAATTATAAACAAGTTGAATTCCCATATATGGGTTACTTCTCAAGTGCATTTCCCAAATATGGGATACTCCGTAAGCATAATTCCCAAATATGGGATACTCATCAAGTGCAATTCCCAAATATTGGATACTCAAGTGTAATTCCCAAATATGGAATACTCCTCAAGTGCAATTCCCAAATATGGTATATTGCTCAACAAGTATAATTTTCAAATACGGGATAATCAAGTGTAATTCCCAAATATGGGATACCCCAAATATGGGATACTACTCAAGTGCAATTCCCAAATATGGGAAACTGTACTCAAGTGTAATTACCAAATATGGAATAATCCATCAAGTGCAATTCCCAAATATGGGATACTTATTAGGTACAATTTCCAAATATGGGATACTACTAAAGTGCAATTCCCAAATACAGGATACTACTTAAGTGTAATTCCCAAATATGGGATACTTACTCCTCATGTTTATTTTTTGAACTTTTAAAAGTAGGATTATGTCTCAGCTTATATGTGTGAATGCAACTTTCGGCTTTCGGCTAACGAATTAACCTTCTATTGTGTGGGCAACTCATTTGAATTTGAATAGTACCTACCTGTCATAAAATAGTAGGTTAACCTGGTAACCGACAGCTGAAAGTTGCATTTGTGAATACAAGCTTAGTCCATATGTGGTTATTAAATATGGTGTTACCTGGAACATCAGTTCACACCAACATAATAAAGTCATGCACTTTAAAACCATTGATGTTCCATCAGGGAGTCTTCCTCAGTGTAATATTGAGGAAATTGATTCTATTGCAAGCTTGTCCAGGACAGTGAAAATCAGTCATATTAAAACCCTGGATTTCTAAAAGGTTGTAAAATCCTTTTCAGAGCATTCAGCCCTTAGATACCTGCTCCTTCATATAAAAGAGACAGTTATAACTAATGCATTTCACTATTTCAAGATGTAACTGTCACTGCATATCAGTAAATTAATTCAATCTAGCTAAAAGAATTTCCTCTTACTTTACTGAACTGTAGATATAGACGGAAGATGATATGCTAAACGTTTTATTTACCATAGATTTAGCGAGAGTAAAATACTATTTATTCACAACTGTATTCCCAATTGCAGAAAAAACATTTGATCCTTCTTACTCGTCTCACCATGGCAACTAATTACTTGGTGGATTTAATAATAATCATATGCTATATTCATTACTGTATGATATTTTCACTCCACATTGTTGTTAACACAGTCTTGGATTGTCAATAAAAGGGGTAGTATGACATGCTTTTTCCAAAATATGATTTATTACTTTTGAATGAAATGGATCGCAACGAACACAAATATGACAATTTAAATAAATTGTATATCTTGTAAATTTGATATGTCAATGAGGCATTTTGATTCTGACTTGACTCACTTTTGGGAATCATATTTACTCGTCACCTTTCAATTATCCCTCAGGTCTGAATCAAACACATTACAAAGGGCAATTGACTCTCAGTTGTATTAAAATACGTATAGGAATGATAACTCCAAAACATTTAAAATACAATATAGGTCAGTTTCTAATTAATGAGACTATAGTGCTTCTATTTTGAAATTTTCCCACTTAAATATCAAGTCATAGATTAAATAACAATAAGTTTGGAATACTAGTAAAGGAGAAGCACACATTTTTAGATTTATCAGAAATAGGAATAGATTACGTGGAGAGCAACTTTATGGCTTTATACCATCTAAAAGCTACAATGGTGTTGAAAGTTCATCTTTGAAATTTGCTGACAGACAATTTTTTATTCACTTAAATGACTAAATACAAGGTGACAGAAATAGTGCAACCTTCTTCGTTTGAAAATATTCTCAGGTATGGAATCTTCATGTGCAAAGTGCTCAATGCAGGAAATAATGGTAATGGGAAAGTTACTCCAAGATAGGGGAGGGTCGCATTTTTGAATCACCCTGTATCATTTTATGTCTCAATGCTTTTACATAATCCCAATATCTTGTGATTATCAACCATTCTCTTTCTTTTGTTCATGAAGAAAACATTAAGACAGCCATGGAATCCAATATGCA